CTGGGCATGTATTCATGATTATTCATGCTTAAGTCCAATTTTTAATTTCGGTGATAAATTATTAAAACTAAAATTCATATTTGAGCCGCGTTCAATTATCGCGATCCAAACGGGTTGTCCGTTAGGACCTGAGTTGTTCGTTGATGAAATAAGGCCAGGTCTAGCAATCTGATGCTGCTTTCAAGCGAGCTTTGACAAAATCTTGTAAGGCCTGCATAAGTATTGCAGGTCCGCCAGGATTTATATCCGAAAATGATTCATTTGATAACGAACATGCCCGTGGTCTATAATTTTAAAGAATTTTGGAGAGACTTCAAGCCAAAAACAGATTCAAATGTTTACAGGTGGTATCACAGCAATAATTAACAACGTGTTAAATTACCACCAACAGATGTCCATTTTGAATGTTGATAGATTGTTAACGCCATTTTTCAGAAAGAACTGGGCTGTTTTTTCTGAAGTTTATTATGTTCTTATGGTCTGTAGTTACGAATATCGACTTTGGGATCTGACATGAAAACAAAGATGGCCGAAAGGCGGCTACATGTTTTTAGCTCACCTGGTCCGAAGGGTCCGTCGTCCGACCGTCAACTTTTCCTAAAAATCGCTACTAGTCATGTACGACTGAGCAGATTTTGACCAAATTTAGTCAAAAGCATACTTGGGGAAAGGGGAACAAATTTTGTATAAATAGTGGGTCTGGCCAATTTGAGATTTTGTTCAAATTCAATGTTCCTGGTCCTAGCTCGGGGTGAGTTCCTATTTCAATGTTAATGAAACTCGGTGTGAATGCTGTCATTGGCACCCCCTGTACGTGCAACCTTTCAAAACCCGTGCCCCTGCATCTGTTTCACAGCATTTTTCTTTAAAATGTTGAATGACGAATAACGAATAACTGTCCGACTTTACCTTGCCCTATAAAGATCGGTTGAGCACAGAATCCATAATTGAGTATGATAACGGTTTCATGAAAACGAGCCTTGGTCCTGTTCTTTTTGTACTTCTTCAAAGTTTCCATGTAAATCTTTCATTTGTTCACACTTTTCGTAGAGATATGTTTACCCACCGAGAACACTTGGGCCCGTTTTCATAAAAAAACTCTTATGCTTAAACTCATTTTCTTGTTCAGATAATCAACAAAAAACACGTAACATTTGTTTTATGATTTGGAAGAATTTTTAGAGACATAATGTGGGAAAATGTTTCAAATGTTAACACAACTTTTCACATGTTTCGTGTCACATGGTTAAAGTAAGTTACAAGAAAGTTGGTTTGAGCACAGACTCTATGATTGAGCATGAGAACGGTTTCAAAATTACGGGCCAGGGACAATAACAGTACATGTAAAACAATAAAAGTACGTTCTCAACGATAAAATGTGGAAAACACGCATCAAGGATATATTGAAAACCAGCCATTGGTTAAGATGCGAATTGCAAGCAAACAGTACATGTAACCACTAAACCTAGGGTACAACAAAATCTCCCCACCGAAATAAATTTAAATACCTGGTTGTTTTAGTATCCAGGTAATGTATAGCCATGTAATATTTTAGCATGTGAACTCATGCGATATGATCTATTTAGACGTCAGTAAATGTTATTCAAATGAGAACACAAACTTCTAGACTATAATTACGACGTTATAATAAGACTTTAGACATTTAACCCTGATGACGAAATCTTTAGAATTCATGGCATTGAAAATGTGTTTTTCGTAATATTTACACCTAGCGTCAAAGGATCGCGAAAATGAAACATACATGTATCTATATATCATTTCACAAATCATATCTGATTCTCGACAATCTAGTTAGATTGTGAGACATATTGATTGCTGTGGCACTTTTGTATAGTAAAGGCAAACTTATATTGTGATGTTTTTTTTGTTTGTTTTTTGTTTTTTGTTACTTTGTGTAAAAGACAAAAGTAGCAAGGTGAAAAAAGATGATAATTACTTTTATTTCAAGGTAAACTTACGTCTCCTTAATTACTACCTTGGTATTGGGACAACTAGATGAATAGGGGCTAGATAAAACTGTGCTGGGTAGTACAGTAGGAGAACAGCATTACAGGTCCATGGCTGCAATAAACAAGGCTGGGATGTGGGACAACTACATTCTTCATAACGAGGCTGGTTGGTGGGACGAGGCTGATTGGTGGGACAGCTAGATTCTTCATAACAAGGCTGATTGGTGAGACAACTAGATTCTTCATAACAAGGCTGGTTGTTGGACAACTATATTCTACATAACAATGCTGGTTCGTTAAACAACTAGATTCTTCATAACAAGGCTGGTTGTTGGACAACTAGATTATTCATGACAAGGCTGGTTCGTTGGACAACTAGATTCTCCATAACAAGGCTGGTTGTTGGACAACTAGATTATTCATAACAAGGCTGGTTCGTTGGACAACTACATTCTTCATAACGAGACTGGTTGGTGGGACGAGGCTGATTAATGGGGCGAATAGATTCTTCATAACAAGGCTGATTGGTGAGACAACTAGATTCTTCATAACAAGGCTGGTTGGTGGGGCAAATAGATTATTCATAACAAGGCTGATTGGTGAGACAACTAGATTCTTCATAACAAAGCTTCTTGGTGGGGCAGCTAGATTCTTCATAACAAGGATGATTGGTGAGACAACTAGATTCTTCATAACGAGGCTGGTTGGTGGGGAAAATAGATTCTTCATAACAAGGCTGATTGGTGAGACAAATAGATTCTTCATAACAAGGCTGATTAATGGGGCAAATAGATTCTTCATAACAAGGCTGATTGGTGAGACAATTAGATTCTTCATAACGAGGCTGGTTGGTGGGGCAAATAGATTCTTCATAACGAGGCTGGTTGGAGGGGCAAATAGATTCTTCATAACAAGGCTGGTTGGTGAGACAAAAAGATCCTCATAACAAGGCTCGTTGGTGAGACAACTAGATTCTTCATAACGAGGCTGGTTGGTGGGGCAAATAAATTCTTCATAACGAGGCTGGTTGGAGGGGCAAATAGATTCTTCATAACAAGGCTGGTTGGTGAGACAAAAAGATCCTCATATCAAGGCTGGTTGGTGAGACAAAATCATTCTTCATAACAAGGCTGGTTGGTGGGACAACTAGATTCTTCATAACAAGGCTGGTTGGTGAGACAAAAAGATTCTTCATTACAAGGCTTGTTGGTGAGACAAAAAGTTTCTTCATAACAAGGCTGGTTGGTGAAACAAAAAGATTCTTCATAACAAGGTTGGTCGGTTGACAACTAGATTCTCCTTAACCAGGCTGGGCGATGGAACGACTAGAATCTTCATAATAAGGCTGGTTGGTGAGACAACAAGATTCTTCATAACAAGGCTGGTTGGTGGGACAACAAGATTCTCCATAACAAGGCTGGTTGGTGAGACAAAAAGATTCTTCATAACAAGGCTGGTTGTTGGGACAAAAAGATTCTTCATAACAAGGCTGGTTGTTGGGACAACTGGATTCTTAATTACAAGGCTGGTTGGTGAGACAAAAAGATTCTTCATAACAAGGCTGGTTGTTGGGACAACTGGATTCTTAATTACAATGAATGGTGAAGGAACAACTAGATTCCACAGCAAAGCTGGGTGGTCGGACAACTAGATTCTTAATTACAACCTTGTTGGTGGGACAACTAGTTTCTTTATCACAAGGCTGAGTATTGGGAAACCCGTATTGTGGTGTTTGAATGAAGATGGGACCTAAGGACAACTACTGAGCTTAACAGAGGTCAGATTGAGGAAACTCGATTATTTAACTATATTTGACCATATAAGGTTATAAACGACGTAATCCTTTAACAATCTAATTGTTCTGTCAACATTTGTCACTGATTTCACCTTGACTGTCAGTGCCTATGTGTTTGTTAGAGTTAAGTTGTTTCGGCTATCAACTGCCCATTGCTCAGGCGCGGCGTGACAGGAGTCCGATATCGCCGACAGTCGCCACTTCTCCCCTTCACACAAGTGCTGTTTGGCGCGTGCTAAGTGCAATTGCTGATCTTTTGGCACTCTGCTTATCTCTGTCGACGTCAAGATGTTATATCGGATCGGATTGATCGATAATCCACTATCACGACTTAAAGCATTTGTATGGTGTTGAATACACATCGTTCCCGTAACACTGCCATTGTCAATTGTAATTAAACATGCTAAAAAGCGCCATGTACATTTTATTTCGAGGTGATGATGTGAATAATAAGCATCCAGCAGGTTCAGCTGTAGATATTAGTTTTAGACACAAAGGAAATATATCACCTACAAAGCATTAAGTTAAAATGTGACGTCATAAACATTCCTATTTCACTGTTTGTTTGTTTTAGACACACAGGAAAAAGTATGACCTAAAGGACTATTCGATACAAATACAATGGTGATATGTTATATTTTCAAACTTTATTCTGCAAAAGTATCGTTGGGACGTATCACTCACCAAAAGAAAGGTGAGATCATTAGAGATCGTGAGTAGGACTTATCGCTCTCTATTTGAACAGAGATAATATGGCACGCGCAAGGTGTGTTTGTGCAGGGCGATAACAGAGTTCAAAGAGGGATGTTTACATGGTAACGCGCGAGGCCGGAGTGTGGTCAGTTACGTTAATAGTGACCATTTCAGAAACTTGTTAACAACTCGAGAGGCACTCAACTTTCCGGAATTGTTTACAAATCTAAGTTCAACAAAGCCAGTATGAAAGGAATGCCTTTCACGAGTGAGCGAGACTAACAACGGGGCCTTAGAACGGCCCCTAAACTATTTATATATTTCAGAAAAGGGACAGTAAATGGATCCCCCATCTGGGCTACTATTACGCAGAATGGTTTAGGGCCCGTTTTTGTAGTTAACCCTGTTTAAGACAATTTCATTGATATAAATATTTCGATTGAATTAATTCAATGGATCCATTTAAGTGTCAGTTACTTATGATCCATTTACTTCTGAGAATAAATTCACAAATAATACATTTATAACAAAATAAATTTCCTTATTTTACATGGCTGCAATAGTCTTTATTGAATTTTCAAGCGCATCATATACACTACATATATATGGGTCTGCTTAAAATATACAGTTATTTCAGTACTGGAACAACTTCTAAAAAGCCATCGTGGTACTCCATCACTCCACACCACATGGATGAGAAATCTGTATCAATTCGTTTAAAACCGTAAAACACAGTCTTTCCTAGGTTCTGGTGAGTTCGCTGCGAATCCTCCGCTCTTCTCTCCCTTGAGGTACATATCATTTGGAGCTCGGATCGTTATCTCAGAGTCACCATTAAACTCAAAAATAAAGGGGATGGGCGTGGCACTATCCGCCTGGACGGAGTTGTCTGGCCCCAGTGTCCAGTATTTGCTGTTTTCGCCCTTCACGAAGTACGCCCCTCCCGGTCCGCGCTCTAGCTGCAGTACGTCATAAGTTGACTTGTTGCACGCGTATCTTGTTGTACAAGAACCGGAAGATATCATGGACAGGTAACCGTTTTCACCTTTCAACACTAAAACCGGTCGGTTTACAACTCGTATCACAAACATTTCCTTTTCACTAATGGTGTCACTGTTCGCGATCAGGGCCCCCGTCCCTCGATGAAGTAAATACTTCCCATTACTCCATTTGATCACAGCAGTTCCATCCTTCTGCCATGTGAGGTCGAACTGACAATTTTCATCAGCGGAAGTGACGTCAGCGATTATGGATCCATTGTTATCCAGCCTCCAGTACTTGCCTTCAGTGGTGTAGACGGACCACTTCTTTGTTTTCTTGATGTACTCAATCTAGGAAACAAAACGCGTTGTTTTTCATACACTTTTCATTCAGCATGCTGTCATTCTTACTAAAACTACACGTGATTTAAAACATTCAATCAACAGTCAATTTGTACAATCAGTAATAAAATTGTGTCACCCCTACATATTTAATGTTGTTGATAAAGCAATATTACTCTTTTGTTACATACGAAATGTTACTCCACAAAACAAACAGAAAAGAAGGCTTAACTAAACTGATGTTACTGTACAAGGCGACTTTAAATCAACATCAAATGATTTCATACTATGCCATTGAATTAAACTCTATTTATAAGGTTAAAGCCATTTTGGTCTCTGTGGAGTATAACATATAGATATATATAGAAACTTGAATAAATTTCTCATTGTCCATTTAACCTAAGATGACAAAAGAAAATTTCTTGAACAAAATAAAAGGAATACATGATACTCATTTGAACTTAAGTTGAATGATTAAGATTTTATATTGCGCCTTTAAACGTTTAATTAACCCATTGCGCAGCGAATCAATCATGTGATGTGTATATGTTTATTTCCACCTCCTCCAATCGGAATGCTATTATTCTATACCCATTATCAATAATAACTAAGAAAGCAAACAAAAATACTAGATAAGACAAATATTGCATATTCTCAACAGGAGTTATTCGTCACAGTTTTTGAATATAACAGTTATTTTGTTTAATATGAAAGTTTTTATGTTTTTTAATATAACAGTTTTTTAACATAACAGATTTTTATCTTACACACTCTAATCAATCCCTTCAGCCGTTTGACGGAAACAGTCGATATTAATTCAAGCAATGACATTTGTGGACACGGCCAACGGTCTTAGAAGATATGGTGATTGTATAATATTCCGACCAAGTAAAAATATTGATTGCAGATTTCAGATGTATATTTCATGCAAAAAATATTTGTTTGGGGATTGATAGAAGTTTATAAACAAATTAAGACTAAGCCACCACAGTTTGGATATTTAGGTTGTAGTAGAATAAAAAAAAACATCCGTCTGCCAATGTAAATTTTGAAACACCTTAGCAAATCAATTTCATTTCATTCTAATGAATGTGAATTTATCTCTAACACGAGGGAATCTTTTAATAAAACCAGCGTTTACTAGCTAAGGTAACTGAAAAGGGCTTCTTTTGGGGTTTTTTTCGCCTCTCCGCTTCGCCAAGGCGACGAAGCGAAGAGGTACCAATTTATCGTCCAAGACGGCGTTTTGTCGCTTTTTGCTCTCTGTTCAAAGTCGAATAAGCACCAATGACAACGGGCGGAATTCCTCACATTAAAGAGATTTCAGATCGAATCCAATAACGTGAAGAGATATCGGAGGGACTAACCTTATACATAGAGTTATCATATGTTTAGGGGATAGTACGTTGTTTTGAGTGGCTATACGGGCGATTAGAACATAAACTTTGGGTTTGAACTCGAGACCGATAGGTCGAGAGTTTAAACCAAATTTCTTGTTCTAATCGCAAGTATAGACACGAAAAACAACGTACTATCCCCATTCTAACACACCTTAACAAATATACTACGCTAATATGTTTAGAAACATTGTATTTCCTTGTACGAAAGTACTTTGTGAGCTGAACTGGCGACGTGTCATTCTGCAGCGAACTGGCCAATCGGAAAGAAGCTTTCAAAAGTCGGTCATTTAGTCCCGCCCATACTGACGAGAGCTCGATCTGTATGTTGACGAGGCGGAATATTTGGATTGTTCGTGAACGTCCTATTACCAAAGTTTATACGACACATTCGGTTAACTATTGAACAAGTTCATACATGTACATGTCAGTATGCATACCAATCTGTGCTTATCGACAAAATCGGTGATTATTTGTATAGATTTGTGAAGAGTTTTGTGTAAATGCATACGACACATTTGAAATGTTTTATTTGATTTGGGATCAAAATAGATGCCTTTACACGGAAGGAACGAACGTTTCAGTAATAAATGGAGGTAAGACCAAGGAATGAGTAGTTTTTACTTTAATTCATTCAACAAATACATTTCATCGGTCGTTTCTGTTCTGTTGCCTACTAGCCTTATCAGCGGGATTTCGCTATGAGGCGAGCTTGACACCATATTGTTTTTGTTAGAAACGGGGCGTGGCTTAAGTGCGATAGGAGGAGCTTAACACGATTGATCATGATTCTATCGCAGATTAGAACATGGTCCGTATCCAATCAAAACACGCTTTGCAAACGAATCGTGTTAGAATTACTAATAATAACACCCTTTTTGTATGTGTAATAAGTCTAAAATTTCCACAAGTTGATATCAGCCCGGGTGATATCACAACCCCTTGGAGTGATATCAACACCTCCCCNTAATTTAACCATATCATTTTGTAGGAATTTGGGAATTTCTAAATGTTGACTTTTTACGTATAATTGTTACTGTTTCGTTTATATACATCATTGTTTTTGTTACCATTTTTATGAATATAAATAAAATAAAGAAATATTTTTTTGTGGACGTTTTGTTTATTTTAAAGGAAAAAAAACAAATGATAAAAAGTTTATGATATGACCATTTTGATATCACATCCCCAATCAGGACTCTCGGGCTGATATGGGGTTTGATACAAGATGGTCCTATAATAATCTCTAAATGTCGGTCAGAATTGAATTCTATCATTTATTACATACTTACTGAAAAAATACGGGATTTTTTATATGCGATACAACACAATTGCTTGAACCCATATATATCAGCCCTCGCGTATCAACCCCTAAACCCGTATCAGCCCTCTCCGTATCAGCCTGCAAAACACCCCTTTTGGAACACTTATAATGTTCCCCATCTACCACCAACAACGTCATCAGGAACCCTTATGATTTTTTTTCGTTTTTCAAAATTTCAAAAGAAAATAGATCATAAGATAGAAGATATATCCGTATCTTATTAGTAAGTATGTAATAAACAGAATAAAACATGCCTTTTTCCATATCACACCCAGTATCAACCCTTGACCAAAATCAGCCCTCTGGCATTCGGTCCTCGGGCTGATATTGGAGTCTCGAGTTGATACTAAATGTGATATGGAAAAAGGCATCTATTATTCTCTGTTTACATAGATGTCCGGCAGAATAATCCAATATAAAAAGATTTTTTTACGGTACTTGTGTTAACCAAATTTTCAAAAGACATATACAAATGTATGGGGTTTGCAGATCTTGGGGCCGTTTGTGCAGCTTAAGGCAATATAATGAAAAGGCTGGACCAACGTTCCTAAGTCAGCAAGTTCAACACTTTTTTCTTATTTTTTACAATTAATACCATGGACACCACATGTGTTTTTAAATTGTGTGTACTTTAACAGAACGTTTGGGAACAAATTAACAAGTGTAGACTTTATATAGTACGTGTGTTAAAATATACTACACACGTGTGTTCATATAGAGAGAGAACTGTTCGTCAATTTTATAATGTCTGAGTAACATAATCTATGCCGTCGCAACTCATCAATGTGCAAATAATGGGCTTTTTATCAATTTATGCGCAACCGAATACATATTATTATTTAGTAAACGAAATACAATCAAGACATCTCAAAAAGCTAAAAAAAAAAACTTACAACGATGCAGATAGTAATCTCTACAACGCTCAACACCTTCAGGTCATGGCTCAACAGCCACTTGAAAAATCACACTTTTAACCATCAAATTGTTAAGGATAGGAACTAACAGTGGGATATGGAAATGAACTACAACAAGATCTGGACAGACTACAGGAATGGGAGGATAGATGGCAGATGAGCTTCAACCCAGAGAAATGTGAAACCCTCCGGATAACCAGGAAGAGGAATCCCTTGGTCACGACCTATTCCATCCATGGTCAAGATTTAGAGACAGTCCCGTCGGCCAAGTATTTAGGAATCCACCTCTAAAATAACCTCTCTTGGAACAAACACATCGAAGCTGCCAGTTTACATTAGTAGAAAAGAATGCTACATGTATACATCACCATAAGCTACTAGCTAGCTTACAACGATGTCATTTGAGCGAAACTATCTTGCTTAACAAAATGTACGTATATACATTTGAAACGCATCTATTACCTGAAATATCTCCTTCTCCCCCGTCTCCGCCTGAGAGGCCGTCACCTCCAGCCCTTGTCGGATAGACGCTTGCTTGCCGTTACTCGCAATAAATATGACCTGGGGATGACTTTCCATGAGAGAAAAGAGTTCGTCCCGACTGACGATCTTGTTCCTTGTTTTGAGGACACCCGATCCTCCGTACGCCGTCAGGTATTTCCCCTCGCAGTCTTTGAATGCCAGTCCTGCCAAATCTGAGTCAGCACTGAGTTTTAACTCAAGGGAAAATTTCGTGTTTTTTCCATGTTCATCTGTCAAGTGACCCGTATGTGTGAGATAACGTGAGTCAGCTGTTTTAAATGCGTACTTTCCACATTTAAACTCAAGCGTTATCAAAGCTTCCGGTCCCCAAGGGGTCAATTGAATACATCGTAATTCATTGTTGTCCAGTTTTACATACCGCTTCCGGTTAACATTAAACAGCGTTATTTGTGGGTGCATCGCCATGGGCACGTACCAGAGCGACATGTCCTCGTCAGAGGCCACCTTGGCTAGACACTGGATATCCTCATCCGTCCCACCAAGGTATTTCCCAAACTTGGGGTGTTTGAAGCTCCATCGTCCAGTCCCGTCGCTGGCATACTCCACCATAAATTTCTCGTCCTCTCCATGACTCTCGCTTGAACAGGACACATTGCCGAACTTGTCTGCCGTTAGGTAGAGTCCGAGATGACTCCGAATGTATACGGTCTCGTCTTTGTTCAGTTCGAGAACCCATGTTTGTTTTACCTTCAGCGATGCTCCAGAAACGTTGACCTTGTGCCCATAGGTTTCCGCAGTAAGGAACTTATCAACTGGATTCTGCAGACCGACTTTCCACTCTAGTCGTTTTTCTGGAGTCGCCATTGCCATTCGTTAAAGCTGAGAAATCCACCTAACTTAAAGTTTCTTAAGTTATATGCAGGTCTAATATGTTCAATGCGCTAGTTGTTAAGGTTAGCAACGCGATTTGCAATGGGACGACACTATGACATCACAATGAACGCTAAAGACAATTGATGACGTCACAATGATGTACACGTATATTGAAAGTAGCGAAAACGTTCCCGAACATTCTGTAGGCAAACATTTTCTGTATTTTAAACGCAAGTATGTTTTCAGGATGGAGGAAGTATCTAACCTGTTAGTAGGACACGAATACAAACAAACCATCACGAAAGAAATGTTTTCCATGTTTATCGTATTTACATATTTTTCCCCTTCATGTTCATGCATTGATTATTCTAGAACAAATGTGATCAAACCCGTCACAAAAGAAGGTTTTAAAATACGTCAAAACCTTGTGAATGCAGCAGCAAAAGTTACCATCCCGCCATTATGGTTATCAGGTGAGTTGCCGTCTAAGTATGTTTGCGCAGAAGTGTTTTGGTTTATTGTGAATTCGGTATATTCCATCAAAAAATACAAAGAAATTGAAGGATATATCTATGCTGGCTTAAGGTGAACCAGTGACTATATATATTAAAATCATGTTATGATGAGTGTGTCACTGTAAATGATGGTTGGATATTAGGAAGCAGTTGTCTAGCCTTGGTTTGGAATATATGTTTGAAAACAATTTTCCTATTAGTGTTGCTTTTAAAATTTATTATTATTTTTTTATGTAATTTCAGACAGAATATGTTAGCAAATGTATCAAGGTCATCTAAAGGTTATTGACAGCAGCACCTTATTGATAATGTTTGTCTTCAATTTTACTTACGTAAATCGATAGAATCAAAGTACAAACGTCGTATTACATATTTCAGATTGTCGTCTCATAATTTAGATATTGAAATGGGTAGACGGAACAATGATGTTTGACAGAACATATCGTATACTGGCTGTGCTTCACTTCATCCTCAAATGTCCATTCCTTCAAGACCTTAGATGTAAATATATCGAGCGATTCTCTCACAGAAATATCGAAATTATTGAGTACCATTATTGTAAAATAATTGTGTAATCACGGGAAAAGTTTACACTGTGCTGCTGTACAAGAAAACGTAGAGAACTCAATGTCTGATTTGGAAAATTATTTATGTACTTTGTAAGGTCACTCTCACTGAATTTATATAAATTTGTATGCATAAGCTCTTGTATATGTCCCCTATGATGTAATTGTTTGATATCTAACCTATGACTCGGATGGCTCTCGGAAATAAAGAGATTGAATCGAAAAAACTGAGTATGGCAAGCCAAGTTGTCATTTAATCAAGGAGCAATGTTGATCCAGTACTTAACCAAATTATATAAGATATCTCATATATTATATAAGATATCTTATAAATTATATAAGACATCTTATAAACATATAAGATATCTTATATAATTAAATGAGATATCTTATATAATTTGGTTAAGTACTGGATCAACATTGCTCCATGAATAAATGACAACTTGGCTTGCCATAAATCGAAAAAACTGAGCATGCTCAGGAGCGTTCGCAAACGTCTGCGGAGACTGTTGTGCTTTGTAAAGATGAACGGACATAAGGCTCGCGAATTGTCACACGTCTGAACGCACATTTGGTTTGCATAAGTTGTGGAGCAAGATGAAAAGAAGATGGTGACAGATGCTGGACCGAAATATCTAGTACTTTAAATTTTGTCGGTGTATGTAGTACAGTAATATGCAGTAGTGTTCTCGTCTCCGAAGTGCCCGGTATATACAGATGTAGTCCAGAGGAGTATTATACCTTGCAATGTCTTTTACAATGCATTGGCAATGGTTTAAACATCTTCCTAGAGAGACCACCAAACACACTTTCTAGAAAGGGAATATGTTAACCTGTTTGTGTATTGGAATCAAAAAATATGTAAAATAATAATTTCTTTTACCGGATGACCTTTTTTATTTTATTTTTTCTTTACAGCCAAAAACTAATAATGTAAACAGTCCTTTTATCGAACTAAACTTTGCTCGATATCACCGTATGTAGAAAAAATGACGCGGGTCTATTTCACCATTGAAAATCACTATCTGTGTAAAAGTCAAAACCGATTATACTTAATTGATACCGACGTTGTTTCTCGCTGCCGTGTGAGCGTAGAGAAGTTCCGGGGTTCAATTATCTATAGGGCTATCTCCTCATCAGGCGGAACGCACCACTGTTCCGACGTCAGTGCTCGTGCTCAGGCACGTGCCGAGCAGAGGACAGTTATTAGAGCTAATTATTAATTGCCACACGACCTTTCCGGAGCGATTAATAAGGTATTCCGTTGTTTTGTAGTGAGACATATTTTCTGGTTGTTCACGGTAGAGTTGTCCGTCCTTGCTTACACCCAGTTGTGAGTTCATGTCCTCACTTGTTCCTGGTAGTGAGTTTGCTGACCTTACTTCTTTCCCGTCCCTCCTTTTTTCCGGTAGTGATTTATTCTGACATGATCTGTCCTCGATAGTGAGTTGTCTTTCTTTGTTCCCGGTTCCTACCATATATTGGTACCCTTTGTAACCGTTAACGTTAACATGTAGGAAATCTCACGAGCCAACGTTAACACTGAGGAAATCTCACGAGCCAACGTTTACACTGAGGAAATCTCACGAGCCAACGTTTCCACTGAGGAAATCTCACGAGCCAACGTTTACACTGCGGAAATCTTACGAGTCAACGTTTACCCTGAGGAAATCTCCCGAGCCAACGTTTACACTGAGGAAATCTCACGAGCCAACGTTTACACTGAGGAAATCTCACCAACCAAAGTTAACATGGAGGAAATCTCACGAGCCAACGTTTACACTGAGGAAATCTCACGAGCCAACGTTTACACACTGAGGAAATCTCACGAGCCAACGTTTACACTGAGGAAATCTCACGAGCCAACGTTTACACTGCGGAAATCTCACGAACCAACGTTTACACTGAGGAAATCTCACGAACCAACGTTTACTCTGAGGAAATCTCACGAACCAACGTTTACACGGAGGAAATCTAACAAACCATCAAACGTTTACACTGGCGACGCTGGCTCACAACCTTACTGTTGAATAGGCGACTTTACGACCATGCATTAAAACATTGAAGTTTGAACTTAACAAAAGTGAAATCGTACTACCGAACGTTTACACAAGTCAAGAATTACGACTGCGAACATTCAAACATGTGAAATATAACGAAATGTCGTTTACACGGCTGAAATTACGACCTGACGTTACCAAGATAAATCTTTAACCTGACGTTTTTACACGATGTGAAATCTTACGACATAACGTAATCTTACACTCCGGCGAACTATTCTCTTGACCTTGGGTTGAAATGTGGGATCCGACAACCAACCGAATGTGCTCATTTTACATCGAGCAAAAACACAATTCGCACGACCGGATCAGACAATTGAAAACTTCCATTTTGTTAAGAATTGAGCTCGTGCTGCAGTTTTTATATACATTTTATTAGATGGTTGGCAACACATTTCCGCTCAAAATTCGGTAACTCCTTCAAAGTCCGACATTCTACAGAAACACCATTTCTTAACATGAAGTTCTCCCCGCAACGAGAACAAAACATAGAACATAATACAGGGACCATAAATACCACAATACCTCCGCTATATGTCTAACATTGTCATTGATTTAGATATTGAAATAAAAAATACACTTTACTTGTTCTACAGCAATTACGAAACAAGTTATATCATCTTATATAAATCACTCTTGTTAGCCCGGATGTTAGCGCGCATGGGGTCTTATTGTGGGAGGAAACCGAAGTACCTGGAGAAAACACATGTGACCGGGCAGGTGACCCCATTTCCCATGATATAGATATACGGTAATATTTAACAAACGTAAAAAAAACACCTTGTCAAGGCTTCCAGAATTGACTGCAAAATTTTAATAGTACTCCTAGTACATGTATCACTATAGTTTGATTGCCAATACATGATAGTTAGTACATGTACATGTAGTTTTGGGTTGCCCAAAGACAACCGATAATTCAATTCCACGTTTTTCTTTCCTTTAGCCTGCTCTTTACACAACGCCTTACAAAACAACATACATTTATTTGTAACATTAAACATGTATTTAAACACTCAATTTTAGTCCCACACATCACACTGTGAAATTATTTGCACCCGGCCCCTTAGAATTAAAAGTTATTTCATCATTGAAATAATGTTTATAGTGAAAATTTCTCAGGCATTTTTTTTTTAATTTCTATAATTTCTATACTTCTGAAAAGAAATGCAGACAACTCGATTAACGCCCGTTTACGTTGACTGGTTATGAATATTTGTCTGTAATCCTACGCAGTCTTATAGAACTGTAACTCGGACCAGAATGCAGTTCTGACTTAGATATCCGTGGTATTCTTCTTCAAAATCTCGGTGACTTTTCAATGAACTGAACAGCAAACAGCGGGTATCGTCCATCTTTCTCCAGCGTTATGATTATGACGTCACATTTATAATGACGTCATGGTTATCACTTTAGATTTTTGGTCTCATAGATCACAACTGGCTGAAGCAGTGGCAGAGCAAATGTATCATATATCGCCCTTTCTTTCGTCATTCTCTGGGGTTTGCAGGGGAATCGATTTTGTCGTTACAATATGTATTCCTCTCTGTATATTTGTGGCAAAATTGAGTAATGAGAACAAAGGACTTACAAGATAGCTTTCCTATGACCGGTATAGTTTCCTCATATACATACTTTTTAAATATAGCCATTTTACTTGACATTATTAGTAAACTAGTAACACGTTCTACAAATGTTACAGTAAAAATGGATACATTAATGCCTAGGTCACTGTCTTTAACGGAACAAGGGTTAGGCGATACAAGAGAATAACTATAAATTTGCAACTGAAACCAAACATATTGGATTTGCGTTCATTTTAAATTAAGCTAATCAATTACCAGAGGAGCCCCATATATTACGTAGTAAGGACAGGATTGGACAGATTCTATCTTCCTCGTATATAAAGGGGAGGATCATGAATAATGCCTGGCCCACAATCACCTTCCGCAGGTGTTACATAGACTGGCGACCCCTACACCAGATACGATCTCAGCGATTTATCTAATCCTTCTGCTGACTTTGGCTAAGTCTTTCTGCACATCAGGTCAGGCCCGACACCCAGATAGATATTATATTACACAAGGCCGCTGTTGTTTTATGTAACTTTATTCAAATCTCGTTGAAACATGTCATCCATGACAGTTACGAGATTTGAATTGAAAGCCGTTTAAGCAGGCGTCGTATTTCACAGGCTCCTTACTGTACCGGATCATCCTACAGCAGTCGAGTGACAATTAACAAAGAACATCGCCTCGCAAGAGTACGGACTAAGGCGGGCATAAGGTACCATTAGTTATACCTGTTTGAAACTGAAGCAAGTTTTGATTGTATCAGCAATATGATGGGTTTTTTAATAATTTAATAGTACTGTAGCATCTCTCAGCGAAGCATATCAAAAAAGAGCACAGGCTGATGTGGTCTGTCGTAATAGCTGATGGGCATATCTCACTATCGAAACCAGTCTTATTTGATCCTTTTTATTTGTCCTCCTGTTTTTAAATACAGTTCTTGTAGTATTACAGTAGGCGAGACTAAGTTAAAGTACCAATGTATTTGAAGTTTTGTCTCTTTCTCTAAAGCTTTTCACTGAACTTACGTTGATACTTTAAGGTAAACGAACGGGGATATTTATATGGTCGGATGTATTTGTACAGTCGAGGATAAGCGACACATAGTATTTTTATGGTCCGGAATACGGGAATATCTGTAAAACGTATATATTCGTGCGGTAAGGAATATCTGCGACACATTTCTATGTATGGTCGGGGATATATGCGATACATGATGTTGTACAGTCGGAGATATTTGTGATACATAGTTTTGTACAGTCGGGGATATTTGTGATACATAGTTTTGTACAGTCGGGGATATTTGTGATACATAGTTTTGTACAGTCGGGGATATTTGTGATACATAGTTTTGTACAGTCGGGGATATTTGTGATACATAGTTTTGTACAGTCGGGGATATTTGTGATACATAGTTTTGTACAGTCGGGGATATTTGTGATACATAGTTTTGTACAGTCGGGGATATTTGTGATACATAGTTTTGTACAGTCGGGGATATTTGTGATACATAGTTTTGTACAGTCGGGGATATTTGTGATACATAGTTTTGTACAGTCGGGGATATTTGTGATACATAGTTTTGTACAGTCGGGGATATTTGTGATACATAGTTTTGTACAGTCGGGGATATTTGTGATACATAGTTTTGTACAGTCGGGGATATTTGTGATACATAGTTTTGTACAGTCGGGGATATTTGTGATACATAGTTTTGTACAGTCGGGGATATTTGTGATACATAGTTTTGTACAGTCGGGGATATTTGTGATACATAGTTTTGTACAGTCGGGGATATTTGTGATACATAGTTTTGTACAGTCGGGGATATTTGTGATACATAGTTTTGTACAGTCGGGGATATTTGTGATACATAGTTTTGTACAGTCGGGGATATTTGTGATACATAGTTTTGTACAGTCGGGGATATTTGTGATACATAGTTTTGTACAGTCGGGGATATTTGTGATACATAGTTTTGTACAGTCGGGGATATTTGTGATACATAGTTTTGTACAGTCGGGGATATTTGTGATACATAGTTTTGTACAGTCGGGGATATTTGTGATACATAGTTTTGTACAGTCGGGGATATTTGTGATACATAGTTTTGTACAGTCGGGGATATTTGTGATACATAGTTTTGTACAGTCGGGGATATTTGTGATACATAGTTTTGTACAGTCGGGGATATTTGTGATACATAGTTTTGTACAGTCGGGGATATTTGTGATACATAGTTTTGTACAGTCGGGGATATTTGTGATACATAGTTTTGTACAGTCGGGGATATTTGTGATACATAGTTTTGTACAGTCGGGGATATTTGTGATACATAGTTTTGTACAGTCGGGGATATTTGTGATACATAGTTTTGTACAGTCGGGGATATTTGTGATACATAGTTTTGTACAGTCGGGGATATTTGTGATACATAGTTTTGTACAGTCGGGGATATTTGTGATACATAGTTTTGTACAGTCGGGGATATTTGTGATACATAGTTTTGTACAGTCGGGGATATTTGTGATACATAGTTTTGTACAGTCGGGGATATTTGTGATACATAGTTTTGTACAGTCGGGGATATTTGTGATACATAGTTTTGTACAGTCGGGGATATTTGTGATACATAGTTTTGTACAGTCGGGGATATTTGTGATACATAGTTTTGTACAGTCGGGGATATTTGTGATACATAGTTTTGTACAGTCGGGGATATTTGTGATACATAGTTTTGTACAGTCGGGGATATTTGTGATACATAGTTTTGTACAGTCGGGGATATTTGTGATACATAGTTTTGTACAGTCGGGGATATTTGTGATACATAGTTTTGTACAGTCGGGGATATTTGTGATACATAGTTTTGTACAGTCGGGGATATTTGTGATACATAGTTTTGTACAGTCGGGGATATTTGTGATACATAGTTTTGTACAGTCGGGGATATTTGTGATACATAGTTTTGTACAGTCGGGGATATTTGTGATACATAGTTTTGTACAGTCGGGGATATTTGTGATACATAGTTTTGTACAGTCGGGGATATTTGTGATACATAGTTTTGTACAGTCGGGGATATTTGTGATACATAGTTTTGTACAGTCGGGGATATTTGTGATACATAGTTTTGTACAGTCGGGGATATTTGTGATACATAGTTTTGTACAGTCGGGGATATTTGTGATACATAGTTTTGTACAGTCGGGGATATTTGTGATACATAGTTTTGTACAGTCGGGGATATTTGTGATACATAGTTTTGTACAGTCGGGGATATTTGTGATACATAGTTTTGTACAGTCGGGGATATTTGTGACAATATAATTGTACAGTCGAGGATATTTGTGACAATAGAATTGTACAGTCGGGGATATCTGTGATACATCGTTTTGTACAGTCGAGGATATTTGTGATACATAGTTTTGTACAGTCGGGGATATTTGTGATACATAGTTTTGTACAGTCGGGGATATAAGTGATACATAGTTTTGTACAGTCGAGGATATTTGTGACAATAAGATTTGTACAGTCGGGGGATATTTGTGATATATAATTTTGTACAGTCGGGGATATCTGTGATACGTAGTTTTGTACAGTCGGGGATATTTGTGATACGTAGTTTTGTACAGTCGGGGATATTTGTGATACGTAGTTTTGTACAGTCGGAGATACATGTATATGTTATACATAGTTTTGTATGGTCGGGGATATTTGTGATATATAGTTTTGTACAGTCGGGGATATTTGTGATACGTAGTTTTGTACAGTCGGGGATATTTGTGATACGTAGTTTTGTACAGTCGGGGATATTTGTGAAACATAGTTTTGTACAGTCGGAGATACATGTATATGTTATACATAGTTTTGTACAATCGGGGACATTTTTGATATACAGTTTTGTACAGTCGGGAATATATGTGATACATAGTTTTGTACAGTCGGGAATATTTATTATATAGATTTGTACGGTCGGGGACATCTGTTTTGTCGAATATATAATTTGTAAAGTCGCAAAAATATGTTCATATATGTCACCTAACTACGGTCCTGGTTAGAACCGATGCTATTATATATGTATTTGTATACATGTATGTGTTTGTCGATTTCGGGTAATACTCTGAAATGAACGATTTCTTCGTATGATTACAGTCTTTTAAATTGGTGGAATATACAAAATCATTAACGTTATGGAATAAAATAATAGTCAGACGCTACTTAATTACAAACATGTATGCGTTAGGTTTTGTTCCAGCCGAGGGTAACTTTTGAACTTTACAATATTCCGATAAGTTACATGATCAATTTGAGCTAATGAGGATCGTTATTACATCATATCAAATGTCACGATCTCGTAACATTTTCATTCTGACGTCACTCGCGCCTGGCTAAACAATGACACAACATATGATAACGGTGGCTATATTCATTCAGTACTGAAACAAGCGCTCTTAATTAACCGGACCCTACCATAAAATCTGCTAATATCAAACACTCGACACACGGCAATTACACTGTTACTTACATTCCTATTGACCGCGGCAAAACATTAATTCTCCCCTAATTCAATCAACTCATAATCTGCATGGACTGCTAGCACGAGATCTTCTACTAAATTGTTTGATACTTTTTCAATTGTTTATGTCACCGCGCGTGCAGATTCGCGCCATCTGTCATTCTATTTTTCAAACGTCTAAACCGAAGAGGAGTTTCAATGCGAGACACAAAATAGATCTCACATATGGCACCAAAGTGCGTTTTAGATAGTTTCTGGTCCGCGACTGAAATGATTCTTTTGTTAAGTTTGCGAAATATATTGATCAAAATTCATTAATTAGACAACTTAGGTTAGTGGAAATCTTCTGCTGTTTCGGTGTGATCGCCCTGGACTCGCCCGGCCTTTCAGTACAGCACATATGGCGATATAGCCGGGCTCGTCTTTTATACAATCATGAATCATTGCTTCTCGATAAAATTTGCTTTAAACAATAAAAATGACTGATTAAAACTGAAGATATCATCATTGGTTAATGAAACAAAGTAAGGAACGACGTGAAAATACGACATTGAAGATTAAAATCGGCGGTATGCCCCAGTACATAAAGTCGTCATAGCGCAGTCATCACTGGGAGAATCTATCATAGAAATCAAACGGTCGGGTTTTACTAATCAATGTATACGTGTCTATAGAGGCTGATATACTAACATATATACCTAACACCGAGTGTAACATTTGGTGTCTGCATCAAAACACACTAATAATTAGTCAGAAAAAAACCTCTCTCGTTTTCAATATCAACATTTTATTTTTTTTAAATGTTTCAGTAACATCACTAAGTGTATGATATTCACATACATTTAGCACAGTTCATCACAGACAACAAAGTACTGGCAAAGGGAAATGTCATCATGATTCAGGGGCGTGTCGTCACAACAGACAACACAGTACCGATTCAGGGGCGTGTCGTCACAACAGACAACACAATAGTGATTCCCGGGCTAGACCAAAGTAACCGACTTAAAAATATAAAGGATACAGTCGGTTATTTCAGTTTGTCAGCACAGACGAAAAATAAAATTACTCGGAACCACCGATAATTAAGAATGGACTTGCTGTCGTGTCGCATTAACGAACTACTGACTCAGGGCTGTGTCATCATAGAGGGGATAATACTGCCTTACTGGCAAACTAGCTTTTCCAGTGATGCGGTAAAACCGGGGGACCCTCTCACTAGTTCAGCAACGTCGAGCGCGGTCAGTAGATTGGCGACCGCACGCACGTTACACTAGGTACATTTAGACCACTATGTTACAAGGGAAATAACTCTTACACAGAAGGCTGGACAAATGAGTTTGTGCGACTACAGGTATGCTAACAAAATATTAACTTTCCCCTTCACACAATTCTGTGGTCATTCTTAACTTCTTACACAATCTGCTTACACAAAATGTACTTCCGGTGGTCATTTTTAACTTCTTACACATATTTTCGGTGGTCAGTTCGAACTTCTTACAAATACTTCCAGTAGTCAGTTATAACAACTTACACATACTTCCGGTGGTCAGTTTTGACATCTTACACATACTTCCGGTGGTCAGTTTTACCTTGCCCCTACATAACGCTGTAAAGCCCATGGTACTACCTGCCCCGCATCATTTTCTCATAAGTGCTGGATCAGTTTTACCCGAGAGTGTGTACAAATACACACTGGATAGAAAATCAAACTACTTTTTCAAATTAAAAGTAAACTTTAAAACGTTTTCATCTTAAAAGATCACATGAACATAGCTGCATGTTTGTCTAAGTTTCTTTAAGGAGAAATGGTAAAGATACTCAGGCATTTCAATACCATATCTTTAAATCCAAGTAATATGTGTAAAGGTAGTAAATATTGAAATTTAATTTAATAACGATTAATGATCGACTTCTGAAATAAACCAAATCTATACTTTCTCGTAAGACAAAGTTGACATTTATTTCAAATTTGAGGTATTCTGGTTGTTGCCTAAACAGGGTATACATGAATCTGTTGTCCATTTACCATTAAAATAAAACCGAATTTAGCCTTCTATACACCACAGAACAGGTTTTATACATGTAATACTCAAACTGTTATAGAGGTTATTCCAACAATAAGTATATAGTATTGCCTGTTAGACATCAAATAAGATTTGATTTTGTTTTGTTAATTCTATTAAATATTGTATCATATTTTTTGTCTTTCCTAATCATCTGCTGTTTTGAATATTTCTACATGTGAGCTTTGTGGTTACAATATTCTGATATCAGTAACAAAACGCTGATATGTGGGGATCTCACCATATTGTACATAACATGAAATAAGCACAGTGCAAGTAAACAATCTAAAACAATGGCAATACACATACTATAAAGAATGAAAACATGGCAGTTATTTGATAAAATCTCATCGCACGCACGAAGCAAAAGAGGACAGGTACATTGTACTAGACTGAACACAACAACAAAATGAAAAATACCATTCAACAACAGACATGACACAGACATCACTAGAACAAATAGAACACGCAGTAATCACAATCTTACATGTACTTCTTAACATTTACAAAAATTACAAAAATATCAAGTTCAAAAATAAATTAAGCAACCTAGAAAATGGCCCCTAAGTTAAGAGATCATACAGCTATAGTATCAAAGTGTTGAATATGCTAAAATTGACATCAGTTACATGTAGTTCTAATAGAAGTCAGTATGATGGTAATTTGATACCAAAGGGATGTTCTCCACAATATTTCAAACATATTCTTCTCTATTGTTGAAATATAGTCTGTCATCTATTATCAATTACCCGAATATTTGCTTGTAAATCAGGTGTAATGTTTGCCTGTAAATCAGGTGTAATGTTTGCCTGTAAATCAGGTGTAATGCTTGCCTGTAAATCAGGTGTAATACTTGTCTGTAAATCAGGTGTGATATTTACCAGTACATTAGGTGTTATACTTTACTGTCAACAAATGTAATATTCATGTGTAAATCAGGTGTTATATTTACCTGTAAATCAGGTGTAATATTAACCTGTAAATCAGGTATAATATTTACCTGTTAGTAGGGTGTTATGTTTAATTGTAAAACAAGTATAATATTTACCTGTTAGTAGGGTGTAATATTTACCTGTTAGTAGGGTGTAATATTTACCTGTTAGTAGGGTGTAATGTTTACCCTTAAATCAGGTGTAATATTAACCTGTAAGTCAGATATAATATTTACCTGTTGATCAGGTGTAATATTTACCAGTAAATCAGGCGTAATATTTACCAGTAAATCAGCTGTAGTATGTACCAGTAAATCAGGCGTAATATTTACCAGGAAATCAGGTGTAATATTTACCAGTAAATAAGGTGTAATATCAACCAGTAAATCAGGTGTAATATTTACCAGTAAATCAGGGGTAATATTTACCAGTAAATCAGGTGTAGTATTTACCAGAAAATCAGGTGTAATATTTACCAGTAAATCAGGTGTAATATCAACCAGTAAATCAGGTGTAATGTTAACATGTTAATCAGGTGTGATATTAACCTGTTAATCAGGTTTAATGTTTAACAGTAAATCAGTTGTAATATTTACTTGTAAATCAGGTGTAATATCAACCAGTAAATCAGGCGTAATATTTACCAGTAAATCAGGTGTAATATCAACCAGTAAATCAGGCGTAATGTTAACATGTTAATCAGGTGTGATATTAACCTGTTAATCAGGTTTAATGTTTAACAGTATATCAGTTGTAATATTTACTTGTAAATCAGGTGTAATATTTAAATCTAAAGGTATTATATTTACTCAAGTCACCGCATCATGACACCGTAAACAGAAAAAAAAGAATTCAACTTTAAGTGGGGGAAGCCTTCCTGCTTAAAAATCATCGTCAAAATGTGGTTTTTTTTTATTAATTTATCACCATAACAGGAAACTGATCTTGAGCAGAATCTTAATAAAAAAATAAGAATTATTTCTTGAATATGGTTCCGGGGGTTTGGGTAAATGAGTAGGGCTACAACAGCACATTCCTTTATTCATGATATATTTTATAATGAAGTTTATAAAAGAATTACAGGCAATAGGCATTCTGGGGAGAAGGTTGGCTGGGGAGAAGGTTGGCTGTGGAGACTGGACGGATTGAGGACAGGATATAAAAGCAGGGTCATGGTGAAGATGAACCCTACACTAATGCTGTCTCCAAAATCAACTCGGAAGTTGCCTTCTCATCATTGATCATTGCACATTGTCTATAACTTCAGATCTTTGATCTGTAGCTGAGATGTAATTCTCCCAACACTTGAGGAAACATTCAGATAACAGAATATTAAAAGACAGTGTGCCAGGCCCTGTCACCGCCAAAGAGTGAACTGGGGCTTGGACATCTTTTGCTGTGACTGGCTATCTTCTTGGTCAGCCAGCACATCACCGGTCACTGCCGCATGTATGAACGGGTCACTGTTGTAGGCATAGGCGGACTCGGGTCGACTATCTGCTGCCTACAAAGGTCAATGTGAAAAATGTTACAGAAAAAGCAAACTTAACACACTAAACAAATAGACAATCTACCAAAAATAAAACGTTTAAAAATAAATAAGGCTCAGCAAGGTACATCCCTAACCAAATATCATATGGGTATATATATAATCATCATACTAAGAGAAATATTATTGATAGTATGTACGTACTAATTGATCAGGGACAAATCTGTCTATTTCATTTATTTTACAAACAAATCAATAAAACAACTTACTGTGAGGGTTGGCTGGCACATTTATCAAAAATGATCTCACTTAGCTTTATCAGAGAAAGTTCAATTCAGAAAAGCCATAGGACACTTCAGACCATTCATGTCAATAGCAAAATAGGAATTTCACTCCGATATAAAAAAAGCCAAATTAAACTAAGCTTAAATAGTGTTTCCCTTTACCACAAGTATAGTGTTGTGTCAACATCACCAGTAAGCATTATTCACACGCCATTACCTCCCTTTACATGTATATGCCGCACCCTTATCACAGTGATCTCACTTGTTAATCACAGTGAACACTCTTAGTGAGAACAAGTCATGTTTGTTGATCACAGTGATCTCCCTTTATGTGCAATTTGTATGTTAATCACAGTGATCTCCCTTTTTGTGCAAAATGTGTATGTTAATCACAGTGATCTCCCTTTATGTGCAAAATTTGTATGTTAATCACAGTGATCTCCCTTTATGTGCAAAATTTGTATGTAAATCACAGTGATCTCTCTTGAGATATATGTAAGTCACAAGTAAATATTTACATTTGCACTGCATAGGGCCTAGATAACTCTACTGGTCCCATTGTAACATATTTTCCAATGAACTACAACGGGGATTAGGTCAGTGTAGTGATACACTGACCTAATTACTGCCAAACGGCGATGTTCCGCTGTGTTGTGTCTTAAAATGTTATTGCATGACAATTAAATCGCTAAATGACCACAACATATATTAAAATGGTCACATGTTAGTATACAAATTGGTAATTGACATATATGCATTTAAATTAAAAAAAATCTATTATTAAATTGATGTGTTTACTGTGGAACTTTCTTGTTTATTGTTTTTGTCGACTTGGTTGCCCTTGACAACGACTGTGGAATGCGAAACTACCCGGGTGTTCCAAACAATTTACCGCTGACCTAGTCGGTGTGTATAAGAGTTTTAAAACAGCAATTAACAATCCTCACAACATTGCACAACTAATATTATTGGTTTGGAATATAGATATAAGGATTGGTTGTCCTTTTTTTGACGTTAATTGGCGTGTAAACTACATTGGGCTTGCGATATATTTAACATGGTGGGCTCCATTCAATATATCGCAAGCCCGATGTAGTTTACACGCCAATAAACGTCAAAAATATGACACCCAATCCTTGAATAACAGCGATATCCATTTTTGGGTATAAGATGTAGTTTAATCACAGTGATCTCCCTTTAGGAGTAAAACTTGAAAGCTTATTACAGTGAAACTCAAACATGAATTACAGTGCTCTCCCTTTCTGTTTATTTATCGCTTATTAATCACAATGATTTCTCTTTGTGTGTATCTCTTTTTATGTTTTAAATTAACACATTAATTACACTTATCTCCCTTTTTATGTCCAATTTCTATGCTTGTTGTCACTAGTTAACAAAGGTGATATATCAAGTGAAACTGTTCATAGACAAATATCTAGGACTTACATGATCGTCAGCCTGAAATATTAAACACAAATGTTCTTGTCTGTCAATGTCTTGTACATCTTCCCTCTGTCAGCTAACCAAGTGTACAATATTTGTACTAGTTATGTACTATGTAATATATAACCATGTATAATATAAACAATATTTGTACTAGTTATGTACTATGTAATATATAACCATGTATAATATAAACAATATTTGTACTAGTTATGTACTATGTAATTTATAACCATGTATAATAGAAACAATATTTGTACTAGTTATGTACTATGTAGTATATAACCATGTTTAATAGAAACAATATGTGTACTAGTTATGTACTATGTAGTATATAACCATGTTTAATAAAAACAATATGTGTACTAGTTATGTACTATGTAGTATATAACCATGTTTAATAGAAACAATATGTGTACTAGTTATGTACTATGTAGTATATAACATGTATAATAAAAACAATATGTGTACTAGTTACGTAATATGTAATATATAACCATGTATAATAGAACCAATATTTGTACTAGTTATGTACTATGTAATATATAACCATGTATAATACAAACAATATGTTTACTAGTTATGTACTATGTAATATATAACCATGTATAATAGGAACAATATTTGTACTAGTTATGTACTATGTAATATATAACCATGTATAATACAAACAATATGTTTACTAGTTATGTACTATGTAATATATAACCATGTATAATACAAACAATATGTTTACTAGTTATGTACTATGTAATATATAACCATGTATAATAGAAACAATATGTTTACTAGTTATGTACTATGTAATATATAACCATGTATAATATAAACAATATTTGTACTAGTTATGTACTATGTAATATATAACCATGTATAATACAAACAATATGTTTACTAGTTATGTACTATGTAATATATAACCATGTATAATACAAACAATATGTTTACTAGTTATGTACTATGTAATATATAACCATGTATAATAAAAACAATATTTGCACTAGTTATGTACTATGTAGTATATCACCATGTATAATACAAAACAATATGTGTACTAGTTATGTACTATGTAATATATAACCATGTATAATAGGAACAATATTTGTACTAGTTATGTACTATGTAATTTATAACCATGTATAATAGAAACAATATTTGTACTAGTTATGTACTATGTAGTATATAACCATGTTTAATAAAAACAATATGTGTACTAGTTACGTACTATGTAATATATAACCATGTATAATAGAAACAATATGTGTACCAGTTATGTACCATGTAATATATAACCATGTATGATAGAAACAATATGTGTACTAGTTATGTACCATGAAATATAAAACCATGTATGATAGAAACAATATGTGTACTAGTTATGTACCATGAAATATAAAACCATGTATGATAGAAACAATATGTGTACTAGTTATGTACCATGTAATATATAACCACGTATGATAGAAACAATATGTGTACTAGTTATGTACTATGTAGTATATAACCATGTATACTAGAAACAATATTTGTACTAGTTATGTACTATGTAATATATAACCATGTATAATAGAAACAATATGTGTACTAGTTATGTACCATGTAATATATAACCATGTATGATAGAAACAATATGTGTACTAGTTATGTACTATGTAGTATATAACCATGTATAATAAAAACAATATGTGTACTAGTTACGTACTATGTAATATATAACCATGTATAATAGAAACAATATGTGCACTAGTTATGTATTATGTAGTATATCACCATGTATAATAAAAACAATATGTGTACTAGTTATGTACTATGTAGTACATAATATGTATATAACCATGTATAATAGAATCCTCAGCAAACTTCAGTACACATTCATATACATCTAATCAGGGGATATAATCAAATTGTGAGATAGTTATAACGAAAAGTAATGAAAATTTCCTTAAAAATATTAAAACAGCAATTAAATGATACAATTTAATGGCCATAAATTCTTTTCATATTTACCATTACAGAATATATTTACTCTGTATGCTAAGAAATAAGGTGTAGACTGCAATCAGTCTCAGTAAAGTGAGAGGGTCTGAGATAGGTTTACTGTACTCACCATTCTGATTCCCTGACCCGGTGCTGTATATGCTTGTCGATTTTTTGAACCTGCGTCGGCAGTAACCTGAATAAAATACAGGATAGTAACTAAATACCCAGGAAAATAAAACCACAAATGTATATTTATATTTGTGACACTTGACCCCATGTTTCATAGATAACTTAGGTGGCCCTTCTTGATCACACGGTATAGTGGGCTGTGTCAGCCAAACAATTAATCTGATAACTGTCATTGCTGACTTTTGACATATGATAGATAAGACAGTTTTCATTGTCTGAAATTCAGGAATATAACATATTAAATATGCTACTCAATACCTTTTTTATGACACCTTTCTCAATGAGTTCAGACTTTCTGCTCCGTGACAATCCCAGCATGGCAAAGTGAGGCCAGATCTTGTCTGAGGCCGAGGCAAAATCTTTAGGGGTCCTGAAACCAACAATATCTAGCTTTAAGATCACTTTGACATGCTATCAATGTGTTGACAGTTTAACATGCTTTCAATGTGTTGACAGTTTAACATGCTATCAATGTGTTGACAGTTTAACATGTCAGTGAATTTGTGCAGTGAAAACAAAAGAATATAAGAAACAGAATTAGTGCAAAAATGTGTTTTAGAAAAGTGCTTACAGATACCCCTTTAATAACTTACAGTATTTAGTAATTCCATATCTAAGTGTTGTCAACCTTTTTTAGAAGATAAGTTTATATAACAGATACCTCTACTTACTCCTATTGGTTATTTCCATGTTACTGTATGCCCCAAGGCAGTCAACACAGTACTGAATTATGTTAGTTCCAGGCATCTTTTCACATAAACTCAAAAACTGTCTTCATATTTCTAATATTTTCAATACTATATTATTTTTTTAATCCCATTTGCTCTATTGGGAAGCACTATACCCCTATCCAGAACTGTCATTATTGTTTATACTTTAAACTGAAACCCCAATGGGGCTCCAACCTAACTAGGTTCCACACAAACAAATCCATTTTGACCAGGGAGTCTTCTTACCAAATTAAGTAAAATTATCCTGATCTGTTAATTGACGGAGCAGTCTTTTAATTTTTTTAACCTATATCCCCTTTCTTGCCTTATGACCTCTTTGCATCCAGGGTGACTTGCCATCATTTATATTTATTGATTCCATTGCCTAATGGATGCATATTGCCCAATTGAATAACAAGAGGCCCATGGGCCTTAACGGTCACCTGAGTCTATAGTATTTATTTTTGTTGTTGAAATATGTACCAATTTGAGTAAAAAATAGTATAATGTTAACTTAACTTTGTCAGGACCATGAGCTGATCATTCCTAGACCAATTTTAAGTGAGATCGGCCTATTAGAACTTAGTAGCAAAATAGCGGCCATGGCAGCCAAATTGTATTTCTGATTGACCCGAAAAATAACAACACTTTGTCAGGACCATGATTCGATCATTCCTACAAAGTTTCAGTTCAATCGGCCAAGTAGATCTTTACTTTAAGTTTGAAATAGTTTACCAAAATGGCAGCTGTGGTGGCCATATTGGATTTCTGATCGACCTGAAAAATAACAACACTTTGTCAGGACCATGAGTCAATCATTCCTACAAAGTTTCAGTTCAATCGGCCTAGCAGAACTTGACTTTAAGTTTGAAATATGTTTTCAAAATGGTGGCCGTGGCGGCCATATTGGATTTATGATTGACCTGAAAAATAACAACACTTTGTCAGGACCATGAGTCGATCATTCCTACAAACTTTAAGTTCAATCGGTCCAGCAGAACTTGACTTTAAGTTTGAAATAGGTTTTCAAAATGGCGGCCGTGGTGGCCATATTGGATTTCTGATCGACCCAAAAAATAACAACACTTTGTCAGGACCATGAGGCGATCATTCCTACCAACTTTCAGTTCAATCGGTCCAGCAGAACTTGACTTTAAGTTTGAAATAGGTTTTCAAAATGGTGGCCGTGGCGGCCATATTGGATTTCTGATCGACCCGAAAAATAACAACACTTTGTCAGGACCATGAGGCGATCATTCCTACCAACTTTCAGTTCAATCGGCCCAGCAGAACTTGACTTTAAGTTTGAAATGTAAAATGTTAACGGACGACGGACGACGGACGACGGACGACGGACGACGACGGACGAAAACGGATAGCAATAGGTCACTTGAGCTAAAGCTCAGGTGACCTAAAAATCCCTTCAGTCATTCTAGACAAGACTTGTAATGGAAAGGTGACAAACAAATCATACACCAAAGCATTGTACTGTTAAACTTTTAGGTTTTTTTTCTTTACCAATCCTAAATGTTTTTCTGTTTAATCAGTGATTTAATTAAATTAAACTATAACATGCAAATAGTTGAAATTGGTCAATCCAAACAGCGTAACTATCAGACTTACCTCCCTTACTACATTTGTATTCAGACTAAATTACTTCCCCTACCAAATTTGAAATCGGATTAACATAGATCTACTATCACCTTGCTATTCAGAACCTGTACTAACTTTGCATAAAGACTTGCATCCATTAAAACATTTGCACAGACTTTCTATCTTTCATTTGCCATCTTTTTTTGTATACATACTTACCTCCCCTTACTTTGTATTCAGTTTATCTCCCTTACTTTATTTACATGTACTCAGACTTACCTTCCCTCAGAGTCTGGCAGTTCGGGCTGAGCACCACTTTCAAGCAATACCATCACAATCTACAGACAAAAGACAACATAGATTTAACATTGATAATACCCATTTTCATTGTAAAAGCAAATCTGAAAAACTGTCCTTCAATGCAAAAAGTTAATCTAAAAAGTTTTTATTACAAAATTAACTTGCAAAACAAACTTGAAATAAAAGGCAACACTCACAGACTACTAAGGCCTAGAGAAATATGCCAAAGGTCAAAGCTTACAGATCTAGATCTAACAGATCTTGAGACATATGGCTTAATTATAGACATCTCAAATGACACTTACCGGTCCGTGTTCCTGGAAGCTGGCTGCATGTAGAGGGGTCCACAGAGTACCTTTGTTCTGACTGTTTGGGTCTAAAACAGGTGTTAGTGCTCACATAGTAACTAGAATCAGTCAATTTCAATTTCAAAAAAATGAAAAATGAAAAATTGAAATAGAATCAGTCATACATTTCTTGATCATTACACTTAGTGTGAGATTGTAAATGTGAACAGTATTACAGTCATTAAATATAGTTACATAATGTCAGTTTTATATCAGTGATATAGTGACTAAATAAAATGTACCTGTTAACAGTTGAAATCAAATTTAAGAGAGAATTTTGTATTCAGGTATTTTGTCCAAAACCGTTAAATCTAACACTTGAAGTTTTAGTTAATTCTTCATAAGTTTAATACATGTACCTTATTTATCAAAAGTTCATTTTATTTCTGAAATTGAATAGAATTGAATAAAAGTGTTAATTTTTCATTTTTTTTCTATCTAACCTGTTCCTTTCACTGAGAACTTCATGATAAAAATCTATAAAGGAAGATGAAGCATCAAGTCAGAAATCAGCCAGGAGTGTAGTTACTTACCACAACCTTTGGCAAGTAAGGCCATCACTATATCTTTAATTCCCCAGAAACAAGCTGAAAGAGGAAAATGAGGTGCTAAAATACCAAAGCTTGATTTGGCAAAAAAACACATATTCTGTATCAGAACGAATTTATTTATTCAGTCCTCTTCCTTGGATTTTTCTTTATGCCACTACTCAGCAGGGGAGGATTTATTTGATTTACAGCTAAAACAAAATTTAATGCTGTGGTCACTTCTAAATAAAACATTGACTTTTTTGTTTTGTTTATGGATTACCTTGACCTTGAACTGCAACATGTGACCTTACCTATATATAGCTGACTCTGCATGACCTCTGGCCCATTGCCCTCCACACTGATGTTTTCAGTGAGGAATCGCTCAACAAGCTGAAGAAAACCAAATTGAATGATGATTATCTTATATAGCTCGTTGTTCCAGTGATACACAGGTACAGCAAAGGTGAAATACAAAAATCAACGATATTAAATCTGCCTTTCAAATTGCTACACTTAACATGTTAACTAGACATCTCTGCCTGAAAAAAATGTGTCGTTACCATAACCTTATACATAATCATAGTTATAAATGAAATCCTTTCAATATTGTTCCATAAGTTTATGTTTCTTTCAAATTTCTCCTTAATTCATTAACAAAATATAACTTAACATTCTTGACATCCGTAACATACAGACCACACAGACATACATAATCAGTAGGATTTCAAAGAAGTACATGGACTCAGTCTAAATTACCAGTTCCTTATCATGTTCAGCGTAAGATAATGAATGGCCAGTAATTTAAAAATGATGTAATGAACTTCATAAATTATAATTAATGTTTCAATAACTATGACAAAAGTTTTGTGTTTAAAAAAAAAAAAAAATATGTCTGGCTAATTGAAAATCAGTCTGGTATATGTATTTACTTACACTGAGTTCTAATTAAGATTTAAGATTGAATTTTAAAAGAAACATACATATGGCTTAAGTTAAGAAAGGAGCAAAGTGAATATGCTTTCTCTGCCTATTAGTTGGCGAGCCACAAAATGGCGTCACTACGATATGAATGAAAATGCTAGGGGTCGCTGCCAAAACCATTTGCATATGAATGAAATGTGAATGAATGACATCCATATAAGGATATGTCAGCTACCATATAAGGACCGAAAGACTATATAAAGTCATAGGTGGCATAAGTATCTAATGTGCAATTCCACGTTAAGCAAATTTCGTAGCATGCGCGATCCCCTAGACACCTGCGTTACCTAACGCATGTGTCAAAAATCATTACAATGTATTGTATATAAATAAACAGCTACATGCTAATAAAGACCAAATGAATATATATCAATGCATTAAATTTATTTGTTTACAGTTGCACCCCATTAATACAGCCATCAGTTTCGCTGTTGTACTGTATTATAATCCAGCCAGATTTGAATAATCTGGGCACCTCACTGTTGTGCAGTGTACGGTCATTGTATTGAGGTACCGCTGTTCCATATACATGTATACAATTTGTCCCAGTAACCATAAGATTGACTTATCTAGTCATTTCTGAAAGGTATTGATTGTGGAGGCACCAATGAGGCTCCAAGGTATAACTTTTCAAAGATACCATTTGAAGGGCACATTTACACGTAGGTCAGCTCTTTTTACCAGTAAAATTTGATATACAGAAACAACATGTTCATTATTCTTAAAGGATGATCATGTTCAGGAAGAGTGTTCCAACACATAATAAAGGAGGGAAGGGGAAGGAGATGTTGGAGAGAAGGGATTGTGAAAACACACAAAAACCATGGAAAAACGAGATATTCCTATGAAGTTTTTGGAATAACAAGATGTTTACAGAAGGTTTGTACAAAGTTCATTCTCAATATTGTTCCAACACTTCAAACTTTTCAATAGTAACATTTAACATTCAAAACACTGAAGAAATTGCATGCATAATACTTTTTGACATTTAGATAAACTTGCTGTTGTATCAAACAACCACCGAATATAGACATTAACTATTTCACTCAAAGAAAAATCACCCACATAATTTTCTTTATTTTACATTTTTTACATTTTAATTAATCACTCCTGTATATCTTTATATAAAATGTTCATCAAATCAGTATAACCATTAACGAAATTGATGTTAAATTCTGTTGTGAACAAATTGCAGGTTGAATTGGCTGAGAAGGTTTCAGGTTCCAGTGAAATGTAGCATTGGTAATTTAACATTTAAACACAACTTGTTTGACCAACACTTTCCTTGTAATAATTATGATTTTAATTATGATAATTACCACTAGCAAATAATCATTTCTAACTCTCTTGTAAGTTGTGCACTGGCAGCTTAAAATCTCATTGATTAGGTGATATATAAAATTGATGATATGATGTACACATCAATATTTCTGATTGATTTCAATTATAAGGTTTCTAATTTCTCGCCCACAGAATTCATTGTAAAATCAATATTGATTATATGATGTGGAGGAAAAAGATTCACGAATGAAAATCATAGAAAAAAGAATTATTACTTAAGGTCTTTACTGAAATCATTATCAATGTTTTGAAGCAGTACAACTATCTTCTATCAACACAATAATAATTGGTTTTAAGTTGGACTAACTAGCATTTGTAACATGCGCATGGTCACCCATCCAACTACTGACCACACTCGACATAGCTGAACTGGAAAAGCTAGCTTGACAGTAAGGCAGTATTTTCCCCTTATATACCTTAGCTGTTACACTATTCTCCCCTCCGAGAAGTCTCGTCCTGAAACCTGGCCTGGGGAATCCCATAGGTCCTCCCTGTGTATTAATGCACCTTCCCTAACCACCGGGAGCTAGCCTTACTGGATCACACAGTCACTACGCTACCACCAAATGTAAAGTACAGGCAGTCACCAATCCAACTACTGACCACACTCGACGTAGCTGCACTAGTGAAAGGGTCTGCAGTGGTTAAAGTGTCTGATATTCTGCTGCTACTAGCCATCCACCACTGGGTCGCGAGTTCTAGACCTACGTGGGGCAGTTGCCAGGTACTAGCCGTAAGTCAGTGGTTTTTCTCCGGGAACTTCGGCTTCCTCCACCACCAAAACCTTGCACGTCCTTAAATGACCATAGCTATTAATAGGACGTAAAACACAAACAAACAAAATGAACTTGTGAGCAGGTCTCCGGGTTATATCGCATCACTGGAAAAGCTAGCTTGCCAGTAAGGCAATGCTTTTCCCTCATATACTTTAGCTGTAACAATCTATTTAAAATTATATCTTCACATCGCTCCTGTTTTCTGATATGTCGCTAAATTCATTGTATCAAAGAATTCTCACAAGTGATTTATTTTGAATTACCTCTATTTGTAATGTAATTCACTGTTATGATTGATCAGGAAAGTATATTATGATCTTATGAGATTTAAAAAAGACAACAGATAAGACTGTTAAATGTCTATGGTGGTTTCAAGAAATAGTAAGTCTTTCCTCTTTATCACTGGGGTATGTGTACACTCGTGTCCTGATTATATGTGTGTACAAACACATTATTAAGTTATGTATAAGATCTGTGTGCAAACACACGTGTTAAAGTATGTGTGCACATGTACCAAACACGTGTGCTATTATAGTTGTTTAAAAACATATTTGTAGTATACAAGTACTGTATTAGTTGCAATAACATTAGGTGGTGAGATCTGTAAGCTTGTAAATTCAATTCTTTTCAGATTTCATTTTTCAGAGACATTATCAACTAAAAATCCTGATGAATTGATGAAAGTGACCTTATCCATCTTGTAACAAAAACTCATGTGACAAGACTAGCTCAGCATGTTCATATCTACATATTGTATAAGCCATGCAATATTTGCAAATTCTCTATTGTTCTAATAGCTGTAGTTATAAAGTAAACTAAAACTGTAAGTCACAGGATAACTTATACTCATTATTCCATATAAAAAAAAACAGGGCAAATACAATGTATTTCCTAAATATAAATGGATCAAAATGTTTTCTTTATATAGTGATGTACATTTTTGTGTAGCAGCGTTAATTCATGAGTATATTTTCTGTCTAACATCTACACAAGAGTAAAAATGTCTGAACACATTTTGTTGACATCAAATTTAATTGTAATATATTCTGTTTGCAATTCTTTTTTCATATCCCGTTGATGACAACAACGTCAAGTACAAGGTTACAACTTTGTTGTCTTCTGAAATCTGTTTATAATTATCCCAATACCAAAAACGTCGTCAAACCTCCACCATTTTGTTTTTTGTGTCATCATTGTAAGCCTCTGTACCAGATGAGTATACACGCATCTCGACGACTCTGTCTGATCTGGTATTAAAGTGCAACAAAGTGTCAACAACAGCCAAAAGCAACTACAAATGAACTCAACTTGACTATACAATAATTATAGTTTTAACCCACCTGGAAATCTTGTTTATCCAAAGCCCAATGCTTACAGAAAAATAAAAGCAAAGAACAGAAGTCAGACAAGTATAAATACAAAGTATATAACAGGGACGATGACAAAAAAACAACATGGAAACATTATTATGCTTTTTGTTCCATTATCATTGAATAAAGGAGACAAATGCTACATCTGTATGCAGCCAAGCCAAGTTTCAAAATAACTTTGAGAACAAAATCATCAATATTTAAGTTTACTTTGTTACTAAAACATTTGGTTTAATAAATAGTGTGTATTGTCAGAAATAAAAATGGTTATATAGTTCTTTTCAGAAATAATCCAATGATATCATAGTCTCTGTTGGGCCTGATTTCAAATGGCTGATAATTTACCTAGTGTTCATAGACCTGCTTTGGACTGAAGCTGTACGTGGAAAGAAATTACATGCCCATAACAGATCTAGTGGGTTTTTTTAACAAATGAAGTGCAAGTAATAGTGTGATCATTTACAATTAAAGTTGAAGTGTTAATACTGAACTGGTAAGACTGAAATTACCAAGGTACTTTGATTCCTTCTGGGTAGGTCATCATCATCATCATAAATACATGCTTTCACCTTTCTTTCTTTTCTGTACTAGGCCATTTCTCATCAAATTGCCAGGGAACTCGAGGGGAATTGGGCTAACGACCCATACAAAATTTATTGGGATTTTTCTTTAAGGACAAGCTGTACTTGTACGTGTTAAGCAAAGTAAGGGATGCCACTCCAAACATTTATTTTAGAAATAAAACTGGTTGTGGATTAATTCCTGTTCAATGTATTGACCTATAAGAGCATTTTCTTAAAGCTGGATTTTTGCTCCCCCCNACTAAAAATGAAGTTCAACTTATGTACTTATAAATATAAGTTTGCTTGTGATTGTCATTCCTAATATGTTTTTCTGTCATTCCTTGTGTGTGTCAAGTTAGCCTGGTGTGGTGTCCAGTGATCAAATGGGCTGTATTATACATACACAGTGTTCTCCCCAGGCCGTTTTAGCGCTACAGTACCGTTACGCATGAATTTTGAGCCGTTACGCATCACCATATTACCGTTACGCAAGCTATGGACCGTTGCTCATTGAGAGGTATTTACGACTAGAACAATAAGTTCTCACAAATTGATAACCTCTTCTTCCCTTTCAAATTAGACTCACCTTCATTAGACTAGCTTTTTATTGTTCCCTACGATCAACACTATTTATACATAAATGATAAGTTAATCAACACATCACACTTTTTGTATGATTGATATGCGTTTGTTTTATTTAATAATAAACAAACAATCTGTTTTTGTTTTCTGGCAAGGGAAGCAATTTTGAATTGTTTTTAAATGTACTAACTCATTTTGTATTATTTAACATACATATACCGAGTTTAGATAAAATATTGAATTTCATCGAGTTAAAGATAATGTTGTTTCCACCCTAGCCAGAGTTTCCTCTTGCCCTGACACGAGACTTAGACATTTTGACAGATAGATGTCTGGTGTTATGTCTAAGTCTGGTGTGTGGGCCATGGGAAACTAGGGCTAAGGCAAATGAGCCTTAATCTGATAATTACAGTAGGCGAACAGCTGATATGCGATGCCAATACCGTGTATTTTCATCTACGTATAACTTAAACAAAACTCGTGTAACATAACTAAATACGATGAATAGTAAAAATGTATTTGTGCATCACAGAAGCCAAAGGAACAGGCCTAGGCGACACCTAGTGAGATTCAGAGGTTGGCAATGTAAACAAATATGCATCAGACATTGACGAGTTCAACTAGATTAAAATGGCAGAATTACCCGACAGGTCATGTCAAAACTGTATCTTACCTTATCATCACCTTGTTTTGCGAGAGTGGAGAGTTGTTCGAAAGGAACTTGGGCCGTGCGAAGGTGCGTTTGCAAATCTCTAAGGACGTTAAATTCTTCGTCGGCCATGATTTTAAGCGCGTAAGTGACTGTGATTGAGATCATAATCGCCAAAACGTTCCTGTTTTGCTTATAAATTTGAAGCCATCCCATGATAATATCCGGCAGATGATCTTTACTGACGTTCATAATTGCAACCTTAAAGAAACAATCATTTTATTGTGAAATAATCATGTTTAACAGGGTCGCGGTGTGTACAAGGCCATTTATATTTAACTGTCATGCTTTTATATTGCCAAGCTTTGAATTGTGTTCACTCTTATGCGCTTTTACTCCAAAGTAAACACCCAGAAACTTGAAAGGGTACATTATAGAGCCCTTAAATGTGTCAATCAAGATATTAATTCCAGCAACGAAGATCTTTTAGAGAAAAGTTACACTTGTACATTACAATTAAGTAGACTCAAACAAGTAGGTTTTAAAATTGTAAATGGACAAAGCCCCTGTTATTTACAGGGTGACATCAGAGACGTATATATTACATGTAATATACAAAATGTATACGTCTTTGATGATATTAAAGTGAAATATTCATTTTATAATTTCAGGTACAGTAAAATGTTGATTCTCCTGAAGCAGGACAGTTCAGTATGGAACAAAAAGTTTTAGCTTTTCAGCTGCTTCTACGCGGAACTCATTGCAAGAGCATATCGGATTAACTACATCTTTTAATGACTTTTGGAAAATAATAACAAAAAACCCTGTGGAATGGTGAAAGTTGCCACTGAGCGATGTACATATGAGTTCACTCCCTTTGCTCCCTCTAGATCTGCTGTTTTATCCATTCTGCGTCAAAGCTTTTACTTAGTCATTATATATGTTGGCAACATTTTTACCTGTATATATATTTTTACCTGTATATATATTTTTACGTGAGGTTTCTTTTGTTTGCTATCTATTTTGTGATAATTTCTGTGTGCTGCTAATAATGCATTTGTGTGTTTGTTATGTTTCATCTTATGTTACCTCTGTTTTTTGTTTGTTATACATGTATAGTGATACATGTTTAGAACTAGGTAAGCATGCACTATTTAGCATGATATTTTTGGTTAAATGGGTCACATCAGGCAAAGCTAGAATCCCGCTCCATATCCAAATTTGACATTGATCACAATGGACATTGAAATGTGCTGTCAGGTTTAATGATACTATGATTCTTAAAATAAGAACAAACCGGCATTATAATGTATGTCGAAGAGGCTTAAATCGAAAGATGTGGCACCCAAACGTCGTTATCAGAAATTTGTTACATGTTAATTGGCATAACAGATGATTTGTGAATACTAAAGTTCAAATGGAGCTTATACTGTGAGAAAATGTAACCGAAACCGGAAGTCATAATCCCCCTGATATGCTTTGGAATGGAGTCAAAAGTTGACAGATTTTAGAAGTTATGCAGAATAATCTCTGTTTGTGAGTCGTATATTATTGTAATGAAATTAATCATTATCATATCAATAATGATAATCATAACTGAAGCACATGTATGCTATTTGCAAACGACAGCATACTTTTAAAATATTCCAAAAGATTTAGATGCAGCAAGCAAATGGTAATTCAGAGGACTGCTTCATGGAACTCCACTCGGACAAATGCACTTTACACACCATTCCACCACACCGTACAATCAAACACCAATAAACTGGCTTTGATCATATACATTAGACGTTACTGTCAAATACAGATCACTTTTACTTATAAACAACCTACATTGTAAAATGGGAGAAACAATGTCAAGGGCAAAAGATCATTAGCCTTTCTTAAACGCAGAAAACAGTGCCGAAACTACTGCAATCAACATTTTCAAATGATAGTCTGCCCAAGAAAGCATTTCCCCAATGTTTCATACAAACAGCACGACAAAGGTAAACCTGCTTCATGTTGGTAAATGATATATATATTGGACGAGTTTTGCCTTATCTTGGTGTACTCATGACCCGGACCTTTTCTAAGTGACCTCAACTACAGGGCTCGGCACCACTGTCACAACCTTTGTATATAAATAAGATATAGAAATACAATTGTGTTAAGGTAAAGCTCGTGTCCTCGTTCCTGTGTCCTTGACCTGTTACCATAACCAGATATAATAGAACTATCACATTGTACGGGAGTGCCCCTCTGTTCAGTCGACCAACATGATCCTCGCCGTTCTCATCGCTGCCACATGCGCGTGTGTAGGAGGTAAACAGTTTTAGCGTCATCTGTAAGCTTTGTATGGTCCTTTTTGAAGACACATTTTAGTACTGATCATCTTTTTCTTATTTCCTTCGTGTTAATTATTCAGACGAAACGGCAAACTAAAAAACGTGAACACAATTTTATCTTTTTCCCGTCATTTTCACTTTATGATTTGAACGAAAATGATGGAAAGAGATACCTATTGAATTTCGTAGCAAAATCATGGAACGGAGAGTGAATGAGTGGGTTAATGAAGACTACGGGGAGCTTCATGGTCGCTGTCATGATCTCACTGAGAATAGTATATCTCCTTGTGTGAATACATGTATCAGTATACCTGTTGTTTTGTTGTTACTTCCTCAGTTCTAACTTTGAGAGCGTAGCGTAGCATTCCTTGGATTTGCCCTAGGCTAACATGGCGGGGAAGTTACCCTTCTGGAACAACCGGGCCTGTATTCAAGAAATTATTCTCATCCTCAGCCTCAGATGCTGTGCTTGACTTGAATACAAATACTGTTTTCTCCATTTTAGTACGTTTGACTTACATAACACAAGTTTATTTTAGCACTGTGTATTTACGGACCCTGGTACTGTATGTACGTACTTCCTCTCCTATTCCGAGTTAATCGACGACAGACCGATATAAAAAAAAAGTCGATAAAACGTCAGAATAATACGGACTATTTTTCTCCTTGTAGTTTTTCATTGGTCTCTGTCTTGATTGTGATTTTTTCATATATTTTTCTATGTTCATTGATTTTTAGGCCATTTTTGTTATACATTCGGTATTCCATTATCGTCTCCTATGGCTTGATGACGTTCATTTTGCGGTTCTGGGACGGCATCTACTAACATAATGCTATAGATACATATGTAGTACACACGCTGTTCGAAGTTCGATTACAACCAAAACATGAACACAAGTTAATTGTTTAAAATATGCGAGACGAAAGAAATATGTTAGTAGGTGTTATGTTTTACTCTGACTTGGTAAACATTATTGTGACTCTAAGATGGACAAATCACAAACACGTGAAGTCCCGTTGATCATTCATACAAGGGGGCGTAATACATACAACAAGGTTGCACAACAGTAAACAATTCCAAATATAGTTACAGTAGGCACATTTTTTTTTACTTTTAGCTAAGTCGCCATGGTATCAGCGGTACGAGCAATTCTTCACAGAAGTGTTGCCTAGCAACGCCACACTGAACGCGCTATGGAAGGAGCACGTGGCTTCGTACCAACGTCAGGTATGTACTGATCGAGTGGAGCGCAAAATAAGGCGTGGATTACACACTTTCTCTACAAAGTACTGGTTCTGAATGTTTATCTAAGTTTTGTATTACACAGATCATTCGTTATTTTTGTATTGTTTAGTGCTAGAATGGTTAGTTATCAGCCCCAGTACCATTCTGTTTCGTTTGCGTGTGTCCCATGGTGCCGCTATACTGTTACTTTTACTTTGTGTCATCCGTCACTAGTAAGAACCTATGATAATGTTTTGTAATGATTGATTGGTTTATTCATGTTATCTTCAAGGTTTTTACATATACGTGTTAGATTGTTTGGTTGTTTTTGTACTGTATACTGGTTAGACCCAAGTGGCCTTCCCGTGTTGAAAAAAAAACACCAAAAAACCCAACAAAACAACAACAAAATACTTTACAATCAAGTTGAAACTTATAGCTACCGTTGACATTATCATTTTTCCTAAACATATCTTCCATATGCCCTTTGAACTTTTTTAAAAACAATAGTAAAAATTCAGGAGCCTAGCTCAGGACCTATCCAATGATAATCCAACACTTGACCAATCTTGCCTTCAATGAATCGCAAACGAAAACTATGAACAATGAGTGATTAACACCACTGCTAATTAGATGATACATCCTAGACAAGAAGACTCGTGTTTCATTAGCTTCTCGAAACAAGCTCTGAAATGCAACTCCTCTTTGTAGTGATACATTGATCTGTTGTGCACAGATGCATGACAAGTGTAACATAACCGGGAATGGCCAAAAGATTTAAGATATTTTATTTCTTTGGGAATGACGCCATTATTTCTATGATTGCAGGAGAGAGATATTACTTTCTCAATCCCACACTTTGACTGCCACATACAAAACGCGCACAGTGGATATGCAGCCACTTCCGGTGAGTTGGAATGTTGGGTAACTTATGGCGTGTTTAACTGTATTTAAAAGTATAAACACTTTGTTGTCTTTAACATCAACAGTCATACTCCACGATGTTTATTGAATACTAAGTATGTGCTTGTTGTTTTGCACGCCTCCAGTCCATGGCCTACATCCTGGTGACATCAAGGTGGTGGCAGCTATGGGCGATTCCTTAACTGTGAGTCCTTTACTGTCATACAATGTGTGACATTGACGGCCCTTAACTAGATATTGTTTGTATTCTGAGTAAAAGCCCGACGATTTTATAATGCGTACTTCTTTGAGAAAAGATAACTTTTTAATTCGTGTATTCTGCTAGTATTACTGACCGACTTAGGGGTGTATATAAGACCAGTTTGTTGGGCATTTTCGTTTTCTTAATGGGTGCAAAGGTGCTTTGTTGTATTATATTCGAAACAGTTAAGCAAGTGCCAACGTGTGGTCATACGCATATACTTGGGGTCTTAGAGGGGCAGTATTAAATAAGAATGTTTCAAATTGTCTTAAAAGAAAATTGGAAAACATTCAACATTTTCATTTCGAAACATGTGAAAACTAAGCACATAAACATATGGAAAGGAAAGACATAAACTTACCATGTCTTACCTTCCTAAACCAACCAAGACCCGACCAAGGTGCACGCAAATATTTTGAGTATATGTATATACTTTTTTCATTTTCTAAAATTTTTAAATTTGCATCGGATGTTTAGCACGAAATACAATAGGTATTGATGCAACCATAATAAAGAGAAATAAACGAAGAAAGCAAGGGGCGCAGAACTGCCTACAATGTAATAGGCGCTCATCATTTGAAATCTGCAGGAATCGCGTACTTTCCAATGATTGAATGTGCCATTATTCTGCTTTATGAGATTTGTATTTAGGCTTGGCTTTTTTCGTCTGATACAACACTCACATCGTCTGATACAATACTCACAAATCATACCCAGCAAGCACATGTTACGTGTATCTATGAGAGCTAATTTATCTGTGTATTGACTTATTATAGGCTGGTAACGGTATCCTAGCAACCAATGTGGTCGGTGACCTTTTGGAATATAGAGGTCATTCGTGGAGGTAAGTGGTATAGAAGTTCAACCCTCGCCGTTCAGTGTCGCGGCCCTTGTGAATATATTTTGACTAGCGGGGAATACAATGAGTAATCTGAGATTCGATACGATGATTAAGTCCGTCTTGTTGTTGCACGTGACCATTAAGTCTAGAACACAGAGACCGGGAAATACATTGTACGTCTATCGAAAATAAATATACAAATTCAAATATGTCTAATATTAATCATTCATTACTTTCTTCTTTATACAAATGTATTTGTTTATTTAATTTTCAATTTTGTTTTGGATTTGTTTGTGATAATCTCAGAATAACAAGTTATAATGATCTAAACGTTAATAAAAGCTCCTGACTTTATTTTCAAAAACGAATAAATATTCCCATAAATATTGAAAAAAATGCTATTCTGTTTTATTGTATAAGTGTGCACCTCTTTGTTTTGTCGGTATGGTGAATTGTGATTTGGGTTACAGTATTGGTGGCGATGGTGAACTGGAAGAGGTTCTTACCTTTCCAAGTAAGTCTCAGACGTGAAATGCAGCCAAACGTAGTGATCATATACGCCTCTCAGATACATTGTAACGTTCTATAAGACAGACACTGACACTTTCTGGAACGCATCGTTACAAATAGTTCTCATAACTGTTTTTGGAAACTTTGTATTGAAATGTACGTTTATGTCCTTTTCCTCTCTGCAGACATTCTGAAGAAGTTCGGTGGGTATCTGTACGGGTACTCTGAGGGGATTGCCAAGAGAAACTTGACAGGGGCTAACCTCAACATCGCCAACCCTGGAGATGTAGCCGCGTACGTTATCATCATCATCATATCATCATCATCATCATCGTTTCATCATCATCATTCTCATCATCATCATCATCGTTGTCGTCATTGTCGCTGTCATTTTTCTTTTATTTCTCCATGGCAGAGATAATATTTAAACTGTTGATAAACTTGTTTTACAATTAGTTTCAACTTACATCATTACAACGACAACGGCTTTCTACCATTATCCATCACAGTGGGTTAATGATGTCAGTGATCATGTATAGCTATAGTGATGATATCTTGTACTGCCAATGTTGACAGTAATCTCTTAATACATAAGAACTATGCAAGATTCATGTTTTAGGAATATGCCTGAACAAGCCCATCTCCTGGTGGCCAGAATGAGGTCGAGTCCAAACGTTCGCATCGCTGATGACTGGAAGGTGGTGACATTGTTTATTGGGGGAAATGACCTGTGCGACTACTGTTCCAACCCGGTAACTAATATTAGACAAAATATATATGGAACTTCTCTCAGACCCGGTAACTAATATTAGACAAAAAATATATGGAACTACTCATAGACCCGATAATTAGAAAAATATATCTGTATCATAAAGATAAAAATAATTTTCAGTACAATGTCAAGGATTAAACTGCAAGTTTTTCTCTTTTGTGATTGAATGCAATCCAGTTTGTTAAAAGCACCAGGTAGTGGTCGCAGGTCGCAGGCTTTTCCGGTATTCCTCCACCACCACAACCTGACACGTCCTTAAAAATCTGTTAATATGAAATAAAATATAAACAAACAAACTTACAAGAATCAATTCTCTTTTAAAGGCACAATACAGCCCGGACAACTATGTACGTCACATCCGGGACGCACTTGACATCCTGAAGGCCAATCTCCCAAAGACGTTTGTTAACCTCGTCAGTATATTTGATATAGCGCCTATTGCGTCAATGGAGAAGGGGTTCATCTGCACCGTAGTGCACGCGTAAGTAGAGTGACGTGTATCTGAGGAAACTAAGTTCCGTTTTTTCATTCTTTAAATTTAATGATTTTACTGTATTGAACGGTATCTGAGTACAACAGACTGGTACAAATATTCAAACTTTCAGCATTAAAGTGATACTAAATATAAAATGAAATAGATACTATTACAACACTACAAACAAACTGAAACAAAATTTATCGATTTGATCAGTACGGGATCTTCAATATATTTTCCTACGCTTTGCCAATATTAATAATCATGTAAAACTAATTTGCTTTGCGTACATATGTACTTAATTGTTCGTAGATTCGTGTGCGAATGTGGTGCAGACACATCGAACGGGCCGATGTTGAGACAGGTTACACATGCGTACCAAAAGGGTCTGGAGGATTTGATCAACAGTGGCCGTTATGACACCAATGATGACTTCACTGTTGTCATTCAGCCGTTCTACAAACACACAGAACCGCCAAAACTGGTGAGTTGACTAGGGATATGTGATAACAAACACACGGAACCAACATGTACTGATGATTGCAAACACAAGGACCTTCCAAAACTATTGAGTTCCACAGGGAACCATCAGAAACTTCTGAATGTAGTAAACCATGCAAAACTTTTTTGTTGCATAGAGACCGATCCAAAATTGACCGGATTCTCTGCGAACCATCTAAACTATTTGTTTCATAGGGAACTATCCAGCTGATGTGTAGTATATCACACTAGTGCCATTGTTCCTGACATATGCTATTATTAATTTTTACAGGACGTTAATGGGAAGGTTGACATGTCCTACTTCAGTCCAGACTGTTTCCATTTCAACCACAAAGGACATTTCGCGTCAGCAATCTCTCTCTGGAACAATATGGTACGTTGCTGACACAATACCTCGATATAACGACATTTGTTCTGTGCATGCCGACTCACTTATAGGTAATAAGGGAAGGTCTGTCCTGGTGACGAAATCACTTTTAAGTAAATGCATTAATTGCATTACTGAACACTGTTACTAATTGTATACGAACAAAATTTGAAACAAAACAATATTTGTTAAACGTAGATCACATTTCAAAATATTTTTTTGTTGAGACTGACATCATTTCATAAACATAATGTAGGTAAAGTTTATTTACCGATTTTCGTTTATAAATCTACATAAACAGTTAGATTTGGGAATCGTAAGAATATGGAACAATATTTTAGCACCGATTGTAAACACTTTTGAAAATAGACTGGATACGCATCGGGAGAACAAGGAACCCCTATATAATTATAGATCTGAGATGCATTAATGCTTCAAGTGACGTTACATTCATCTATTGTTCCATATTTTAGTGTTATGATTTCGAGTCCGATGTAGATGTTCTTTGTAGATCCTGAATCGGTAAACAAACTTATATTTTGCGTAAAATCTCATTTTTAAAGTCGCACCACAGTTCATGATTATGTATTTAGTAGAGAACGAAAACTATTGTTCAAAACATGATTAGCGAATCTGGTAAGCATGTCAAATGATCCTGCTCACCCTTTTAATTTACTATTCCTTTAAGAAACATGTAATGTTAGTAGTGGCATCTAACGCTATATTTGGTACTTGGTAAACAGTCAGGGGTATTATTATTACGTGTGTGCTGTTGTTACTACAGCTGGAGGCGCCCGCCGTTAAGCAAGAGGAGTGGTATCTGAACCAGCCTTTCCATTGTCCCACTTTCCAGGTATGTACATATGTCACGTGATCGTCACGTCCTAGAAAGCCAATAAAACTAGTTCGGGATGTACTATACATGTTTTCCTAAATCCTCACTAGAACTGCATATATAAACATGTACATTGTAACTTCACGTTCTAAAACGTTACGTTTCCTCAATCTGATTTAGTGACAAAATCTAGTCTACCGATAAAATAACTAGTTCCTGAAACATACTAACGAGAATTAAAGCAATTGTATGCAAACTTGCTGTGACGCTTGCAGCTGTATATTTAGTATACGCGTAGGTTAGCTTACTGTTCGATTTAAACCCTAACCAAATATCTCCTTGGTTACCACCTACGATATCTATATTTGGTATACTTATAGTTGGATATTAATTGTTGTATTTGCAGTATCAGTGTCTACCTTTGTTGAAATACCTGGTAAAATATGTTAAAATATGTCAACAATTAGTTATGTAGTATGTAAATTACGACATTTCAGCCATCGGATGTAGTAATCCTAGATCTCTCATACCTATATGCTGACATATCTGCTGTTTATACATAACAAAAGAAAACCCCGAAGCGTAAACAATGCGGTATTTCGAACTCAAAATCGATTAAACTAAGGCAAAATGATTTACTTAGAGACCCTTGAAGAAGTACACATATCCTTACGGCTTGTGATTATACCCTTATCATGTAATAATGAAGCGATGATGTTAATGAGTGTAAATGGTTTCATAAACTTGTGTCATCTGATACATTGAGTACGTCACTGTTTCGTATTCGGCCCCATATGTATGTGTCATGTGATGTTTTGATGATGTCAAGTGGGCAACTAATTGTAACATCATATGATGTGATGAAAATCATGATTTCCTGAATTATGGTCGAGTGTTTATCGTTACAATATGTTAGCTTCGTGTTCCTCAACATATGTCAATTGTCTCTATTCGGCAATTGCGTGGAGCAATTCGCCAAACATAAAGCACGACAGTACTTTGATCTATTAATGCAGGCTCTTCTAAAAACCGACAATAATTTATGTAAAGAAGCAATTAGTTTTCATGCTTATTATTTCTTAACAATCTTTCATCTCCAGCATGTTGCCGTAATTGATTCCGTGTTTGGTCTTTATAATTTCAGACCTACAATCCTTCCGGTTTCTTCACTACCTACAATAACTGATCGGATTTCCATACAATAAACTGTATCTATCATTCCAATCCATCGTGTTTGTTTATTTATTAACAAAACATACATCAGATTGTGGGCACATCAGTATTTTAGGAAAAGACTTATGTAGGCACTGCCGGTTGTCTAATCCTTTTGTTAACACAATAAAATTTGTTGAAACCAAATCAGTATTTTGAAGAAATGTATTGTTGGAGTAACAAGGCGGTATAACTAAGACACGAATCAATAGTACCAAATAAATATTTATTGATAAAATAAAACATCTAAACAGAAAACAACCTCAATTTGAATTCTGGCTTGTTGCAAAATATGGACCGGAATTGACTCCCTGTGGAAGAAAAATCATAACATCAGTGAGGTCATAAACCAACAAAGCATCACTGATGAGTCCTAGAAGGGCAATATAAGCTGATAGCTGTATGATGCTATGTACGCATTGTTGGTATAGTGTATATGTTACGTAATATCAAAGGTGCTATCATATGTGTTTGTTGCATTCATCTTATCACCAACGGCGAATAGATTTTACTTAAGAAACATTTCAAACAATATGTCACTTGATGCTACGGGTACATTGAGGTACTGATTTAAGGGCTCAATTATTTCACCTACACTTTCACATATAATGTCATAATAGTCTATGTATAATACTTACAATATTTCTATAAATTTGACTTTATTCAGAACCCGACCATTTTGTAACCGGGGCCTCGTTTGTTACAATAGACCGAATACGAGAAAAGTATAACTGCCCACATAGATATATGTAGAAAATAGATAAAGTCACAACCGACATTTATAGATATTGTGTATCAAGACCATTGAAATGAATTAAATCCATTGTGAGCGTCGTTCTTTATTACCAGCGACTGTATTCCTGGGCAGTAGAAGGGTTCGTTGAGATGCCATTCCTGCCTCTTTTGTGAATAGGTCTCCACCTGAGAACAAAACAGTAAACCACACATTATTGGTTATGTTTTCATATCACTTTCCTAATCGCGAATGATTGTTTATCTTGGGCATTTACGTTACATACATAAGTTTGTCTATGTGATTCTTTAACATTACATATGTTGATTGGTAACTAAGTGAAACTTTAGCACCTGTTTTTAAGCTATAGGAAAACATATCCATATGTAAGTCACAATAACATATTGTGTTATGTAACTATAGCAACTTGTACTATGTAACTATGCCAAATGTTGATACATTGTCACTGTATTTAAGTTGAACACATATATATGTATCTATGTCACACATTGCCATGTGACTTTAACACACATTATTTGTAACTATGATACACGAAACTGATAGTAAAAGTTGAATGTTCTATTTGTTTCAAGTTTCTTAGACAGATATAGAAATATTACTAATTTTATAAATGACGTAATGACAGGATAATCATCTGACCATATTGTTCCATAGCGAAAGAGCAGCGGCGGCGTGTCCCTTGGCGTTGAAGTGGAAACAGTCCGGGGAGAAATAGGACATGTCTATCTTCCCAGTCTGAAATCACAAGGTTGATTGTACATTGTAGTTATCCGAGTACAATGCATAAGCAATATATCACAACAACACATAATGTATAACAACTCATTCGAAACGAAACAATAGAAACCGCAAGAAAAAAAGGGAAAAAAAAGAGAAGACATTTCCAGATGCTAATAAAACGGTTTGGATGTTATTTATAAAAATAAAACATATTTCTATCTCATTAGTCTCAGTCTCAGGGTAATATTTTCTGTCAATTACAGAATTAGGAAACATTAAATTCATGTTTTTTGTTTGTTTATTGTTTAACGTTCTCACATAGCAAAGGTCATATAAAGACCAGTGTGAAGAAAGAACCACAGCAAAAACAGTAAGAAAGTGAAAAAAGAAATACAAAGAGGGAAACAGATTAATCTTGGTTTCTTCGATTGTCCCAAAAATGGAAGACAAAGGTAAAACACCTTTTACGATAACGCGGCGGGACACTGCAGGTTTACAGAGATAGAAAAGGGTCCATTTTGTAGGTGTGAACAGAGCTTACGGAAAAAGAAGGAAAGAAACTAGGACATGTCTATTTTATCGGCTCGGAATAACGATACTACCATGGCTATTGTTTACAGAAATAGGATAAGTACATTTAACCGGTAGAAAGCCACAATGGATTCAAGAAATTAATACAAACAGGAAGGTGTTGTATCCTCGCATATTTGCGAGTAATTATCGTCGAGGCGCTTTAGAAAGTTAACCATCAAAAGCTGATCTTCATATTTTGTCCAGAATTTATAAGGAAACATCTACTTATTGTCTATTGCTGCAATAATAAGTGACATAAAGTTAAGATTGCCAGTAAAGGTAGCCCTAGAGACGTATTATTTTCTAGATATGTTCTACATTAAGTTTCTAAACTATTTGTTATATGGACAGGTTTATAGAAATTATTTGTAATCCTTTATTAAGTTTCTAAACTATTTGTTATATGGACAGGTTTTATAGAAATTCTTTGTTATCCTTTATTAAGTTTCTAAACTATTTGTTATATGGACACGTTTTATAGAAATTCTGTGTAATCCTTTATTAAGTTTCTAAACTAAAATATAACTAATAAGTACTGATACCTGTCTCCTTTTTCCACCAGATAAGATATTTATATCGCTTTTATTTTTTTATCCTCAAATCTTTCCATACTTCGCCATCAAGTATTTCTTATTGATATTCTTTCTTTTTGCGCGCACGTGTGTGAATGGGTTTTTTTCTTTTTAATTTTGAATACGTCCCCGATACAATTATAAAATGAACTATTTGGTAACCTGTAGAATTGGAAAACATTGTGAAATTTGAATATTTAGCCGACACATTCTTCTAATTAAACTGAGTTTGTGTAAGCAACTGATGAATATTCAAATTTTTACATTATTACTTTTTTTTACTGAAACTCTTCACCTTGGTAACCATAATTAAAACAAAGAATGTGTTTCCAAAATAGCAACAGTAAAGTGTTCTTAATAAAAGAAAGTGATTTGAAAGTTCAATTAAATGGTGATAACGAAAATAACCTTCAGAGCTCGCAAAAATCGAATCAACTCAAAACATAATAAAAAAGAAATCGAGGTTCTGATATACTGCTTTATCACAACCTAGTTCGTGGGTCTATCAAAGCGGTTCACAAATTAGTATTCGTAGTTATAGGGCCTTTGCAACAAGCCAACATAGTTCTCAACTCCCTGGGGAGCATACAGCCGGTGCTGCCAATTCGGCGCTCACAGCTAGCATTCAACAATTCTAGCACTGCCCAACCACGTACTAATTTTCAGCTGAGTAGTCTGGAATAAGCGGATTACATGCAGTGCCATGACGTGACTCGAAACCGTACCCTTCAATCACGAGCACGGTGTCCTACCACTAGGCTGTCGTGCCTTCTGGTAGAAGTCACAATGCGAAATTAACACAAGGAGCAATATCCATGTTTATAACAGTATTTTCTAAAGGGATTTTATATCTTTAGTGGAGTGTGGCATACAACTTTACGGCTATTGATTTAGTCAGAACGCAAGACGGAAACTTAAAATTATTGAAAGCTAGGATATGGGTATGTACTCCTCAGAATTAGGGTGAAGGAGTGCTGTAGGTACGTACCCCCGGAGTTTTTGGTGGGAGTGTGTTACTGAAAAAGGGTTGGACGACAGCAGTGAAGTCATCTCTCGTGTCGTATCTGCCGCTGCTGATAAGAAGGCTGCTTTCCATTTGGTACGCAACTGTGGCTTCGTACAACATCGCTGCATTAGCATCGTTCTTACCGCAGGCACAGACAATGCTGCAGTGATATGACAGACATGTAAGGAAACAATGGTTTCCATGGAAACGACCCCGGATGTACTCTTGCCGAGATAATTAGATGCTAAAAGAAAGCATAACAAAACCAAAACAATAGCAAGCAAATAATGTTTTTATATGAGAAGAAAGGGTTTTACCAGGAAACCATGTTTTCTCACACAAATTATTCATGTGGAAATACGAATTTAACGAGCAAAACATGTTATAATTGGAAGCAAGTAAGTAACGTGGCAACAGCGTGTTTACCTTGAAATAACGCCATTACTACATAAAGTGACAACCTTACTTGTGGGCTAAGTTGCAGAAGAATCCCCCGTCCATGGCAGCGATCGGTGCGATGTCGAATATGAGGACCACGTTTACGAGAGTACGGGTGAGATTGGCGTGGAGAATATCAAGTGCATCAGCGATGTGGCCGGCGTAGTTAACGGCACTGAACTTCGCCTATCGCAGAGAATTGATACATTTACCTTTACAAAATATCAATGTTACTGAAGCTTAAACCTTTGTTACTTAATCTGTTAGTGCAAACAATTTTGTTTGCAAATATATATCCTCATTATCTTTATTATCCCCGCACCACTGTCAGATTGACTTTATTATCCCCGCACCACTGCCAGAAACTGTGAGTACAAATATGAAACATATTTTCAAGAATGACAAAAATAACAGTTCTGAAAAAATACGTACTTTATGGAGCTTTTATAAAAGACAATAGTGAGTAAATATAAAACCTTCACAACAGTGTTTGAAGGGTAAATATGTTATGGCGCCGTCCGAAATTCGAACCCTGGACCTCCGTTCGCTCTTAATAGCTGAGCTAACTAATCGCCAATAAATGTCTGACAGAATCAATTACATTGTACATCCATTTTTATTTAACAAAATTAGGAAGATATTACAGTATATAAGAAAAGGTTAGTGGGATTTCGGTTCGCCTGAAGAGGGACAAGTATCCTTACGTTTATGATAATACAAGCCCATCCTCGATACTCAAGGGGTGACGCTCACTTACGCTCTCTGCACCCATACATGTCATAACTAAAATCGCAGGCTCAGTGTGCGCCACCTTGTGGATAAGTCAAAAACACTCATTTGATCCTTTGATGTATATCAAAGTAATCTCGCGGCGGCGTAACGATTAAATTGACTTGCTTTGAAGTTGGGCACCGTTTATCTGTAGACATCAAAAGACAGGTACATGTATCAGCTTAGCGATCGGTCATGGTGTTTTTTTAACCCGAGTCCAGTCAAATACATGTAGCTAGCCGTGTGTCTTAAATTTTGCTATGACACATTCTGTGATTCTAGGGTGCAGAGAAAGTACACGTAAGTGAGCGTAACCCCTGGAGGTATCGAGGATGACACAAGCCGTTCTTTTAACCATCACTCACCTTGTCTGTACAATAATCACACAGATCGTTACCGCCTATAAACAAAGTCACCACCTTCCAGTCCGAGGCGGCATTAATATTAGGATCACTGTTGATTCTCTGTACCAACATGTTGGCCTGATTCTTCAAATCTCTATTGTTGAATGATCGTCACAAGGAAAGGAAAACAAATATGAATATGCACAATAATTACAAATCCTGTTATTTCATCATTCAAGGGGAACAACTGTTGATAATTTTATCAACATATTCGATACTTCAAGATCTGTGTAGAATTGTGAACATGTCAATGAATCAACATGTTATCAAAGAAACTGTTTTTCATAAAGATATGTTTTCTGAGAGGGATACAGGGTCACAACCTCCTGGAAACAATTGTTGCAGAAGCCACTTTTGTAGTGAAAATCTTTTTAAAAATAGTTAATATTGAAAGTTTGTTTCATATGTTTCTTTGTATCGACATGCCTACCAATGCGACCTTATAGAAAAAGTCATCGTTTAATCTTTAGAAACCATAAGACGTACGATGAGACACTCCCGGCGACAGCTACATTTAGCCTGGCGCCTGCGCTGTGCACGTTTCCTGTCCCACTTGACCATCCGCGAATGTTGGGATTGTAGTTTTTCAGGATATCTGAAATGACCAGACATTGCTCGCTATATTACCGTTAATATTACTGGGGATCATGTTTATAGAATGTAGTGATATTAAATGAATGCATGTCATCGCTCTTCAAACAATATCCCCACATTTCTTGCTATCGTTAGGTTACCCCAAACCCATCAATAGTTCACAAGAATGATTTCGGGATAACAGACAAATTACATTATTTTGACAGTTGGAAGCAGGCTCAGGATTTTATTAATTTTTCTTCATTCACAATAGTTTTATGAAAGTCTTGTTATTTATTCAGTGTTTCCCATGTTTATGTTTGAAGTTCGTACTGTAACCGATAAAGCAACATAAAGCACGTGTATATTGATACGCTTTAATAGAATGTAATAAGTGGATTTTCTATAAGTTCTACATTCTCATACATTTCTTATGATAATGTAAACAGGCATTGTCCAACCCAAGCACTGAATCACCACATTACATTGATTTACGATTGCTTTATTTATTGGTTGTGCTATATCACACATGCATGTAGGAGGAATATGGAAAATAACTGCATTACACAATTCATGGCCCACTAAAAAATAGGCGGATGTCTTTATAGACGCTGTAAAGACAGAACAAACTTCTTAGTTTTCACATCGGAGGGGTTGAAACAGTTATTTCTCTTGTTTACTTGTGTAGTGAATATTACTTTTCAAAATATGATGTCTAAACAAACAAAAACGACTGTGGTATCCATACTTACTAGGGAACGTAAGTCGATCATTCAAGTTTCCATCTCCCCCGATACTGTGCACAATAAAAGCCATAGTTTTGATTAACAAATTATACAAGTTTCTTAACAAGTGTTGCCATTCAAGTTATTTTGACGTTTTCAAACTGCAAAGATATCTTAACTTTCTGAAAACGCAACCAGATAATCTACATACGTTTCATGTTGATATGTTAATATTCACTGGAACTTAAAATCGCGATATTTTCTATGCAGTCTTAGGACGAGGCTTATTAAAAGTTAATACATGAAGAATACCTTTTAAGTTTGTTAGATCAAATCTATATATAAGATCGCGTGTGTGACGTCACTCACCTCCAGGCACGACCCCTATATTCTGTAAAATCTCCAATGAGGGTCAGGGCGTCTATTCCGTTTCCAGCCTGTAATGAAAATGTTAATTATATAGAGTTTACGGCACATGCTATGTATGAGTCCACTATTTATAAATCCTATATTGTGAATGTGACAGGAAAATATTGATTCCCGGGTTGTGCTTAGACATCATCATATTTGAATATATGATTAATTAACCATGATTGTATATAGCAAAACTAGACAAAAATTACATGTCATATATTATGGTAAAAGTACACGCATACAGTTTGGAGATCGAACCTTTGTTGCTGTGTTCGACACAGGCGAAAGGCATCATCAGTGCTAACGTTCCTTTGAAATGACAAGCATGATTGTTATCTGATAGAATCAACCGCTCAGCCATGGCAGCAACCTGCACTGATGACCGACCGTTAATAAGTCACCCCTAGCAACAACCACGTTGATGTCTTACAATGTTTAAAGAGTCACAAATACACCTATTGCAGCAACTGTAGTGATAACCAAATGTTAATAGGTAACCCTAGCAACTACCGCGCTAATATCTTACACCGTTAATGAGTCGCCAATAGCAACCACGCGGCTTAACGAATCACACAATCCCCAACAGCAGCATGCACGCCGTTCACTTACCGTTAAGGAGTCCCCTATAGCAGCGACCACGCTGATGTCGGATGGCTGAAGCTCATGTACTACAAAAATAACAGACGGAAATGTATGCATTGTGTCAATTATCTTTTATCTTTTATTATTGTTTTGGTTGAACACATTTCCTTTTCTCTGACAGTGACGAACGCAATTACATGCATCTATTTGCAGACAACTACATTCAATTATAAGTCATATTTATTACGTTATTATAAACTCAACTGTCTATCTATTATAATGTCTCAAAAATAAAACTTAATGTTATATGGTAAAAAAGTTAAACATTTGTGTCATTTCATTGACACAATACTCAAATATCTGCTGCTTTTAGAAATTTAATATTTTTTCGGTACATCTGCATGCTACACAATTCATATATTTGTCTGGGATGGTATCAACAATGAAACATCTGACTGATTTTAAATAATTAAAACCATGTCTGGCATGCTATCAAATACAAATGTAACTGCATCGTACAAACGAAAATGTGTGATAAAAAACTTCAAATTTTATTTTTATGCTTTTCTGCAATGGTGGGTGAAAATGCATACAAATATAGATGAAGAAAGTCACCAAAACTATAAGATAAAAAACAAAATTGATAAAATCAGGACGAAATATTTACTATAGGATACCTACGAACAAAGTACAAGGCGAATAAGACTAGACGTTTTAGAACTGTAAGCGTCTGTTACATTGACGACACCCGCCAGAAAATATAGGTCAAATCTAAAGTTTATTATATGCTTAAAAATAAAATGTAACGCAATCACATTGGCGGATCCTGTACACGTGAACAGTCCTAAAAAACTCATGTAGACTGGTTATCCGGTGAATATCAATTTCTAAATATAACCTTTATGGAAATTCCCCTGAGCCTGTCGTAGCGCATGCGCAGTTAGAACGGGACGCGAAATGTCAGACGACACCAGATGATGTCTGCTGGCGAACGTTTCTCCTCCGTTTCATCTAAAAAAAAACTGCTCGAAGATAAAGATGCTGTTAACACCAAAAGACACCACCGAACACACAGTGCATGTCTTCCATGCCAATCTTACGGAAAATAACCTTGACGATGTCTTCGAAAACTACGATGCCAAACTGCTAGAACCAGCCCTGGCCAAAAAAAATCGAAGACTCGTTCCAGTTACGGTTACAAATAATAAATAAAAAAATAATTTTTTTATTGATGAAGCTTATAATAAAACAGTTATGGGCTTTTGTGCTGGTGTATATGATGTGATGAGAACATGAAAAAGCGATATTGACCGAGGCTTGTTTCGCCTCGGTCAGACAGCCTCGGTCAGCATCGCTTTTTCATGTTCGTATCACATCATATTCACCATTACAAAAGTCCATATTCAATAATATTGATCTTCATATCACACCGGGTAACATGATATTCCCCAATGATATCAAAACACTGCCTGTTGTTCTTCTTCAGCCTGCATCTATGGAAACCCTGCGTTTTTAATTTGTCCGTCAGCAATCTATCACGGAAATTATGTTACTTGAAACAATCACTTGAATATCGCCGAATCAACTACGACATAAACACTGTTAGGGCAGCAGGGAGGTAACTACCGATAGGGAAAGTTCATGATAGTCGACATCGTTACGCTTATCGTACAGATTAGTGGTACGCTGTCCTTGCTCTGCACGATGTAAGTAAAGCGGATGATATAGAACGCCTGTTGTGTCCTTGATTTCAAATTATGGAGGGCATATAGGACCGAAGTGGTCAATAAATAAGAACATATAAGCCTTGTATCTTGTCTGAGTGTATACTGAAAAAAAGTGACAATCATAGAAACTGCCTCCGTCAATCGATGAAATTTACAAAGTAGAACTAGAGAAAAACTCGTAAAATGTCACAGTTAATAAAAAGCATTTTGTATTGTCTATCCTCCCAAAATAAATTAACCTTGATGATGATGAGAGGTCAGTCGAACATTACGACGCTGTATTGTCTCTACTTATCTTCGAGCATATATCGCATCTTTTGCTATGAAAAAAACACACGCCGGCGTCTACTGGACATGCTTTTCTTTGATACGTAAATAGGACTTCCCGTCGAAAAAGATATCGAAAGCTTTTAGTAAATATTCCAAAAGGTTGTCTTGTTTAATCCAGCAAAATGTCACCTACCAGTGCGAGGAGCTATGCCGAGGGAGGCTGTACCAGTCGGACAGGTAAAAGCAGGAATAGGATACGTTGCCCTCTTCGAATGCTAGAGAAATTCGTTTGCATTTGATTAATCAAAATCGATATACTTACTCAAAGTTTGTACATACAGACAACAGGAGCTGATAAAATACCAAAACAAAACGAAAACAGGATAAAAAAAACCATCAAACAATTTATAAAGGCCATGAAAAATATCAAATATTCAAACGTGTCACATCGCTACCCGTAACAAATGATGCACTGTTTGAAAAATGACGACACCAGCTGACCTTGATTTCATACTGTGTGACGTGGTCCTTCCACATCTGTACCAGAGTGCTGTTGTTGGGAACAGTCTGTTGGAAGAACTCCACGTATCGCTCATACCATGTGGATGCTGTAGTAAATAACAGAAAGGAGACATTGTCTTACCACGTGACGTTAAACCAAAAGTAACTTAGTATTACACACACTTTTCTCAAGTGTAACTGTGGTAATCCTGTACCTATTTGCCGATACTTACCTCTAGTGTATCAAGGGCCGTTTTTGTTTAAATGGTCAAAACTGTCAGACCACTGTTGTTCGTTTATTAAATAAGGTCGGACCTAGTAAACTGATGTTGCTTTCAGGCGAGCCCTGAGAAAGCCTTACAAGGCCTGCATACACATTTGCAGGTCCGCCAGGATTTATAAACCGAAATTGTTACATTTATAAACGGTCAAACCGATTGTTTCGCATAAACGAACAGGCCCCAGAGTAACTCGACCGTTCCTATATTTACCGTTTCTTACATGTACCTTCAGTTTACTATAGCCATTCTGCTCATACATTCATCCATTATTCCTATGGTAATATTCTCGCTTTTGTTACCGACATTTACCAGTATAGCTAAATAATTACTTCCATTGTCTCTATATTAACTCTTTTTCTATATTTATCGATACTTAAGTTCAGTGTAACTATTGTAACTCTATATATCGTTTTACCGAACTTCAGTGTAACTATAAAGTAAATCTATTTTTAAATAACCAATACATGTACTGACCTCCTAAGTCACTTATGAAAATCTGTTCCTATATTTACCTATCCTTAACTCCGCTGTTTACCACACTTACCTACAGCGTCCTTATCGTAACGCGGTTTTTATATTCACCGTTATTTACCGCCAGTATTACTTTCTTATATTCACCGTTATTTACCGCCAGTATTACTTTCTTATATTCACCGTTATTTACCGCCAGTATTACTTTCTTATATTCACAGTTTTTTAACGCCAGTATTACTTTCTTATATTCACCGTTATTTACCACCAGTATTACTTTCTTATATTCACCGTTATTTACTGCCAGTATTACTTTCTTATATTCACCGTTATTTACCGCCAGTATTACTTTCTTATATTCACCGTTATTTACCGCCAGTATTACTTTCTTATATTCACCGTTATTTACCGCCAGTATTGTTTTCTTATATGCACCGTTATTTACCGCCAGTATTACTTTCTTATATTCACCGTTATTTACCGGCAGTATTACTTTCTTATATGCACCGTTATTTACCGCCAGGATTACTTTCTTATATTCACCGTTATTTACCGCAAGTATTGCTTTCTTATATTCACCGTTATTTACTGCCAGTATTACTTTCGTATATTCACCGTTATTTACCGCCAGTATTACTTTCTCATATTGACAGTTTTTTACCGCCAGTATTACTTTCTTATATTCACCGTTATTTACCGCCAGTATTACTTTCTAATATTCACCGTTATTTACCGCCACTATTACTTTCTTATATTCACCGTTATTTACCGCCAGTATTACTTCCTTATATTCACCGTTCTTTACCGCCAGTATTGTTTTCTTATATGCACCGTTATTTACCGCCAATATTACTTTCTTATATGCACCGTTATTTACCGCAAGTATTGCTTTCTTATATTCACAGTTTTTTAACGCCAGTATTACTTTCTTATATTCACCGTTATTTACCGCCAGTATTTCTTTCTTATATTCACCGTTATTTACCGTCAGTATTACTTTCTTATATTCACCGTTATTTACCGCCAGTATTACTGTAGTAGCAGTCTTCATATAGTTTCCGAAACGTACCTCCAATACTAATTTAGTAATAATATTCCAATATTAGCTGATACTTACCGCCAGTGTTACTAAGTTTTTCACTATATTTTATACTTACCTCCCGCGTTAGAGAGTACACACAGCGCAACGATAAACAGCGAGGTAAACATGGCTACTTGACACTCCAGTGACCGCCTACAAACTGATCCGCCGTTTTTCTCTATCAGCAATTCCAGTCCAATCGGTAAATAATTCATGCCAAATGTTAACCCTTATCTGACATCGTGAACGTCGGCCGATATATTTGGCAAGGTTACGTCCACACCTAATAACTATGTCACTATTATATACCAACTTAAAAAAAAACCCACCAAATACGACGGTAAACAATATATAATCCGAACGTTACACTTTGTTGAGCTGTAGTAAGGGTGCCACATGTGGCACCGGAAATGTTTATGTTGCCGGAGAAGTTGGTTACGCATTTGTGTCGAATAGATGATATTCTCCCGTTTGTTTTGTTATGTATTAAGTTCATTTGGATGTCCTTTTTATTGATTTCTTCCTTGTGTACATTTGTTTGGTGTCATTTTGTTTGATTATTTGGTCATATGGTAATCAATACCACTACCATATTTCCAAACATTGTAGGTAAGTATGAATTGTAGAAAGGTTATATATCACAACCAGTGAGGGTCGTAACAAAACGTGACCTATTTATTATTTACGCAAATAATCGAAAAGATATTTTCAAATTAGTCCAAATTATTTTTGCTTTTAGCTAACACAATTCCAGCTGTTTTATGATAATAATAATAGAAAGTTGATTTTGATCCTGTAATTAACAGAATGGTAAGTATGAAACAAACAAAATATATATACTAAATATCGCTAGTTGTTTCGACTGACCCTTAAAGTGTAATTATTCTCAAATATCGCTTAAAGCATACGTTTGTGCACCAAAGATGTACTTTTCACATGCCCATGGTGAAAATGTGAAAAAAAATACTGAATGTTTTTTTATAAACATTAAAGGTTGCCACCTTGCACTACCCAAATACAGGCAAATACGCTATGTTTTAAACATAATTTAAGAAAATATTTTGCACATCAATTCTTCAGCTCGACTGCACAGCACCAAGATGACAAGGTCGTGGTCGGGAAGGAGGTTAGAGTGTAGAGGGCAAAGGTCAAGTTCAGGATGATACGCATATTATATCGCCAGCAGATAATTCCAAAATGTAACATTCTTTTATTGCAATCATAATTTTAATGTTAAGTTTCACGTTCGATTTTTAAACGGGCATAGCCATCAGAATTACAGAGCATAAAATATTATTCTGATATATTTATATTTGCTCTGCATCGTTCCATTCCATTGAGAAAGCAAATGTTGTTATGAGACTATAACAACATTTGCAATTGTAACGGTATCAATCTCTATTGCGACGTCATAGATTTTACTTTTGTCAAGACTTAATTTGCTGTTCAAAGAACCGTTCGAAATATAGAAATAAAACGTCACTACTCTACCAAAATCTTTATCAAGTTTGTAACCAATAGCAATGTGTGTTATAGGACCACATTATTTGCTAACACATTCATTGCTCAAATAAAAACTTTGTACTGTTCATTTTTATCTTCAAATTATGTAGGTGTATTTATGTTTGTGTTCGTACATGTAACTTATGGTCAAAAGAATGATTTTTAGACTGAAATTCTGACTACGTACAATGTAAATAATATAGATGTTAGCAAGCACTACTAGTTGGGGTTAAGACTTCGCATGTGTTCAATGCTTGTAGATGTTAGTTTCGGGGCACAATCTTTGCCGTCTGGTTTATTTTCAGTAATGATATGCCTATAAAGTTTGTTGCATGGAATTTAATAATTAAGAAGAAACCTTCAATTACTGTAGGTATCAATACCAAGTTAAGATGTCTGAATATTCTTACGAATTCTGCTCTCTATAGCCTTGGGATATTTCATGACAAATTTAAAAGCTCTAAAATTGCTACATGTACCTCACGGACGTCTTCACTACAATGCAAAAAATAGCGCAGTAACACATCGTTAAAATTAACCAGCTTTTAAGTTCAAGTGTAGCTCATCAGTCATTTTCAAATAGGGGTGATCCTAGCCAGCAATCGGTCGTTTCAGGGTTGTTTGTTTTCTTTTTTTTTCAATTTGAAACCAAACAAATATTAATTTATGAGTCTTCAATTTTGTCATGATATGTTACAAAGATACAGACAGAATATGTATTTTAAGAGCAGAAGTAAAGTCAAAGTTACAATGTAGTGAAATGTTGGTGGAAACTAGGTCAGCTGAGATCACGACTACCTGTATATAAACACAAATACTGGCAAGTACTATAACGGACCGGAAACCTTGACCGGTACATTTACTGATAACCAATATGTACATATAATCGAGCAAGTTAGGCCGAATTCTTGGTCGTCGCGAAGTAAGGCCCTGTCCCTGTGGCCTGAAAAGAAAAGAAAAATACTGTCTTAATGTGTAAACGCCCTCCGGTAACCAAACCTATCGATCCAAAGGAATCTCTGAAATATTATTATTTCTACTTTAGATATACACTTTAAACGAATTTATATTATAAATCAACCATTGTATATCGGAATGCTCAGTTCATCTCGATTTTATTTCTGGATCCATACACAGTCTAACGCCGAAATACATTCTCATTCTGCGACAATTCTTCTTGAATACGTTTCTAGTACAATGGACAGTTTATCTGGAGATCGCTTCTCTTTCTGTGACAACTTTTTCTTTTTTTGAAACAATTCCTTGATCGACGAAACTTTACCTCGATGTCGTCGCCTCAGCGCCAACTTTTGTTTTTGTTTTATTTTTGATGTATCGATTACCAAGTTCGCTTCTATTGCCTTTCCTCGGCCCAAGACATGTTATTCTTATTAATAAATCAAAAATCTCCCCCATAATATTTTTTTTGGTATATATCGTATATACCTAAAAAGAAAAAACAACTGATGACGGAACTACTTTTTACACTTCAGAATGCAAAATTACAACGCAGCTTTTTTTAAGTGCAATTGTTTAGTTTACGTAAAAATTAAATAAATCTTTAACTGTTCATTTACAACGTGTTTGTCTACTTTTTTAAAATTAAATTATAAAGAATGCCCAAGATTTTGTTTTGGTATATACTGTATATACCAAAACAAAATCTTGGTCATTCCTTAACTATATATATCGAATACTTGTTTGCAAATATTTCGACAAAGCTTAATTCAACAAGCATGTATTTGAAACTAAATGCTCACGTGTGTATTTGGACACAAGTAGGGTTCGTTGATGTACCAAGCCTCGTCCTTCCTAGAAATGGGCTCCAGCTACAAAAGTGAAATATAATCGTGAAGTGTGCAAACAAGTAAACCACAGCGTCAACAAACAAAGGAAATATAACTCAATGTTTTTTTAAAGAAAAGACAAGAATAAAGAATGAAGATACAAAAAAAGGCTTGACATCAAAAACTGAAAACAGCGCAACAGTGCATACATTATTTTGGCATTTATGCTATTTTTGTAACATCCGGGAGTGAGAAACATCATCAGAACATTGGAAATTCAAACCCAATGTCACATTACATAAAAAAAGGAAAAACGATTTCTATCAACTATTACAAAAGACAAAACGCCATGCTCTGATTGGTCACCAACAAGGTTTCGGTAGAGTTATTGACGCCCACAACACATTTGGCCATGGTGGGATTTACTAAAGGAAAATTTCTCACCAACACATATTCACTTTGATGCAGATCATTGAGCATCGCGACGAATGGAATAGCACGATTTATACCAAGTTTGTCTACTTTTTTCTATGCATTTGACAGACTACACATGTCGATGTGACCGGCTCATTCGCTCTAACCAGGGACGACTGGACTATTACAAATAGGATAACCGCCATGGTGTCAACTCACGCAAACGTTATGTCTAGCAAAGCACCATATGAATTGGATATCAAAGTAATCATGCATTATAAATGAAAGACTCAAGTGAATAACGCTGATAGCGGCATGTACATAATTAAGAATGATATCCTTCGAAAACAATCAATGATAAAATGTATCGAGATAAAATGGGGAAATGTCCTCACCAGGTTGTTCCACAGGGAATGAGCTGCAGCGTATTGACCTTTCTCACTAAAATGGAAACAGTCAGGGGAGAAGTATGAAAGGTCCGGGGAACTGGTCCCTTGCTGAAACACAGGTAAAATATATACAATTGAAAAGTATAAACGACCAGTGGTGGGGGCACCGTCTTTATCACACGAAACGTGTAACAAATGGTTGTTTTATTCTAATATATTTTGAAGGCGTCCGATTATTTGGTTCGATGTAGTTTACAGTTGTCCAAATCTTCATACACTGTATGTATCAAGGCCTTGGTATCATATCAGGTTGACAAGTTGTCGTTTGTTTGTTTGTTTACACCTACATAGATCAAAAGACTGCCCTCGTAGATGGCGTGACTATAACCATTAACACCCATCTGATTTGGCGGTACTGTGGTCCTACTCCTAGATGGCGTGACTAGAACCATTAACAACCACCTGATTTGGCGGTACTGTGGTCCTACTCCTAGATGGCGTGACTGTAACCATTAACCCCCCCCTGATTTGGCGGTACTGGGGTCCTACTCCTAGATGCCGTGACTATAACCCATCGGATTTGGCGGTACTGTGGTTCTACTCCTAGATGGCGTAACTATAACCATTAACACCCTCCTGATTTGGCGGTACTATGGTCCTAATCCTAGATGGCGTGACTATAACTCATCTGATTTGGCGGTATTGTGGTCCTACTCCTAGATGGCGTGACTATAACCCACCTGATTTGGCGGTACTGTGGTCCTAATCCTAGATGGCGTGACTATAACCATTAAAACCCACCTGATTTGGCGGTACTGTGGTCCTAAAGAACGGCTGTAGTACTACAGTGAAATCGTCCCGTGTGTTATAACGCTCGCTTGCGATCAGAACCTCAGTTTCAAACTGGTAGTCGAATGCCGCCTGGCGGACAGCTGCTACGGACGCCGAATCCTTACCACATTCGCAGGCATAACTGCAAATATTTGCCGATTAAAAAGGGAATACAGATAACATTGCTCAATATATCCAAGCATCTGCTTTCCTCTTTCGTTCCAGTTATTTCCCTTTATACATGCATATTTCAGTCATTTTACCTTGTCAAATACCTTCTGGTGCATATTATCAGTATGTATTAACATGTATGCATTGTGTACGTTAAGATTCGATATGCATATGTGAAAGTAAAACATTTTGGTAGATTCATCATTATATTGTTCAATGCACGCTTAACACAATTCTAATAAGATAACACACGTTACCCGTCAGTAAAAAAAAATGTCCGTTACCTCGTCACAAAAGAGCAGAAGAAACCTTGGCTGAGGGCAGCAACCGGAGTGACGTCAAAAATCTCCACAAGATTAACGAAAGTTCGGGGCATCTCAGCATGTAGAATATCCAGGGCAGTCCGGATGTTGTTGATGTAATTGTCGGCGCTGTATCGGGCCTGTTAATAGAGAGCCTAGACAATTACAGATCATATGATGGGCCTGCTAAATAGACACCGAAAAAAGACATAGAATAAGAATAAGAATTATGTCGTAAGAATAGCTAATGTTTCACGTTACAAATATACGACCCAAAAAAAACCCAGTTTCCTGTAAGTTTCTTGTACATAAATAACTAGTGAGCCAGAAAATATACACATGTAAGTTTCTGTACCGGTCCCGACTTATAACAACAAATAACGGTACTAGTGAAACACATAAATCTATGAGATAAATATCAACAGTCAATCTTGATCAAAGTTTCGGACTTAACCTTTCATCAGGGATTGAATGGTCCTCACTTTTATGCCACATTCATATTTAAAAACAGAAACTGTGCATACTTCGTTCCTTACATGTATGTGCCATAACGGTGAAGACCGTTTAACCTTGAAGAAGGGCTCAGTTCGAAAGCTTGCATCAAGAATGACTGTTAACATTTATCTTTATTCTAGAGAAGATGTATTACGTTCCTTGTACGAAATCTGTCGTAGACATAACTCTATACTAGACATAAGTGTAGGTATAGTGTTGAAGAATTAAAAACATGGATATGTATCTATAATAAAAAATAATAATTTACTATTGACATGATAATCACACAGATCTGTTATTTACATAAATAGTATTCTAGTGATATAAATACATAGATCTGTAATATACATAAATATTGTGTCTGTTGATATTAAAATCACACAGATCTGTCATGTAAAAAAATAATACTGTTGCAAAATAATTACGGAGATCTGTTATATACATAAATATTGTACTATTGAAAAAATGACTACACAGACCAGCAATATACATGTTCTACACATTATATTGTTGATATTATTATTACACGGATCGGCACTACTCGAAGTCTTACATTGTCGTTACAGTAATCACAGAGATCGTTCCCGCCAATAAACAGCGTCACCATTTTCCAGTCGGTAAGGAAGTTAACTCCAGGTTCGGATTTTATCCTCTGGACCAACATTCGTGCCTGATCGGGCATGTCACTGTAAACATGGTGAATTGACATTAAGACAGTCCTAGCAGATACCAATGTCCTTAAATAAAAGTGTAATCAATACAAATCATAATCTTGTAATGAACGTGTTATTGTCACAAGTCATTTCCATGTTAACACCAGTCACATCCATGTAACCAATGTATATGTTACACAATTAGGTCATAAAACTAAGAGTTTTGGTAAGAAAGGAGATTATTTACTGTGATGTGTGCCCGGGATCAGCTACATTCAGGTTGGCATCTGCTCCATTTCTGTCGCCGAAGTTAAGAGAATAGCCCTTCAGGTTCGGATTAAACTTCCTCAGAATGTCTGCGGTCGGAAAAGTACGCAATTGCAGGTTATGCACACGTAAACCTCTCTTTATGGTGTTTATGAAAATCAAGTGTTCTAGTCATACTGATACAAAAACAGCACACCATGGACGCAGTAGTCTTTATTACAAATGCAATATATTTATAACCGAATCACCCATAGAAGCGGTACTACTCATTTATAACACGTAATGGTTAAAATATGACATTTTTTCCCCCTTTATCATATCTAGACCCAGATAACAGCCAAAATATTTTGAATCAAGCGCATTAACCAACGAAGAAAAAAATGTATTCGGTCCCGTAATGAATGGAACTAGGAGAAGCAACTCTGGTGGATCAACACAAGATAACAATTACACTGTGTACGGCATTATATTACTTACTAGGTAATGTGATGACGCCCTGGTCTAGTGAACCGTCACCTCCAATACTGGGGACAAAAAGATAATAATTTACACCTCTTATCTACAATATCGAGGAGGTTGGGCTTTGGTTAAAACAATGGACAATTTGGAGTATTTGTAATTTATATAAATGAACTAAACCGATTAATTTTATATACATGTCCATAAAAACATGATTTGACCTTTTTTCACAAACAAGAATCAGCAGCAATAGACCCGTTTCACTATGTAACTGTAACAGTTCAGCATTCTCTTGAAAACTGTAACGTAAAACATAACAATAGAAAACACTCTTTGTCTACAGTACCGAGGAGGTAGGGATTCGGTTAAAGCAATGGAAAGTTTGGACTATTTGGAGTAGTTAACTAAAATTAACTGAATAATTAAAAAAAAATAAGTAAAAATCAGTAAGTGACATTGTTCTCCAAACCAGCAATAGGACCGTAACACTATACCTGTCACAGCACAGCATTGTTTTAGTACTAACGTAAAACCCTAATTCGCATGTCAACGAGTATGTCGTCATAATATAACAGGGCGAGTAAACTTATTATCAAAATTCATGGTTTTTAAATCTCGTGACACTGATCAAAATCAATCTTCTACAATGTACTTATGTGACATCAATAGTAAGCAATGTGATTTACCAAAACACTTTTCAGTTCAGCAGCTAATGTGAATGTAACCAACAAAACTGGTGTCCAGCCATGGAAGCCATCAAACAATTACCTCCACGACTTCCCACTCTACTCCGTCAATGCTCCCACCCAGCTGGAGGCGGAGACACTTACCTCCACGACTTCTCGTGGTACTCCGTCAATACTTCCACCCAGCTAGAGGCGGGAACACTTACCTCCACGACTTCCCACGCTACTCCGTCATTACTCCCACCCAGCTGGAGGCGGAGACACTTACCTCCACGACTTTCCACGTTACTCCGTCAATACTCCAATCCAGCTGGAGGCGGAGACACTTACCTCCAAGACTTCCCACGCTACTCCGTCAATACTCCCACCCAGCTGGAGGCGGAGACACTTACCTCTTCGACATCCCACGGTACTCCGTCAATACTCCCACCCAGCTGGAGGCGGAGACACTTACATCCACGACTTCCCACGTTATTCCGTCAATACTCCCACCCAGCTGGAGGCGGAGACACTTACCTCCAAGACTTCCCACGCTACTCCGTCAATGCTCCCACCCAGCTGGAGGCGGAGACACTTACATCCACGACTTCCCCCGTTATTCCGTCAATACTCCCACCCAGCTGGAGGCGGAGGCACTTACCTCCACGACTTCCCACGGTACTACGTCAATACTCCCACCCAGCTGGAGGCGGAGAGACTTCCCTCCACGACTTCCCACGGTACTCGTCAATACTCCCACCCCGCTGGAGGACGGTACTCCGTCAATACTCCCACCCAGCTAGAGGCGGAGACACTTACCTCCACGACTTCCCACGGTACTACGTCAATACTCCCACCCAGCTGGAGGCGGGGACACTTACCTCCACGACTTCCCACGGTACTACGTCAATACTCCCACCCAGCTGGAGGCGGGGACACTTACCTCCACGACTTCCCACGGTACTACGTCAATACTCCCACCCAGCTGGAGGCGGGGACACTTACCTCCACGACTTCCCACGGTACTCGTCAATACTCCCACCCCGCTGGAGGCGGAGACACTTACCCCCACGACTTCCCACGGTACTCCGTCAATAATCCCACCCAGCTGGAGGCGGAGACACTTACCTCTTCGACATCCCACGGTACCCCGACAATACTCCCCCCCAGCTGGAGGCGGAGAGACTTACCTCCACGACTTCCCACGGTACTCCGCCAATACTCCCCCCCAGCTGGAGGCGGAGAGACTTACCTCCACGACTTCCCACGGTACTCCGTCAATAATCCCACCCAGCTGGAGGCGGAGACACTTAACTACACGGCTTCACATGGTGCTCCTTCAATACTCCCAACCAGCTGAAGGCGGAGACACTTACCTTCACGACCTCCCACGGTACTTCGTCAATACTCCCACCCAGCTGGAGGCGGAGACTCTTACCTCCACGACTTCCCACGGTACTCCGACAATACTCCCACCCAGCTGGAGGCGGAGACTCTTACTTCCACGACTTCCCACGGTACTCCGTCAATACTCCCACCCAGCTGGAGGCGGAGATACCGTTACCTGCCTGCACAAACAGTAACAAACAGTTTTATAATGTCTGGAAAAAAACTTCCTAAACTTTATTATTTCATTTTAATTTGTTATAATGACATTTTTTTGTGGTGAAAAACGAAATGATATATGAAATTACACAATAATTTGTAGATTTAGATGATTACTATGAAACATTACAACCAGTTTAGATGTGTTCATTTTTATTAAATGAAAACGTACATGTATACACGGATATTTACGACGAGAATTGATTAATGTACACAGTCAGAAGCGATCATACCACGTCAAAGACATAATGTTTGTATACGTTACTAGTTGTGGTATCAATTTTGTTTTCAACATACTGTATTTTATGTCTGAAGGTTTCTTATTACCTCTAAAAGGTGAACTTTGATTTTAATTTTAAACGATTCCATATGTCTTAGCTTATTTGTTTTCGAGAATGTGATAATCTTACTGTTAGAGAATCCCCCATAGCGGCAACCACATCAATGTCCCAGGGGCTCAGCTTGTGAACTGCACGTGTATGGGAACAAAACACGGTAGAAATTAAAAAGTACTAAAATCCTGATATATTCGATCTGACGCAAATATTCAACATTTTCTTAAGCTCGATGGGCGATATACTTTCCCTAGTCTTGCCTAACACAGTAAATAATAATGTGTATGTACCCATAAAATTAGTATAGACGCAGACAATAGGTAATGAACGTAGGTTAGAACTTACCGGAAGTTGGTTTAGTATGAGAGGCGGGGGGTCCAATATTGTGGCAGTTGAAGTCGTCATAATAATGAGCCACTCCTCGTCTCTGTCAATGAGAATATCAACTTCCTGTCATTAAGAATACATAGTATCAATATCCTAATAATGGGAATATCAACTTCCTGTACATGAGAATAACCGTTTCCTGTTTATGGGAATGACTTCTGGTCAATGAAAACAAACATTAACTTCCTGTCATAAAGAATACAAAGTATCAATATCCTATTAATGAGAATATCAACTTCCTGTCATTAATAATACATAGTATCATATGTTTATTTGATAACTTCTGGCCACTCCTGATACCACTTCCGGTCACCCGTGTGATAATTAGAGGTTATTATATGACCATTTTGATATCATATCCCTTATCAGCCCGAGAGTCCCGATATCAGCCCGAGGGTTCAAAGGCCCCGAGGGCTGATATCGGGACCGAGGGCTGATAACGGATATGATATCAAAATGGTCATATTATAAACTTTTTATCATATGTTCAAGTAACAAAAAATCAAGTCAACAGGAAAAACAATTAGATAATGACATTGTTGCTTAAATTATCTAATTATTTTTCCTGTTGACTTGATTTTTTGTTACTTTCTTACATACAGGTAACACACAAACATTAAGGGTCCTCGCACCATATTCTTTCATCACACAACTATACTACCAAACAACCATTTAAGGTTCCTTACACCAAGACCTTTCATGATATTAAAATCCATTCAACGTCTTACACACAATAAATATATGTATCCCTGTTACAAGTATATCAACGTCCTGTACATAAGTAAATTAACTTCCTGTGCATAGGTATGTTAACTTTCTGTACATAAGTATATTAAATTCTTGTTCATAAGTATATCAACTTCCTGTACATAAGTATGTTAACTTCCTGTACATAAATATGTTAACTTCCTGTACATAAGTATATCAACTTCCTGTACAAAATTATATCAACTTCCTGTACATAAGTATATTAAATTCCTGTTCATAAGTATATCATCTTCCTGTACATATGTATAATAACTACCTGTACATAAGTATGTTAACTTCCTGTACATAAATATGTTAACTTTCTGTACATAAGTGTATTAAATTCCTGTACAGAAATCTATTAACTTCGTGTACATACGTAGCTGTAGATGAGAATAACTTCTGGTCAATAAAAGCATTCACTTTCTCTAATTGAGAATTACAATTTCTTATAATTCAACTTCCCGTATGAGGCATAAATTGAATAACTTTTTTGCGGAAATGAAATTTGACAAATCACAATAAAACATAGTGTAATGATTTACAGTGCTAAAATAAGATGATTTAGTCACAAAAGATATGGAATAACTATGAATAAAGTGTTAATAGATGTAACAGTATGTATATATAATTGCCAATATATTTATCTACAAGCACTTTTTCATATTCATTTTCATTTGTCGTTGCTAGCCTCTGTGTCCGAAATAAAGTTGTGAATAATGTTATCTTCGGAAGCATCAGTTAACAAAATGAAAAAATAATCAGTAGTTGACAGTGAGCTTCTATAACACAGGAAGCCTTAACTTTAGATCTTCATTTGCAGCCTTTCCTCCGAGAGTGCACGTAAGCTAGAGTGTTATCGGGGCTCAGTCTAGACCTTTTGCCGCTCTATAAGCACTTATAATCTTAGAACGTAATAACAGCGAATACATGTAATACTTATCTCCCGTTTGTACACTGCTTATAGATAGATGTTTTCTATGACGTCACGATTACCTTACCGTCACCGTTACTGTGACGTCACGAAACAATTAGCTTTTTGTCTTGCGGTAACTCCTAACTACGCTTACAATCTCAAGGTACAAACTCTGTAAAACTAATGAAGGATGAAACATGACAGTGGAAGTTGTGATAATGAATCGCCAACTATTTTTTTCTCATTTGGAAATCTTTAGCGAAAACCAGATATATATTTTCTTGAGACAGATCCAGAGAAATACGTGACAATGCCTGTTTATGGAAGCCACGTGTCGTCAACCGTATGTCCAGACGACCGACAACGGGATACCCGTCACTCTGTAGAAGTTGTAGGAGGGGCAGATACGGCTGTAACTAAGACTCGTGTGACTATGTGCAGCACAGATACACAAACAGAAACGGACAAAGATATAGAAAGTGATATACTCTTCAGACATACAGGTGATGCATCTAAACACTTGCGTTCCAGAGTAGTTGACACAGTAATAAGGCCGAAAGGTCCTTCGAATTCAGAAATAGGGATTGGGATATGTAAAGCTCCACACAGAACGGTCTCTTGGTTGGATCCTATCTCGACGGCATTTGCAAACGGTTGCCAAAATAATTCCGCAAGTGATAGTTCTAACTCCTCAGTGTCGAGCGAGGGTTCTACAGACAAACGGGGACCTGATACAAATATCGCCGTTAATATATCACCGGAAGTAGGTATACCTGTAAGATCGTCTACACCAGACTCCACCCAATCGGCAAGTACAAGTATTCCTAACCCACAGTCTTGTTCTTACGTAGAAATGTTCAAAGCCAGACGGAAACTTGAAGAAAATACGAAAAAAAATCATTCTTCAATAGGACAGCATATATCACACACCCCGAGAGTCGACCACCAAGGCAAGTATTCCGAGCAATCGTGGCTGGAGAATCACGGAAAGAATTTAAACGCAGTGCATTGATTTTGCTTAGAAAAATGTCCCAGAGAAATGCAAAATCAGTAGACCAAAGAAATATAATTTGGGTAATGTATTCTCTTATTTTCTCAAAATAACGATGTTTGTTGTCCTTATTGCAAACGTATTTAAAAAAATCTTTAACTTTTTTGATAGTCAAAACTGTAACTCATTTGCCCTGTTACTACTACGGACCACTGATCATACCGGTACAAAGGTCTAGATTATTGTTCGCTGACCCATATAATTGATGATGGGGTGTAATACCAATTAGTGTCAACTATTCGGGACCATGTTTAACCTGTTTCGGATGGATCATGTTTAACCTGTTCCGGATGGATCATGTTTAACCTGTTTCGGATGGATCATGTTTAACCTGTTTCGGATGGATCATGTTTGACCTGTTTCGGATGGATCGTGTTTAACCTGTTTCGGATGGATCATGTTTAACCTGTTTCGGATGGATCATGTTTAACCTGTTTCGGATGAATCATGTTTAACTTGTTTCGGATGGATCATGTTTAACCTGTTTAGGATGGATCATGTTTAACTTGTTTCGGATGGATCGTGTTTAACCTGTTTATGAGGGGTGAGGGTTAAGAGTGTAATACACAACTAGAATCACTAGTCAAGAAACAAAATACTCAATTCAGTTGGTATGATTTTATCAACTATAAAATATTGATGTGCGCATTAGGCCCTAAGGTTACAGTGCGCACACCGAACGGAACTTTGGGGTGTCGCACGATATATGCACATAAAATGGCGTAGTCTTGCAGATTGCAGGAAAGACGCGAGGCTGACCATGCTCTATAAAATCTATCATAATAAAGTTGCCATTACCACTAAATATCTCACCCCTGTAACCAGACAAACAAGGCATTGTCATCAAACCTCATTTCAAACTATCTCATGCATGACGTCTGTAAAGAAGGAATCCTTCTTTCCACGGCCTTTCAAAGATTGGAACAAACTCCCTTCTCAAATTATTTCTTCTGATTCACTACTATCCTTCAAATCATCTATCTCTGCTCATCAATATTAAGTCCTGTCCCTACCTTTCATAGTGCTAAACCTATATATGACATGATCTTCACTTTACTGAAGTAGGTCATCAAATAGTAGAAGTAGAGTTAGAAGTATGCAGTATATGTTAACTATCAATTTGTATCGGGAGGTCACATCGCTGGTGACAGCTACTTGGATCCGCCTCTGATTCATTCATATGCATGTTGTATTTCAGATGACACTTCCGTTTATCCTTTTGAGGTTATGACCAAGGCCAGAAGGAAGTCACAATCAACAGATACGCCTACACATGTGGATAAGTATCAGGGATATACGGCAATGTGCAAACAAGAGCTGAAGGAGCGAGAGGCGGCTCAACGTAGTGACTCGTCTCGTAGAGGGTATCCCGGGTTGACAGAGTCAGTCACTCCTCCCCTTCAAATGGAGCCATGGAGACGTATTAGAAACAACAAACATCCTCCTGATAAACTGGAGATATCCAAGGGGTATACTTCGAGCTCAAGGTCACAGAGAGAGCGATGGACGTCAGTTACTGTGGAGGAGGGAGGACTGCCATTATCTATCAGTCACCTCAACCAGGGTTATGGACACACAGTTTTTGATAGTGTAACCGGAAGAAAGCATCGCGATTTGCACGCGAAAAGCGGAAGTAGAACTGGCATTCACAAAGTCCAACTTAAGAATGAGAGTAAGAAAAAGCATATTACACGGACCCCTTTATGTCCCGATCCTGAATTAGTAAGAATATATGGTGGAACAAAGCAGACAGCCTGGAATTTGCATAAATCTCAAAGGAAGAAACGCAACGTGCATCTTTTCAGCCTCATGCCAAATTACTCTTCTCAGGGGCGTAGGACAGGTGAAAGATGTCTTGAGAACGATTCCGCGAGCACCCACCAATCCTATATCTCGCATCGGGACGGCACTGATAGTTCAACATCTACAAAGGATACAGGAAGACGGTGTACGCTAGATGCAAAACTAAACGACCATGAACTGAATATGGGGGAGACCCTCTCCGTAAAAAGACGAGAACACTCAGTGTTCCGGTGTGCGATAAACGGTAGGCACGGACTGTTGAAACCCATTAGTCCACTACCGGAACAGCACACACCGGTACCTCGGGACACAGGCCATGATAGATCACCAGTGTCCACGGATGTGATGGGAAATGTCTATATCAAGGGAATACTAAAAAGTCCAACCGAAAAGAGTCGTGACAACGAACCTTCACCTGCTCATCACTCTTGTTCAGAGAATGTAGCTACAAGGCGGGTGAGGTTTGAAGAGAAGGGATATCTGGATAAGAGTTACGAAACACTAGAATTGGATAAATTAAGTGAGAGATATGATAGAACCTCTGTGGGTCATACCAACATCAGACCTCGGGAACAGAACCACGTGAGTCTTACACAATCACACAATATAGAAACAGAGCATTACCTCAAATCGTCGGGTTTTACAATATCTAGTCCTCTTCACTTTGGAGATGTGGCCACCAAAGAACGCAACCTTCCTGTAATTCAGCATTTCCGAGATGTCGGAGACTATGATGAACTGTATCCAGGGAACGGGGGAGCCACCCGATGGAATGACATCTGTATTGATTGGGGAACTCTTGAAACTAGAGCTAGCGCCGATGTCAACGCCGGGGGATTTACACGTCGACCTAAAGGTCAAATGACCGATACTTTTGCGTCTGGACAAACTGCTCCGGACAGTGCTAGGAGCGCAATAAGTAATGTGTCTAACGAGGAGAGCGACGGAAGAGCCTCCGGTGATGGCTGTTCAGCGTACGGGACTGTCAACCGAGTGACTGTAGAGCATCACAATGATCGTGGATACGACGATGGCATGCCACTCTGTCAATATAGCTGCTTAATGTCCGACGGTTCCGACCCACAGGCCGACATCCACAAGGAGCATGAGCAAAGTACCCCAACGTCACGGGATCTTCGAAATACATCTCTAGAGACAAGTCAGCGCCAGCAAAAAGCTATTGAAAACTTGGAGCGGGCTCTCAAACACGGCGTATTGCATGCTTCTTTAAGCAATCTGCCGATAAGCTATAAGGGCGGGTCGACGTTACGTCACATGAGGAACTTCAACACTGAAGGTCACGTGGATCTGATCGACATGAAAGCCTTAGACGAGCGCGTGAGTACTCCACGACGAGAAAAGCCGCCGCCTCCTTGTACAAGGTACCGGAGCATGTACGATTACGCCTCCAAGAACAATAGTAATGTATGGAGTGTAGATCATACTCGAACCTCGACGATATCGCACCCTCTGTTTGAACCCGACGCAGTCTAAACAAATCCCATTCGAAACGCAAGAAGCTATCCTACAGCATGACATCTAGCAGATGACTAATTCACCTTCAAAAGGATACTGATTTATGTTTGCATTGTATTCTTTCAGTATTTGTTTGATATATGTATTGTATTCCGAAGTCTAATATATGTATGGTATGAACGAGATGATTGAAAATTGTAATATTTTTTATAAAATAATGTATACATGCCCCTTAACGTATATGTCAAGTCTAATTATTACTGGCATGCGTGTGTGGCACGTGCACGCCTGATTAACATCATCAATACAAAGCAACAATATCGAGAAAAACTTCTATATATATATATAGTTATCATCAGGTGTTATCGGATCAAATTGCAATTGACAGAGTGACTGGGTAAAATATTAACTTGTGGAATTTTAATTACTCTAGGAAGTATTATTACACATACAACGCACTATGAGGTATACTACAATTTAGAATGTTCACTGTCTGAGTTAGGTATACACCCCAGCGGAATCGAATCTTCCGGCAGCATTCATCCTGAGGTAATATTAGTTGCCTCATACAATAATGTAGCGTAATACATCAGACCATTCCATTCTATTCTAGTCCTACAGTGGACGAGGCAAAAATGTTAGTGACAACAGGACAAAATGAACCTTACCACAGTAGAGATACAGAAGTGGATGACGACATAAAGACTAATATACTAAACGATTACTTTGTTTCAATATCTACTCTAGACGATACTAACATTGACGTACCTGTATAGAATCTAGAACAGACTCGACCATTTCAGACATACCGTTTAATATTAATGACAATATCGACATTCTAAAGACATTAAAAATCGGTAAAGCTGTAGGAAAGGATACTATTAGTCATACCATGCTAAAGAATACCTCTAATTCAGTTGCTTATCCTCTTTCATTGATCTTTCGCTCATCTTTGGAAACTGGATCTTTTCCCAAACAATGGAAACATGCTCTAGTTATGCCGTTTTTTTAAAAAGGGCGATAAACAAGGCCCTTCAAATTATAGACCTATTGCACTACTAAGTACTATTGGTAAAGTTTTCGAAAGATTAGTCGCTAAATATTTACATAACTACCTTTTAGATAATTCTCTCATATATAAATACCAGTCAGGTTTTCAACCAGGTCATTCTATTATACACCAGCTTTTAGAAATATATCATACTATGTGCGACAATCTTGAAAAAAAAACAGCCAACTTTCTAAGGCGTTTGATCGAGTGTGGCATAGGGGACTGGAAGTGAAACTAGCTAGCTATGGAATATCGGGAAAGTTATTGGACTGGTTAATTGATTATGTTACTAATAGATCTCAACAAGTTTTTATTGGAAATAGTAGATCTTCTGTTAAGAGAACAAATGCAGGAGTACCTCAGGGTTCGGTTCTTGGCCCATTGCTGTTTATACTATATATTAATGACATAACAGATAATATAGAAAGTCTATCAAAACTTTTTGCTGATGACACCTCTCTTTTGTATTCGGATAAATCACCACAAGTAATTGAACAAAAAATTAATAATGATCTAGTAAATATACAATTGTGGGCAGATAAGTGGCTTGTCAAATTCAATCCTGCAAAAACAGAGGCTTTACTTATTTCTAATATTGATCTTGATCACCTCATTGAAATTAACTTGAATAATGTAAGTATTGAATTTGTTGAAAACCATAAGCATCTGGGAGTATTCATCAATTCTAACTGTAAATGAGCCTATCACATTGATAATATATGTAAAAAAGTAGTTAAAAAATTAAGTGTCCTCCGTAAATTGAAATATACCCTGAACCGACTTACACTGAATAGAATATATAGAACATTTATACTTCCTATTCTAGAATTCTATTACTGATTCAGACAAATTAGAAAAATAACAACTTGAAGCTGGACGTATTGTCACTGGTTTACCGTCGTTTACTAGTAGACAATCTATATACAATGAAACTGGATGGGATTCTCTATCCCATCGGAGATCCCGTCGAAAACTTCAATTACTTTTTAAAATCCACAGTAATATAGCTCCTAACTATCTCAACACTCTACTCCCTTCCCTTGTCGATAACTCTCACTATAATCTTCGAAACGTTGAAAACTACAACCTACCTAACAACAGACTTGAATTAACGTATCCTTTTTTCCTTCTACTGTTAGACTGTGGAACCAGTTACCTACTAGTATACGACGTAGTGCCACGTTCTCATCATTTACAAACGCCATTCAAGACGTAAACCTGCCGCTTGTACCAAACCCCTTTTTCTATGGTGATAGGAAAAATAATATTTTGCATACAAAATTAAGAAACCGTTCTAGAAAAGTGACCTGTTTCATGTTAACCTTATTGATAACCAACGTTGTATATGTGGCTTCTCTATTCAAGACACACACCATTTCTTTTTTACCTGTGATAAATATAACGAACAAAGAATTAAGCTTTATCGGGAACTGAATGAATACATGCCTCTTAATTTCAATATACTTTTATTTGGAGATACATCTCTTTCGGAACAAGAAAACATAACGATATTCATGCATACTCAGCAATACATTCGTGACTCTAACAGATTCTAGTACACGTAATACAAAGTACATGTTATACAAAGTACATGTTATACAAAGTACAATATATAAGATGTAAATATACTGAATATCGACGGAAAATATATATATACGTGCAATATACATCCTTTCTCCAATCTTAACGCTTAAATTGTCGGAATTCTGATCTGACCTCATGACCGATGACTTATCTTGTGTCTAGTTTAGATACTATCTGTCCTGTTTGAATTACGATCTGACCTCACCGATGACTTATCTTGTGTCTAGTTTAGATACTATCTGTCTTGGTTGAATTATGATCTGACCTCACCGATGACTTATCTTGTGTCTAGTTTAGCTACTATCGGTCCTAGTTGAATTACGATCTGACCTCACCGATGACTTATCTTGTGTCTAGTTTAGATACTATCTGCCTAGGTGGAATTACGATCTGACCTCACCGATGACTTATCTTGTGTCTAGTTTAGTTACTATCTGTCTTTGTTGAATTACGATCTGACCTCACCGATGACTTATCTTGTGTCTAATTTAGATACTATCTGTCCTGGTTGAATTACGATCTGGCCTCACCGATGACATATCTTGTGTCTAGTTTAGTTACTATCTGTCTTTGTTGAATTACGATCTGACCTCACCGATGACTTATCTTGTTTCTAGTTTAGATACTATCTGTCTTGGTTGAATTACTATCTGGCCTCACCGATGACTTATCTTGTGTCTAGTTTAGATACTATCTGTCTTGGTGGAATTACGATCTGACCTCACCGATGACATATCTTGTGTCTAATTTAGATACTATCTGTCCTGGTTGAATTACGATCTGACCGCACCGATGACTTATCTTGTGTCTAGTTTAGATACTATCTGTCCTAGTTGAATTACGATCTGCCCTCATCGATGACATATCTTGTGTCTAGATTAGATACTATCTGTCTTGGTGGAATTACGATCTGACCACACCGATGACATATCTTGTGTCTAATTTAGGTACTATCTGTCCTGGTTGAATTACGATCTGCCCTCACCGATGACATATCTTGTGTCTAGTTTAGATACTATCTGTCTTGGTGGAATTACGATCTGACCTCACCGATGCCTTATCTTGTGTCTAGTTTAGATACTATCTGTCTTGTTGGAATTACGATCTGACCTCACCGATATCTGTCCTGGTTGAATTACGATCTGACCGCACCGATGACTTATCTTGTGTCTAGTTTATATACTATCTGTCCTGGTTGAATTACGATCTTACCTCACCGATGACTTATCTTGTGTCTAGTTTAGTTACTATCTGTCTTTGTTGAATTACGATCTGACCTCACCGATGACATATCTTGTGTCGAATTTAGATACTAGCTGTCCTGGTTGAATTACGATCTGACCTCACCGATGACTTTTCTTGTGTCTAGTTTAGATACTATCTGTCTTAGTTGAATTACGATCTGACCTCACCGATGACTTATCTTGTGTCTCGTTTAGATACTATCTGTCCTGGTTGAATATCTCGTGTCTAGATTAGATACTATCTGTCCTGGTTGAATTCCGATCTGACCTCCCCGATGACATATCTTGTGTCTAGTTTAGATACTATCTGTCTTGGTTGAATTACGATCTGACCTCACCGATGACTTATCTTGTGTCTCGTTTAGATACTATCTGTCCTGGTTGAATATCTCGTGTCTAGATTAGATACTATCTGTCCTGGTTGAATTCCGATCTGACCTCCCCGATGACATATCTTGTGTCTAGTTTAGATACTATCTGTTTTGGTTGAATTACGATCTGACCTCACCGATGCCTTATCTTGTGTCTAGTTTAGATACTATCTGTACTGGTTGAATTACGATCTGACCTCACCGATGGCTTATCTTGTGTCTAGATTAGATACTATCTGTCCTGGTTGAATTCCGATCTGACCTCCCCGATGACATATCTTGTGTCTAGTTTAGATACTATCTGTACTGGTTGAATTACGATCTGACCTCACCGATGCCTTATCTTGTGTCTAGTTTAGATACTATCTGTCTTGTTGGAATTACGATCTGCCCTCACCGATGACATATCTTGTGTCTAGTTTATATACTATCTGTCCTGGTTGAATTACGATCTGGCCTCACCGATGACATATCTTGTGTCTAGTTTATATACTATCTGTCCTGGTTGAATTACGATCTGACCTCACCGATGACATATCTGGTGTCTAGTTTAGATACTATCTGTCCTAGTTGAATTACGATCTGCCCTCATCGATGACATATCTTGTGTCTAGATTAGATACTATCTGTCTTGGTGGAATTACGATCTGACCTCACCGATGACTTTTCTTGTGTCTAGTTTAGATACTATCTGTCTTAGTTGAATTACGATCTGACCTCACCGATGACTTATCTTGTGTCTAGTTTAGATACTATCTGTCTTGTTGGAATTACGATCTGACCTCACCGATGACATATCTTGTGTCTAGTTTAGATACTATCTGTCCTAGTTGAATTACGATCTGACCTCATCGATGACATATCTTGTGTCTAGATTAGATACTATCTGTCCTGGTTGAATTACGATCTGACAATAATTGAATGAGTTGTTTACCTGTTTGCTCTGGAATTGCTGCAAATGTTGCTTCCATAGCATGTCCATGGTCTCATTCTTAAAGAGCTCCGTGAAAGCCAGGTCAAGTTTTTCATATTTAGTCAGGCCTGCAATTGTAAATCCATGGGTGTATAAAGCCAGCCAAAAAATACGTGTATTTGTTTATTTTTTTACAAGTTAAAAAATGATACAATTATGTCTCCCTTTCGAATGAAGGGAGACATATTGTATTAGTACTGATCTTCTTCTGGTTCTTCTGGTCCCAAATTGACCGGGTTGTTAACTTTAAACCGTTAAAGATATCTTGACGAAATTTGAGGTATATCTGCATCACCCACATAAAGTGTGCGTGCAATGGAATCAGGTCACTGTGTGCTTAACCTCAAGGTGAAAGGTCAAATAAATAGAACTTTTCCAGTAAATTCCTGTCCGGCCCGTAAATCTTAAACCAGTAAAGATATCTTGAGCAAGCTTGAAGTAGGCCTATACCCGCATCACCCACAGAGGGTGTGCAGTGCACTAGAATTATGAGTTATGGCCCTTTGTTTATTTTTAATACCGAAGTTTGTCCGGAGCATCAGTTCTATGTTATATCACCTACGTTGATCAATTAAACTTACCATATTTATGTATCTTCGGAAGGCGGGATCCCTCGCACTGAAATCGGGTCTTGTGCCCCACTATATGCAGAGTTATGGCCCTTTGTTTATTTTTATACCGAAGTTTGTCCACGGCATAACTTCCATGTTATTTCACCTTTGTTGACCAAACTTGCTATAGTTATGTATCTTGGGAAGTAGGAGTGTTGTATTCTAAAATCGGGTCTCCTGTCCCACTATATAAATCAGATGTGTGCTAATTCCAATTTTATATACATGTAAATGTTTCTATAGTACATGTACCATAGCTGCCGAAACTTTACCATAATTGTTAAGACAATTTAACTTGAACCAGATTATTTCAAAAGTTTAATGGTTTAGTGTTTACACACCTTAATATTGATGTGACCTTTCTATTCTCCCAAATATGCATATTGGCTTATACGGGGACACATGTTTTTATTCACAAAAACAGATTTCTAGTTTATAAAATAAGAGAAGTATCAAAATGATTATTTTACTAGTGAAAATAACTCTTTCCTCGTTATAAACCAAACAAAATACAGAATACAAAGCGAACAAATAACAAGCATGTAATGTGGGTGTTCGGCATTTTCTTGCTTGTGACGTATCAAAATTTTGAATGCGAAGATAATTATGTTGACGTTCTGAAGCTCTCCTGATGTTTGTAAATTGGATAGTTTTCTTATTCAATGTTCTAAATATTGCTATAAACAATATTCAATGATTTTCACTTGTTCTGACATGCATGTGAAAATATTGAAACATTCTGACACACTCGTGAAATGGTTATGCTGTCTTTCGTTGGAAGCCATTCTCCATTCATTTACAATGTACCACTCTATCGGAAACCTTTCAGAAATTTCCGTCAAATTTTGAGTTTGACGTCATTCATGATTGGTGATTACTCTATCAGTTTTACGAAAAGACCTCAGCAGTTTTCATTTGATAAGTGTAAAAGTATTTATATTTTTCTCTGATAAAACGTTGTCACTTAGAAGAGGTTGTCAATGCAATGGCCCAATAGTTGACGTCATTATTATTATGACGTCATAGTGGTAACGGTGGATGCCAATGACCCTTCCAGGAAGATGGCTGTTCTATTCACCGAGCATACATACAACATTATGCCTATGATGATATTGTATATATACTTAAAAACGAACGACGGTATCGGGTTAACGTTAGAAGTTCATCATTAATGAATCTGTGATAAAGTCTAACGAATTGAACAGTTGATTTGTGCACGCCAACTAGATCAAACTCGTGTACACGTTGTACATTTTTTGTGCGATATGATCAGTAAGGCTATTGGTGTGCTTCAAGGTTATTCAACGTCCCTCGTTGGGTGTTACCAATGGTTTAAGTTTGTAACCAATAGGGTTGGTATATTTCTGGCCATCATAACTCATGCGACATTCCGTCTTTGCATATTGCAGAGTTATCTTCTCCTGGGAGCAGGTATTTATTGTTACGTCACTTGTTTGTGAGAGTAACGTCATCAATTTTTGAGAAAACGACTTAATTTTCTCACACAAACCAATGACGTAACAATCAATACCTGCTCCCAAGAGAAGATAACTCTGCAATACTCAAAGACGGAATAGGCGATACTGTACCGGTAAAATATTTTCTGAGAAGGACGGAGCACATCAGCAGCAATTAATGTGAATCGTATAGAAAGAGGCTAAGTTTGCAGTGTATCGGTGTTAAGATAAATGATCTCAGACATTTTCCTGATATAAAGATACTTTACTGAAATAACATGGTATTCCAGTGACTGTGCAGCTTGTAACTTTTCTCATTTATTTGGGTCTTTTGAGCTGGTCTTTCAGATGAAGTCGTCAGGTCTTAGAAAATAAGAACAGTTTAGCAAATTCACTGGTTGAAAATGCTCTACTCCAGAGCTCAGTATCGGGAGTCCCGTCCAAAATAGGGAGAGTTGGCAAGTAAAACAATTAAGATGACAGTAAAATGCAAAACCTCATGAAGGGTTCCGATTTGTTTTTAATCACCTAAATAATATTGTCTGTATGGTACATTCTGTACCCACTTTCAGTTCGTCCTAAAGATATGCCTAAATGCGTAAATTATTATGGCGGATTTCAGTTCATTGGTAGACAGCAAAATGTCCAGGTTTTAGTCCTGTCTGAAATTGGTATGGTAAAGAATTCATCGGAATAAAATGTATTTTTGAGTAACTTTTCAGCTCGAAAATACTTTCCTGTAGTAGATACAGCCGTACCACATAATATAACAGTAACCATGTTTTGTATGGAATTCGTAGTGCCGCATTATGAAAATATTTTATTTGTGCATTTTTATGCTGCGCTTATCCACAGCTGTTTTTGCGTTTTAAATGATATCATTTTCAACTTGAAATTCCTCTTGCAACGAAAGATTTAACTGTCAAATTGACGGAAGTGTCAGTTAGCTGTAGATATATTTTTCCTAATCCCTCTGATATATCGTTCTTTTATAAAATTTAGAAACGGATTTCGGAAATATATATTGTTTTAGCTAAAATGACGTAAAACGCCCAACTCACCTTGACAATACGAGACTAAGGCTGTGACAAGAAATAGCAGGTTCGTTACCATCCTGTCGACTGTAGTGGACTCTCCGCTAGAAATGTCAGACAACCTTGACGTAAGTTACGTAAAATTTCTGGATTTATTGAATTTATGATAAGATATCTGACCCATAGATAAGGAGGCGTTCCCACACGATACAAGCTGCACGTTCATGTGCACGAACTAGTGTCACGACTGTCGTAACAGAAGGGGGTAGGGCAAGATAGACAACGAGCCAAGGCAGGGGTAATGACGTCAGGTGGGGCAAGACAGGGGGCAAGGCAATATGTATTGAAACCTGAGATAGGGCAGGATTGGAGATGGAGCAAACACAGAAGTTCAAAACATTTAAAAGGCCACGTTCTTCTTATGATATACTGTATAAATAAGATACAGTCAAACCTGCTTGAGCGGTCACCTGAAATAAGCAGCTACCTCCCTTATGTGGTCAGTCTGTGGTCCGCCCGATAGAAAAAAACCTATATAATGAACCTGAAATAAGCAGCCACCTGTCTAATGCGGCCAGCGGTCACAAAACTCTGACCCGGAACGTTATCTCCTCCTGTATTCAGCGGTCATTTGTCCAGAAGTTGACATCAAGAAGATCACAATATATTAACAAGAACACATCTCAATAGAGCAAAGCTAATTACAATGTGTAATTAAAAATCATAGGTAATTAGGTTTGACACGTTGAATTGACACGTTGTTTACACATTGGGGCAGGTCCTACCGATCCATCAGCAATGTTTTACAAACAAAACAATTAATTCCACCTTGTGTACTCAATCAGCTTGTGATTTTCAAAACAAGTATGATCTTTTGTGGTATCTGTACATACGGTATCCAAAGCTACTCAGGCCTAATATGTTATGTGATCAAAAAACTTGCCGCTATATTGCATGCAGAAAACAGATCTGCTTCCAGTCTGCCAGTCACTATTTCTATATCAACGAAGCACACATCATGTCAAAAGGATGAATTTCACTGCGCAGACGCTGAATCAGATTTATATGTTTACTTTACATGAACAGATACTTTTTAGGCTGATGATATTGAGGGGTACCGGAACGGTTGGGCGATAGGATAATTATATGTCTTGATGTGGAGCTGTACATTTATGAGTCCAACGAAAGCTTTAAGATTAGAGATGACAAACCTCAGGGACCTGAGGTGTTCAGAGTAATAGGGGTGGCATTTTTACCGAAAGTTGATCGAAACCCCTAAAACCTGAAATATTGCTCTGTAAACCTCAATGTACAGATGTATGTCCACAAATAGCTGTGACAAATGATCAGGTACCTGTGGACTAAAACGAGGAAATCGGTATTATCAGGTGGTAGAATGACTTTATAGTATTAGGTGACAGAACCAAAAAGGAATGGAAGGGTTGTTTAAATCATATATTTTGAATCCGAAGCATTTATTTTGGATACAACCTGCTTGATTAGTACTCACACATGTTAACCCCTCAAAGAAGTTTGGGGTATACTGTTATTATGGTACATGTAGGTCCAGTGGCACAGCGTATAGTCAACTCGCCTTTCACCATACCTCGACAGATGGATTCCAAAATGTTTGCGCCATCAAAAAATTAGCATTGACAGTCAAAAGACAGTATTCTTAGAACAGTCTAGACGTTACCTAAATGTTTGCTTCTTACAATGTCCTTACGTTATTTTCTATTCAGGAGAGGGGGTGTCAAAATGACACTGATCCAATTGCATTCACAGTCCTATGAGTGCTGTTTCCTCTAGTAGTTTCTATACAGGAACTTGCAACGGAAATGTAAAGTTACAAAATGTTGCGCTCTAATGCATGTATATATAGCGATTATGTACGGTTTTCAAAGAATCCCAAATCGATCGGTTCAGCAGTCACTTCCCTTCTCCTTCAGACAAAAGTTAAGCAAACTTAAGGTAATAAAACAGGAAGCAGAATTTCTAAAATTTACCCCGTGATACAATACTTAGATGTAAGCTCAGTGCGTTCACAAATGTCACACTATGCGTCGTCAGCTCATTCCGTAATGATACAGAATCAGAAAGAAAATGGCCGTACTACAGTTTCCGTCGCTGAGCAAAACAACGAGATTGAGAATGAACCCTTTCATGACAGATACTGATAGTAACCACGTGTTTGCTAACATAAACACTCAGAATAAGATTATGGAATCATCTGAACCCTATCCTAGTTGGCAACCTATCCTTATTAACCATTATCCTTTCCTTGGTTCCGTATGAGACATCTTTTTTTAAAACTTTCTTCTGGTCACAGTACCACACACGGATGATTGGCTGAGTTCACCAACATTCCGTCAGTATAGGAACGTTTGACCCTCCTTCCCAGTCGAAACACAGTTTTACTATTGTAACAGGAAAGAGAGTAGCCTGCTTCCTAGTCGGACGCTTTACCACTCAGCTACACTTAAGGGAAATAGGCAACCGTGATCATATGCTTAATTAAAATTTGCCACACTACTCTTTACCGCCGACACAATCCCCAACACGGGAATTTGCTCGGGATTTTTCCACTTGATACTCCAGAGGTGACGCTCATTTTCGCTCTCCGCACCCTGGAATATGTCATAGCCAAATTGAAGGCACACGACAACCTATTTGATTGGTCTCGGGTACAAAAAACACCTGACCAATCGCTAAAGCTTGTACCTGTCCTTTGAATATTACAGGGGAGCGACAACCGGCTTCAAAACCAGTTACCGTACGCGACCGACAAATTCTTTTGATTTATATCAAAGGATCAATGTCCAATGTCCAAGGTTGTCAATCCTGAAAACAGTGTCACGGTTAAGCATGTGTGGAAAATGCTGGACAATTATACTGATGATATCCCGAAAATGGCCGAAGCATCGTAAGGTCATTATTTTGCAATGCCTCCGCTAGGCGTCGAACCCGGGACCTCTGGCATACTAGTCCTACGCTCTACGGAATTAGCTAAAGAGAAATTCTCCTTAGCCAAGTCGGTCGGAAGTGGCTTGCATTTATCCAAGGTGACATATCCATTAAGAAGAAGCTAGAATGTATTTCTGAGATACTGTAGTTATTTTTCTAATGTGTCCCCGATGGCTGTCTAGACCATAACCGGAAGAAGATGTTTTCAAGATGCCTCGGCATAAACAGCAGGTTCCAAGTCACGATCTGTATACACTAAATACATTAATTGTTTATATCAGGGACGAGACAATGATTTTCTGCCATCAGAGTCCAGTACCACGATGGCCATCTTGATAATACACTGTATATGCTTAGTTGTGTTCAAATTCCGATCTTGTCCGGCTACTTTATTAGTATTTGACGAACACTTCCGATTTCGCTAGAACAACAATATATAAAAGAAAAATTCTCAACAACGAGTCTTTAGTACTTTCATCTCGTCAAGGAGATTCTTCACTTTCACTTTATTTTGAAGTGTCCATTTTATTGCAACATACGCTCTAAATACTTAAAGCCATACTATTATCGCAAACCAAATGTGTTTAAACTTATACAATTACTTAGTGTAAATAATGTTAAAGAACTAAACAATCTACGAAAATTCACACATTTCGCATTTAAGCAACGTTCTCGAGTATCATAGTCTTATATATATATATATATCTGACATGTATTACTCTCCTTATTACATGTACATGTACAATTGCATGAATGCTATGTATGTAATTGTTATATAATAACTGTATTGTACACATGTAATTTGTCTTATAAGCCGAAATTGTTTATAGAATAAAATAACTGAATTCACACTGTTTATTTGAAGTAGATATTGTGACGTCATAAATTATGACGTCCCGTAATAGTTCGCTATAGCGACGTCGCCCGCTATATACGTACCCGCCATAGCGATAGCACAATCTTAAACTCTAAAAATGTTGATATTTTCATACACTTATTTTTTTACAGAAGTGACACACCAATTTCCGGTTCTTGTACACCAAAAATCTTTTAATATTATTTGGTACATTACGTTGAGATACGATGGTTAAAATTTCAGAAAATGTTAGAACCCGTAAATTTGTCATATAAATGTCAAATTGTAGCAACGTCTATTTACAAATAAAATCCAACAACCTGATGACCTATAGTCATGTTTGATCATTTAACAATATTAATACGTCGCACCAATTTATTATCACAACTGATAAAATTGTCATCAGTAAAGTCTGCTGCTCATGATGAGCCCAACTATATATAAAGCTATAAAGATGTTGCAAAATAAAAAATAAAAAGCTTCGTTTGCAAGGATGCTATATCGACCATAGCTACTTCAGTATCTGGATGCAAAAAGCTTCCGATTATGTGTTTAGGACAAATGCGCGCATCACGAGGGCATCAAAGCCTGTGATTTACCATAAGAAAATGTCGCACTTGTACACTGGAGACATACAGAACATTTGCGATGGGAAGAGGATGCATATTTCAGATCTGTGATATTCAAGAGGGGCACTGACGGAATAATGGGGATGGCATCAATAACATCTTCCTCCTCTTGCAAATCACGACCGGTTTGTTCCTCTCCCTGAGAATAGTGACTCACCACAGATGTGTCTGGGTGAGGCCTCTTCCCGACACATCGTCCTTAACATCTCATGCATATCTTACTGCCATCTTCTACAATCAGATCTTGGTTTATAAGCATATGTTTCAACCAAGTATTGTGCGAGGAGTCCAGCAATCTTGCTGTTTTACCGTCCTTTATTATCCTTAAATATTATCCTACATTCTGGCATGATACAAGCATCACCCATGACGATAGAATAATTGGAAGACTACTAGCTAGTTATGGATTACAAGATGTGAACTTGTGTAATCATGTGAACCTTGAAAACTAAAGTGATCCTATCACCACACCACCATACCTTGGTATTGTTTTCCTAAACTGCATTTCACATAAAAACAATATGATATAACCGGGGGGGTATCCAAGGAGGTCAATTACCACAACCTATTTATTTGGGCCATTGTACATGTCCTAACTGCAAGTCTACCATTAAGATTCCATTTGTAGTCTATTAAACTAGATAGTTTAGTTCAACAGTTGCACCAGACTCTTCTATTAACCATATCATCCTCCACCGTGATAATATATTGGAATGATTTTGGATTAATTATGAAATATTTACATCGACCTATAGTTATTGAAGATTTATTTTGACATTGGTAATACAAACAAATTGACCTTTAGATGACACATTTACCGAATACCGATTTTTTTCGAAATTTCTGCTTTCGTCAGTCAACATAATGTGCCAAATAATATCCAAAGTATGTTGGTGTACAAAAATCGGAAATGTGTCTATCACTTCCGTAAAGATGTGACAAAACTAAAAATGTACATAACATACTAACTTTTATGTGCGAGACTGCGTATCTTTTTTTATTTTGCAACATCTAGCTTTATAGTTGGGCTCATCATGAGCAGCAGCTATTACTGATGACAATTTTATCAGTTGTGATAATAAATTGGTGCAACGTATTGTTAAATGATCAAACATGACTATAGGTCATGATCATAAGGTTGTTGGATTTTATTTGTAAATAGACGTTGCTACAATTTGACATTTATATAACAAATTTACGGGTTCTCGAATTTTCTGAAATTTTAACCATCGTATCTCAACATAATGCACCAAATAATATGAAAATATTTTTGGTGTACAAGAACCGGAAATTGGTGTGTCACTTCCGTTAAAAAAAAGTGTATGAAAATACCAACATTTTTAGAGTTTAAGATTGTAGGACTTTTGTATTATTCAATGTTGTGTTACATATTTGAGTTCACAATTTGCAGTAGATCCTATTCTAAACACTATACTATTATTTGATAGCATAAAATATTGTTTTTATAGTTTTTTTGGAACCCTGTCCTACATCTTTTGAAGGCGGCACTAAATAGTTCATAGTACAGGCCTCGCAATCTGATTAAAATCATCTGTTACATGGCTTCGTTAACTTCGTACTACGCCTGAACATGTTCAGGCGGAGCGTTGTAACAGATGATTTTAATCAGATTGCAGGCCCCGGGGACCATTTTAATATAAAAAAAATCTCATGGGTCGTGTCTTAGGGATCTACAAATATAACCCAGTTATGGTTAAATTGCTTTGTGGGCAAAATTGTTTTGGTATGTGTTCAAATTACGATCTTATCCGGCTCTTTATATATTTTTGTTATATACACATGTACGTATACCCACCGACTCTATCTTTATCTTTTATTAGTATATGCCGACCACTTCCGGTTTCGCTACAACAACAAATCAACAATCACATACACAGCATTAGGAACTATCCCTGCTGATGATTACGATTTTGGGATTATTACTTATGTCCAGTTCGCAGCCATGTACTGATACTAATTGTTTGGTTGTTGACAAATAGACAAATGGCTAAGGAAGGCAACTGTCTGTTCCGAATTGGGTAAGTATCATTGGCAGTGCACATTGAAACGGTGGGTATGTACATAGTCACATTCTTGTAACAGTTGTAGGCTAAGCTGCCACAGGAACTTGACCCTGTGAAAATGCAACCATCAGACCAGTTGGTAAAATGTAATTCAGTTTGAGAGGGGCATTTTGTAGTGCTTTATTGTACTGTGATCAGAATATGAGTATGATACATTGTACAGTTGTAGTGCAAGAACAAATTGTAACACTTGCATACATTTCTTTCATTAGGTATTTCTTGTACTCAAGGACAAGTGTGGGCAAGTTTTACCACAGACGGGACATAGCTAAGGCAAGAGCAAAATATCCGGATGGTGAGACACACAGTGTCATACAGCCAAAGTCCTTCAATGGTAGGTACTGTATATTGTACAAGTACATTTATACTGTGATACTCAGCCCCAGTTCATGTATCGGGAAGTTTCATGGTATATATTGTAAAACTGTGATCCTTAAACCTCACTCAGATATCAGTGTGTTTAATTGTAGATATTGTAACTGTAATAGGGAAGGAAAAATGCACAGCCAAACTGGGGCGGATGCTCTACCAATTGAGCTACCTGGTCGCTGACGAACAACCCAGGCCAGTTCCGCTGTATAATCATTGATTCTTAATCACTGAGCGGATATCAGGATGTTTAAATGAAATATTTAATGGTAAAATTTGTAAGCTTGTGATCCTTAACCCTCGAGCAGTTATCAGTATGTTTAATGGTAGATATTGAAAGTGTACATGTGTGACCCTTGATTATATATCCCCCCAAGTGGATATCAGGATGTTTAATAGTAGATATTGTAAGCAATGCCATACTTAACCCTCGAGTGGATATCAGGATATTTAAAGGTAGATACGTAAGCATTGATACTTAACCCTCGGATGGGTATCCAAATGTTTAATGGTAGACTAGATATTGTGAATTTGTGATACTTATACCCCTTGAGGAAATGAGGCAAATGTAATCAGGGTTAACATCAATGTTGACATATATCATTGTTTATATATGTCTAAATACAAATATGATTGGTTGTAGACCTGACGATCACGCCTCTACCTATCTTATTGGACAATTACGCCTATATTGTTACCTGTGGAAAGACTGGCACTTCCATTGTGGTGGACCCTGGAGATGCAGAACCTGTCATAGTGAGTACTGCATTGTGATAATGTTGTCAGAACTAAGGGCAATAACTCCTTTACTATATTGTATGAAAATATCAGTTGATTCTGATATTTGTTCAATTTTCATTTTCCTGATAAAATACAGTTTCTTATTTGCTTTTCTATTTCCCTAGAAATACTTGAAGGAACAAGATATAACACCTGCAGCTGTCCTTGTCACTCATAAACACTGGTGAGTTGTCTCCCCCTAGTTTGTTTATGTCATGGCTCAGCATCTTGGTAATGGTCGAGTTGTCTCCCATTTATACTGACTACACAAGAATTGAAGAAAACTGATTTGTACGTTTCCTTTTTCTAATAAAACATTTTGAGTTGTCTTCCTTTTTGCAATAATAAAAATAATAATATTTATTCAGGTTAAAGGCAGCTATTACATATATCACATTTTGCAGATTAGACATAAATACATATATTATCACCGATGTTATTAATAACTTATTCATGCCATGCATAGAACTAGTAATCAGTCAGTGTTAAAAACTGGATTCAATTCAATTAAATTAAGGCCTCTATCAGGGTGACCCATAAAGCCATATTGTGGCTTAATTCCAATGGGGTCCCTTAAACTTATTCATTGCAATAAATATAAGCCATGGGCAGCCTGCTTGGTTGATGTGATAGTTCAGTATGACAACTAAATATGAATTTGTTGTCCTTGCATTAGAACTCCTGTCACTATGACAACACAGTTGGTGTGTTGACTAGGTGTTTTATTGATTGAGAACCTAATAGCAGGGTAAGGTCCAATAACAAGACATTTCCTTCAAATGCAGTAAAACATTGCTACTTCCTAGAGATAATATTCATCAATTATATCAATGTTAAATTAAATGTTCGTTGTTCAAAAAATTCCCCAGCTCAAATGTAAAACAAACAAAAATATTTATCTTTGTCATGCTTTTGTGATTTCAGGGATCATGCTGGAGGAAATGCAGATTTTAAAAAAGAATTTTCGGGAATTAAAGTTTTCGGAGGGAAACATGATAATGTGCCTGACGTCACAAAGTGAGTTAATCATCATGCTACTTATTGTACACTTAAGTTTTTATACGACCGTCAAATTTGACGGTAGTATTATGGTATGGCGTTGTCGTCCGGCGTAAACTTTGTCCGGCAATATCCTCCTACATTTATCGACCAATCTCTTTGAAACTTGGTCTACATTATAAACATGATATGAAGTTGTGTCTCCCTTAAAAGAATTCTGATTCGACGATGTTTGCAAATTTTATTGCCTTTTGTTCATTTCAGTATTTGTATTTTGTCCGGAGATCTCCTCCTACATTTTTCGACCAATCTCTTTGAAACTTGGAATACATTATAATCATGATATGAAGTTGTGTCTCCCTTAAAAGAATTCTGATTCGACGATGTTTGCAAATTTTATTGCCTTTTGTTCATTTCAGTATTTGTATTTTGTCCGGAGATCTCCTCCTACCTTTTTCGACCGATCTCTTTGGAACTTGGTATACATTATAATTATGATATGAGGTTGTGTCCCCCTTTAAAGAATTTGGATTCGACAATGTTTCCAATAGTTATTGCCCTTTGTTCATTTCAGTATTTGAATTTTGTCCGAAGATCTCCTACATTTTATGACTGATCTCTTTGAAACTTGGTATACATTATAATCATGATATGAAGTTGTGTCTCCCTTAAAAGAATTTTGATTCGACAATTTTTCCAAAAGTTATTGCCCTTTGTTCATTTCAGTATTTGAATTTTGGCTGGAGATATCCTCCTACATTTTTCGACCGATCTCTTTGAAACTTATAAAACATTATAATCATGATATGAAGTTCTGTCTCCCTTTAAAGAATTTTAATTTGACAATTTTTCCAAAAGTTATTGCCCTTTGTTCATTTCAGTATTTGAATTTTGGCTGGAGATCTTCTCCTAAATTTTTCGACCGATCTCTTTGAAACTTGTAATACTTTATAATCATGATATGAAGTTGTGTCTCCCTTAAAAGAATTCTGATTCGACGATGTTTGCAAATTTTATTGCCTTTTGTTCATTTCAGTATTTGATATTTTTGTCCGAAGATTTTCTCCTACAATTTTTATAGCATATCAGCTAACCACTCTTAGAATGATACAGATCTTATTTCAATGTAAGAAAGTATATAAGACTATATGGCATTCGACGGGCGTATTTTGTTCCGCCCCTCGGTACTCTTGTTGATAATCTGGTAGTTAAGATTTTTTTTTTATCATTACCATGTCATAATCATGATTTTGAGCAAAAGTTACTTGGTGTGGCAGATTTTAATTGTACATATAGTATTTGGGTCGCCTTCGAGCTAGAGGTCAGTGGTAGAGCGTCCGGCTAAGAACCTGGAGATTGAGGGTTTGATCCCCAGTGGAAGCACACTATTATCTTTCCTGTTACACTTGGTACAAATGTTATACATGTATAAGAAAGTTTTCTCCATTTAAATCAATGTTGAGATACAAAATAGTAACAGCAGGAAGTTGTACAAAATAGTATATAGAACAGCAGGAAGTTGTACAAAAAAGTATATAGAACAGCAGGAAGTTGTACAGATATAGAACAGCAGGCAGTTGTACAAAATAGTATATAGAACAGCAGGAAGTTGTACAGATATGCTTTTGAATTGTTTTGTTTGTTTTACACAATTCTTAACTCACTATTGAAAAATAAGTATTTTTGCTAAATAAAAAAATCTGTTAATGTAAAAATCTGCATTGAAAAGTACAATAATGGAGTTCTGCTCAGACATCTTCTCGTTCCTGTATATATGCATGTTATTCATTTAATGTGTGACATGGACTGTAATAGTTTTAAAAATGTACCTTTCAAACTTTTCTGGCATTTATTTTTTTATATTATTTAAAGTCTATGTCAGTTTAATCTCAAAAAGTTACAGCCGTTGTTTTTCTCTCCAGCACAGTGGACCAAGGACACAGCCTGGAGTTTGGTAGTCTGAAATTTTCTGTGCAATTTACCCCAGGTCATACTGTAGGCCATGTTGTGTACATTCTGGACGGGGGTCCGTATGGGGCACCTGACTCTCTCTTCTCTGGGGACCATCTCTTCCTGGGCGGATGTGGTCGTATGTTTGAGGGACCACCTTCCACCATGCTCGGTTCTCTTGACGACATTTGTCAACTCAGCGGGGAGACATTGGTTTGGCCAGGTAATATTCCCTAGTATCAGAGTAGACATCTTGTTGGCCCCAATTCTTACAGCATCTACCCATTGGTTGTATCAATAGCTATATAGAGCTAACATATATATACATCTCTCATTATTATTTTACAATTTGATCTACAATTGTAAATAGAATCTTGAGTTTCTGTTTCATAGGAGACGTACAATGTATGATGCGAGTCTGGATATTTTCATTTTAGCAAGGATGTGCTGAACGTTAACTCAAATGAAAATTTTGGGATGAATTTCCTAAATTTCGTATTAAATAGAACTAAATTCAGGACCCCCTTTTTTATTTTACATTCTATTTTACAAAGAATTTTATTGAAGATCCTGATTTTTTTCTTCTGACACTTTTTATGTTTTCAACAATGTTATTGAAAGTGTTTAATGGCCAATCCACTGTATTATCCTAATTTAACCATATGTAATATCGCAGTTGAATGGAAATATTTCACTAATGATATAATAACAAAAATGTGACATCCCTTTATTAAGGAGCGCAATTACTATGAAAAAAAACACCCGCCTGAAATCAGATTGAGACGAGTGTCTTGCTACAAGATGATATAAGATTACGTTAATCTCTAGATGCATATTCAGTCACATTGTAAAAATAAAGCATTAACGTAAATAAAGTATCCATTGTTTCTGGATGATTTCAATTGTAGGATGAATATTTTTTACTTGAAATCTATCAAAGTTTTCATACCATTGAATGAAATATAAGTTGTATTGAGCTTCATGCTCAATATGTTATCAAGAATAAATATAGCCTTTATTATTATATTATAATTAGGGCCCGGTATCGGAGATACAGGTGCCCTATAGTAATCACTCTGTCTGTCTGTCTGTCTGTCTGTCTGTCCATCCACAAATTTTGTTCCTGGCTGATAACTTTAGTATTTATTTACCGATGTACATGAAACTTGGTCAAGATGTTCAGTTCACAAAAATACATAGGTTAAGAATTCAAATGTCAAGGTCAAATTTTGCATCTTTTCACTGATGAACATTTTGTTATGACATGATAGAGCAAAGTTGATCAGAATTAAACAAGGTGTCAACCTGACCATATGTCAAGGTCATTGGGTCAAAGGTCAAGGTTAAATTTTGTATCTTTTCACTGGTGAACATTTTGTTATGACATAATGAAGCAAAGTTGATCAGAATTAAACAAGGTGTCATCCTGACCAAATGTCAAGGTCATTGGGTCAAAGGTCAAGGTTAAATTTTGTATCTTTTCACTGGTGAACATTTTGTTATGACATAATGAAGCAAAGTTGATCAGAATTAAACAAGGTGTCAACCTAACCAAATGTCAAGGTCATTGGGTCAAAGGTCAAGGTTAAATTTTGTATCTTTTCACTGGTGAACATTTTGGTATGACACTTTGAAGCAATGTTGCTCAGAATTAAACAAGGAGTCAATTGACCAAAGGTCAAGGTCACTGGGTCAAAGGTGAAGGTTAAATTTTGTATCTTTTCCCTGATGAACATTTTGTTACGACTTTATGAAGCAAAGTTGGTCAGAATTAAACAAGGAGTCAACTGACTTAAGGTGGAGGTCACTCGGTTCAAAGTTCAAGGTAAAATTTAGTATTTTTTTGCTGGTGAATATATCATTATGACACTTTGAAGCAATGTTTGTGGGAATTAAACAACGCATCATTCTTGATGATTATGGGGGATATATTGCCACAAGACGTGGCCCTTACTGACCTGTCAGTGTTCTAGTTATTATTAATATGACTGGTATTCATCACTTCATGAAATATAACATTGGCATTCATGACCCTATGAAATACAACTGAAACATGAGGGTAATAGAGTCAACACCAATACAAAAGTTAGTGGGTTGTTTTAATGGGGTGCTGCACTTAATCGCGGAAACCCAAGGTATGCAGGGCGATTGATGAACAATTAAATATGAAAGGAAAGAATCGATCACAACCTTCTCCAGCAATACCAGTAGGTTGGTACTTATTTTATTGGTCGACTTGTTTCACTCTGTGTGCGAGACTTAATATAGAGGCGAAACTGGTCGGCCAATAAAATAATTACCAACTTACCTCTGGCATTTGAGAATATTGTGATTAATTCTTTCCTTTTGATTGTTTTCAAGAAACAAGAAATATACTTTTTACATCATGTACTGTTCCAATACTGTATAACATGAAATGTTCGTTGTGTATAAACATTCATGTATTTCGTGGTTACAATTGAACCACGAAAATAAATACGACAAATTTGAATGATATACGTGTCTACTGTTTGTTAATATAGAATATCAACGAAAGTTTGTACCACAAAACGATCTAAATGGCTTCAAACCACGAAGGAAAGTACACACGAACATTTTGTGTTATATAGTACCAGTTATTCACCATAGTTTGATCAAACATGATACAGTAAACTGGTGTAGCCTGTCTATTTCATTTTTCAATATTTCTAGGTCATGAATATGCAAATGACAACATGGAGTTTGCCTGCCACCTTGAACCAGACAACACTGCTGCTCAGGTATGTTTTAGTATGTTTTACACCACTGACCAGTTAGAAAACATGTCTTATCAACTTATTGTCACCCTTGTTTATCTCGACATTAGCGTAAAGGCCGTTTGTAATATTGGAGGAAAACAGATTTCCTTCACAAAAACCTACATCGTTGGCCAGGTGGCCCCATACTTTTCACATCCTTTCAAGGAATCAAAGCCTAATGTCTTGCTGAATGTGGGCTATCCACTGTACCACTGTATCACCCAGTAACTTTGAGGTGTTGTATGTGTTGAAAAGTCATGCTTTATGACAGATTGATAGATAAGTGTTTTATGTGTTGTAGGACAAAAATGACTGGATTAAACAACAAAGAGAAAAGCGACTGGTCACTGTGAGTAATTTATCATAGCTGTACTCCTAAAAATATAATTTCCAGTTGGAAAAATATTTCATTTTTTTTTGCATCAATTTGACTGTTTAAACATATATTACAGTTAACAAAACATACTTCACATGTACATTTGTATATAACTGAATGCTTGTAAAACATTTGAAAATTTACGGTCATTTAAATGAGTGAATCAATTTTCGTATCAATTGCATGATTGAAGCATAAGTTTTTCATGCTGTGGTAGCTTAAAACGGTTGGTTTCTGTGTCTGCCTGAACACCCAATGTCATAGGTCGAGGTCCCAAGGTCTTTACTGATCACAATTACGGATGTTTGAATGTTAGTTGTGTTGCTGTATTCCTATTGCACATTGTTACTCCACCATCAAAGATTTTATATAAGGTTCCATCTTCCGTCTCTGTTATCCCAGTGCCCCTCCACTATTGGGGATGAGAAGATGTACAACCCTTTCCTGAGGACCAGTATTGAGTCTGTTCTCAAGTCTTTAGGCGTGACCTGGACTGGACCCTTCCAACCACCAACAGACAATGTCAGGGCACAGGCACTAGCTGAAGTACGCAGACAGAAAGACACTCTCAAATACAACTTATGAAAAGCATATACTAAGTAACCATGTATACTCAGGAGTAACACTGTGTAGTTGTACCATCGTTATGGTGGTATATAGGTCCACATCATTTATTTAATATATATCTGGTATATGTACTTTCATTACGGTGATTAGACATTGCTTACAGTGAACATGTGTTCACAGTAAGGCTGGGGCGATACAGGTAGTAATTGTATTGATATATATATCACGATATGGAATGTTCAATACAATATGTGTGATAATATATAATTATGCATGTTTTCACATGAAAAGTTTGAAAAATAACCAACAAAGAAATGAACAGATGTTGGAACATTAAATAATATAGGTTATATGAATTAAGATAGTTTTTCAGCTCTGAGAAGTAATTCAGTTATCACACTAGTAACTTATTAGTCAGGATAAAAGCTATTTGAATTGTCTTGCCAAATATGTAAAAGCAATTCAATCCTTACTGTAGCATGTACTTTTCCTGTATAACGATATTAACGATAATTGTTTTCTAGTATGAATACATGTATCACACAGACGAGTATCTATACATATTGATGTATCAGTGTATCGTCCCAGCTCTAATATTTCCAGTGTACTGGACTGTGTATACATATGTGCTGCAATAATTGATGTTTTGACGTTGCTTCAATTTACATGTGTTCTACTTATACGAAAGGTTTTGATATTTTTGTGAACAATTTTCCTGTACTTACATTTGGTTTTTTTATTTTGATTTCTACATGCAAATATAAAAAGAAAATGAAACTGTTTTGGGCATTATCATTTGAAGCAGAGACATATATATTACATATATGTCTCTGTTTGAAGGTAGACTACAAATGTATATGGTTTTGAATGTAATTGTTCAGTCCTTACATATGAATACCAAGTGTTTACAGATATATAGGAGTCACAGTAATTCTCTAATATAAAGTTGCTAACTACAAAGTGAATTGGCACCGTGTGGCTGATGATAAATAGTGTTCTGTGTACCGATCATATGTAACACTGCTAGATAATGTTGTATGTACTAAGATTATGAATCTGATTGTGGTCTGTAGCTACAGTACAAATATGACCTGGTAGTGGGCATGCATGCCATCTGTTAAGTAAGACTTTATGATCCTGTTACAGTCGTAAGATTACACCACATTACTCAACAGTGTACATGATGTGTGCACTCTGAAAAAACAGCGATAATAGCTTGCGCACATCTGTGCAATAGCTATCGCACAATCGTGTGATTTATATCATGGTTGATATATATTTAGGAATGGCATATTAAAGCCAATGCCTTTCATGTTTTTCAGGATATTGTCGAAATTCAGCAAGATTTATATGCTGTTTATTTACCTTAATCAGCAGGTGTGTACACAATACACATCTGCCCTATACGTACATGCATGCATACAGATACAGTGTAACTAAAACTAAAGCAGCCTTATCTGTATCTAAAATCCAAGGTATATACCTGTACATTGTATATCGTCATTCTATGACAAGGCTACCTTTATTATATCTTGTCAATCGTGGAAGGAAATGTGATATTTCCACAAAAAGTGTTACACATGTAGTAGGACGAGGAATAGTGATAAAGATAGTGCCGTCGCTTGGGCTTGAACCCGCATCCAGCCTGATGCTCTACTGCTGAGCTAAAGGGAAATTCCCTACAGCTGACGCTTGTAAGGCAACCTAATCAATGCACATCTTTAACAACACAATGAACACACAGGTAAAGTAAAGTTGTATTTTGATAACTGTCAAATCACTGATCCACTCTAATCAGTGATCAATTACATTTAATTCACAATGTAATGATTCTGTACCTGCGTGTACAAACCCATTATTGACAGTTTAACATTCGTCGTAATAATGTGTAATATTTATTGAAGAATTGAATAATGTGCAAAATATTCTAGTCATAAATAAAGTGCATATACTGTAACTTATTTCGTGTGGTCCTTCCACACCTTTTTATCCTGTATCGTCAATCAACCATGCTTACCAATTCCCACTGATGTTTGCATTTTATGGTACGTTCGTTTGTTAAATCAGACGATTTGCAGACAGTATTCGTACAGTAATGTTTGTGGGTTGTACGACCACACGTCTGTATGATGATGTATCTACTGTTGTCATGCCCAGAGGTGATTATTGGGCTATACCTCTCCATCATGGTACATATATATATACATAATACTGCAAACTGAAAACTCTGGCATTAAAATCTGGTGTTTTACAGTACATATTTGTCAAAAAATATAACCCTACAAAGTCAGATTACATCGTCAATAAATATAACCCTACAAAATCAGATTACATCGTCAATAAATATAACCATACCAACCAAATGATAATGTCTATTAATATAACCCTACAAAGTCAGATTACATCGTCAATAAATATAACCATACCGACCAAATGATAATGTCTATTAATATAACCCTACAAAATCAGATTACATCGTCAATAAATATAACCCTACAGAATCAGATTACATCGTCAATAAATGTAACCTTACAAAATCAGATTACATCGTCAATAAATATAACCCTACCAAACCAAATGATACGATCAATAAATATAACCCTACCAAACCAAATGATAATGTCAATAAATATAACCCTACCAAACAAAATGATAATGTCAATAAAAATAACCCTACCAAACCAAATGATAATATCAATAAATATAACCCTACCAAACCAAATGATGTTGTCAATAAGTATAACTCTACCAAACAAAATGATAATGTCAATAAAAATAACCCTACCAAACCAAATGATAATGTCAATAAAAATAACCCTACCAAACCACAAACCAAATGATAATGTCAATAAAAATAACCCTACCAAACCAAATGGTGTTGTCAATAAATACAACCCTACCAAACCAAATGATAATGTCAATAAAAATAACCATACCAAACCAAATGATATGATCAATATATATAACCTTACCAAACCAAATGATGTTGTCAATACATATAACCCTACCAAACCAAATGATAATGTCAATAAATATAACCCTACCAAACCAAATGATAATGTCAATATATTTAACCCTACCAAATAAAATGTTATTGTAAATACATAAACATTGTAACCCTACAAAATAATACGGTATTATGTCAGTATATGTGACAGTAGCATAATCAGTTTGCATTAATAAATTAATGTCAATAAAGAAACTACATTTGCACTATGTCTTATGAAAGCAGAAAAACAGATGAACGAATATATAAACCAATCTTTAATTGTACAGGATATCTTCCTATTATATGTAGTACAGCGGATAAGAGCCAAAATCAGAAGAATTCGACACTTTATGATAAAAACATGAAATTTGGTACATAGGGTCCCTGATTTACACTGGTCATCTTCAGATATGGAGGCATCCGAAAAAATACTTACTTCCGGTAACATCCAAGATGGCCGCAATTAGTTTAAAAAATCTTAATATGAGGTTATATATTATATATTTAGACAGAAGTTAAATAACTAGATAGTATATTTTTGTGTTACCATTTGCATGAACATTATCCAAGATGTACACTGGTCATTTTAAGATATGCGAGATGCGAAAAAGAAATCCATACTTCCGGTAAAATTCAAGATGAAGTTATATAATCATGATCAGTCTACAAGAATACTGGCTGAGTGGAAGTGGTTGGGTTTCTGCGCTCATTGAGGCACATGTTGCAACATCTGGAATGGCCGATTCGTTCCTGAAAGCAAACCATATTGGGAGAACAAGATATGCACACCAAGTCACAGCAGCATACCTTCACATTCTTCAAGAAAAGGCTAATGTGGAATTTCCGAAAAAACATGCTGGAAGACAATCCTTTTGATTTCACAGACAAGGTCAACATCATCACCTCAGTTCAAATACTGGAACATGCTACTTGATATGGAAATCACAGTCCTTCTCTTTGTCAGATCTATCAGGGAGAGGAATTTCGCCCTATACGTTGATGCTCTAAAGAAGATAATCCAGTTGTTGTTTGCCTTCAATCTTGTAAACTATATCAGATGGTTGTCAGTGCATCTACGTGATATGGAAAACTTGGCTAAAATGTATCCCATGATATCTGAAGAATTTCAACGTGGTCTCTTTTTTACAAAGACAAACAGAAAGTTTTCAACTATAGCCATCAACCATGCACATGGGCAAAATAATGCCACAGTGAAGTCTGATGGTGGTGCAGTAGGACTGACATAAAACCCTGGCGCATTGCGGCGGTGGGTGGTTGCAGGTCCAGAGATTGCAAGACTTGTAGAAGAGTTTGAAGCGGGCATGAACAATCATGATGACACATCAGCAGAGTTCCGTCATCATGAACAACAATCAAGCTACCAAACCAAGTTTTTTAATGACGTTACATCTCTAGTCACTGTGTTTGAAGAGTTCGGCAATCCGTTCTTGGACAGAAGTGAGGACTTGTTAGTTCTGGATACAAAGGAAATTACCACTACAAGCATGGTGAAAATTGTAAAGGAAATAGAAAAGCTTGGGAGAGATCAGCTTCAACAGTTCATAGAAGAGAGACTGATAAAAAGAACAACACCTGTATTTTCCCCAATTTATAGGAACAAGCTTGCCTGATTCTCCAGGCCAAGGGAGGCCATTGTGAAAAGGGGTTCACAGAAACTGCAAACGATTCAGAACAACTGTTCATTATTCTCAAGGTTCACACTCTCTAACACACATTTTGACACTTAATTCACTCATCATCATCATCATCATCATCAGAATCATCAGAATCATCAACATCATTCTGAATGTTGTCGTCATCATCATCATCACCATTATCATCGCCATTATCATCGCCATTATCATCTTCCTCATCACCATCATCATCCTCACAATCATCATCATCCTCATCCTCATCCTTATCCTCATCATCCTGATTGTTGTCGTCATCATCATCATCCCCATTATCATCTTCATCATCATCATCATCATCATCATCCTCACAATCATCATCGTCATCATCACTATCATCATCATCCTCACAATCATCAGCATCACTATCTCATCAGCATCCTGACATAAACGTTCAAACTATCCGTTTCTCATAGCCATCATCATCATCATTGTCATCATCCATACAATGCGTGTCATTAGCAACACACCTCAACAGACAGCCACTGAACCACACTGCAACATCATTTTTAATTGGTACACTCAATATTTGACATCAACATACTCAACAATCATGATTAACTCATTCATAATGAGGAAGATCAGCTTAACACTTTTTCTTTTTAATATATTATTACATGTTTACACATTTTATGACGGACAATATAATCCACATCATGTTATATTTTATTTCAGAACCAGATCATGTACTTCACTTCATTAAAAAGCACGAACAGATATACCCACTCCTATATGCTTTCGCTCACACACACTCACATGCACTCTATCTACAAAAAGATAAAATTCCTGTAATTGCTTTATCTGATATGTATAATATTGTCGAAAAGGAAGGAAAGAGAATTAAGAGAGAAGAAAGGAAAAAGAAAAGGAATGAATAGGCATATATATTCTGTTGCAAAAATATCATATTGATGAATTCTAGGGATAGATACCACAGACAGGGATGTCAAACTATACTCATATAGTACTTAAAACATATTACCAGAACCAGCAAAATATATTGCCCGAGTACTGGGCAGTTTCAATAGAATTATTTCATAATTAACATATATTCAAAATATACATGTGTATATGTGTGTACGTACATCTTTATAACT